TTGAAAATTTAATACATACCTCAAAAGGAGAACAAATAAATTTCAAGTTTCTATTTATTCAGTTCACATGTTGGTTAGTGAAGTAAAATTGAATCAAACATTTATATGACAACAGGTTCAAGAAATTTTCACAACTAATTTTTAAGGTTAGCCTACTGGAACAATCACCTTTATTTACAAATTAGACCAGGTTTGTACTGATGATGCCCAAAAGAACTATCTGTGGTAAGAGTGCAGGCTTTCCTTTCTTTATTTAAAGAAATACTGAGGTTATCATCTTTCCACAAGCTCAGTGGAAATTGAGATTGAATAAGACTGTTAGTGACTATGTTATTTGGATAAATATCCAACAGAGGATAAAAAGTATGATATGGTCTGCACAGCCCTTTGATTTTAATTTTTTAAACTATTAAGCTAAGGCATTTATATTCTTGCTTTGTGCATTATGTGGACACCAATTAATTTAACTTTCATGTGTCAAAATACAAAAAATGCTCTCTTCATCTAATGTGCCCTAAACATAACAGGGGAGGAGGCAGGTCAAAGTAAAAACATGAATTAAAACAGGAGGGCCCCCATTTAAATTTCAGTCCTAATTAAAGGAGGATCCTTGCTTTTCCAGATTCCCACCCTTTGAAACTCACATATCTTGTGACCATTTCCAAATATCAATGTTTAGTTTGGGTATGAACATTGGTAAGAAACACCATGCATTAATGAAAGCTTGAGTAAGAGTATTTAACGCAGTCTGGATAATAATATTATGTGTTACAATATGGTAAGTTACACAGCAAAATTATGTAATCACACAATTCCAAACAAAGGAAGTCAGGTTATTGACTCACCTGCTTCAACTTTTGAGGGCTTCAGAGAAATAGATATGGTAAACAGTTACAATTAATACAACGTTGAAAGTTTGAAAGCTAAAAGATATACATTACAATCATCAGACTCTATGCATCCTAGCAAAAAAAAGGTCAATTACTGTAACGATATCGATGTTATCGTTCTATTTACTTCCGGTCCGCATTTACGTCATAACTACCATGGCAACAAAACTTTAGAGACCATGCTTTCCGGTTTGGTAGAGTTCGTCGGACATCGATTAAATAGACTTGTGTTACTTCACCTGTGTGTGTCTTGTTCTTCCTATAAACAACGCCACAATTACCACCATAACTTCTCCCAATACTTCTACTACTGACACATTAATGCATTTTTCTAAAGTTATCTCATAGCATATGACTGTATAGGTCATGTAGAAGGCTTCTGCATGGGAACTGACATTTCAATTACCCCAGCAAACTTTAATCATCAGAATTGCAAGCCGAAGTGTACTTACCAAATAATCATGTTCCAAATTAGTCACCTGATTTTTGCAGTGGAGTTTACTCTTTTTTGAGGCTATCTTCAGCTTGATCATCCTGTTACATGTGAAACATCAAATGTTACTCACATATTCAAATAATTACCTAAATGAAAAGTTATAACTTTTTTAATTACCTGCTTCCTTTAACCCTTTAACTCCCATGTATGACCGAGACAGAATTTCTCCTTACAATATCAATACAATATCAAGCAGACAAGTGATGAGAATAAATACAGATATTAATTAGGGAATTATTAGTTGATCCAAGACCAAATTCTCAAAACTAACATCGCAAGAATCATGTCCACACTGGTAATTTGACACATTGCAGGCAAACCCTACAACTGATTAACTTTTATTTGAATAAAAAACATGAAGGGAAATAGAGGAAATTACATAGCACAATCCAAGTTTCCCTTCTTAAGTATTCTGTGATGTTTCTTCTATCGTTTGGTAAACTCAATTTACCTCATTTTACTGTCTTCTGTTCATTTACTTGTTTGCTTTCATAATAACATTCACTATTGTTTCCAACAAAAGCAAGGAACATATAAAATGTGTACAGTTTTTAACACTTTAATCCCTGAGAGTAACTAGCATCTAATTTCTCTTTTCAATATCATTCCTGAATCAAGCATATGGTAATCAATACCATAGCCATTACTGACTGTTTGCTGAAAACAAGCATTTTCAAAGTTACCTTGAACCCATAACTGCAGTGGTGTCAGATTGTGTTCAGTACTTAGAGGGTGTCTGATCCAAGCAGCCACCCACTCATGAAACTTGTCATTTATGACTTTTTGGAGACAGAAGTGTAAACTCTATAAATCACTTTCACTCATTGAATAGAGAATTCTCCTGTCTTCCATGACCGTAAAGAGACTCTTGAAAAGTTCCAGAACATCAGTGTACACATTTCTCCACAAACGCTCTTTCCATTGGTTATGAACACTTCTGCCAACAAGTGCTGAACCTCGACCAGTTCCTCGTCTGTGAATCATGTATTGTACTACATCAATATTCTCACCCCCTCGATTACTCCGAATACGTGAGGGTAGTCCCCACTGAGCTACTGCATCTCGAAAGCAACTTAACAAAGTTGACGCTTTGATATTTGTGTTACACGAGAGATAGACTGGAATTCTGCTGAATCCGTCGATGTAACCGTGAACCACAAAGCGCCATCTGATAAGTGTGTGAATACCATCTAAATGCCATAAGGTTAGCGGAAGAGATACCGAATAAACACGCCGATGAATAGATCTACATCTGCGCTCAGCTATGCCCACTGGGTCGATTCTTTGCAAGGCTGTCTCAGTCGTTGCCTGGGTACCCTTATATTACGAGATGTAAGATACCCAGCCAAATTCTTTGATCCGCAGTTGGGATGAAAGGTCTTGATGAATCTAACTTCATTGTCTAATTCTTCATCTGCGATGAGGCTCAATGAACTTACCGACATATTAGAGTAACTAATGAACTTAAGCAATGGACGTTTTCGGGGCGACGGCGACTTAGACCGGAAGTTAAGTCATGATCCGTGCATTACTGCGCATGATTTAGCCAACTTCCCAGCCGTCGCGGGGGCATCGGCGACGTGAAGAGCGGGTGTTTGCCATTGTGGTGAAAACGTGAGTGTTAGTTTTCTGTTTTGGTCATTTTTGTGACCTCTAACAAATGCTATTTTTCGAAATCTTACTTTTGATTTCATTGTTAATATACAGGATACTTTTTAGCTCGATTTACCTGTTCTTTTTTGCCTTAAATTTTTGGAAAGCGAGTTATATTTTCTTGAGAAATCAGTGCCTCCAATAAACTTAACTTTTCTTTAAACGGACATTTATGATTTGAGGGAGCTTTCCAAAGTAAACAGCTGGATATTGAATTGTCTTTTTATGACAAATGTTTTTTTTTACGGTCGAACCAGGCCAAGACTCCATGAATGGATCGATTATTTATATTGAACTTTCTAGCTTTCGTTAGTCAGATTTCGAAATTCAGTATTCATGCATGCGTAGTAAATAATGAATTTATGTGTCAAATTAAGAATTAAGAATTCGATATTACTGCATCTGTTGGAACTTTCTCCATTCAAAAGTTTGAAAGATTTTCCAGTCTAACGAAATTCTGAGATGCTGTAGATTCTAAAATTCATTGCTAATTACGCATGCAGGAATGCTGAAATTTAATTCTTGCAACACAAAAATATGCAAATAATCTAGCCATAAATGGTTGCTATGGGTTTACTCTTGTCCTGGTTCAACTGAAAAATAGCTTTTCATGTCTGGTGTTGGAACTTTTACAGTAATTGTTGTAAAGTAAAATTTGTATGTTTCATGGACAACCAAACAATCACACCAGAATTTCAAATTAGCCTGTTTCTGTTCTCTGTTGCATGTGCAGCTATCAATCACAAATAAACAAAACAAACAATCTTTTTTTGTCTAAATGTTACCTAGAATCTTTTTCAGTACAAGAAGGGCACTCCAGAAAGGGGTCAATTACGGGATTCTATTGCTGGTAATTTAAATGCAATGGATTACCCAAAGTTTACAGTTGCAAAACGGTTATGTCACGATCGTTGGACACTGTTATGCACAAAGTATAAAGGAAGGATGTCAGAAGAAATCCAAGCAACTGGAATAGATGCTGAGGTTGGAGAACTTGATGAGATCATTGAATATCTTATTGGAAAAGAAGATCATGCTATTGACAGTGATAAAGAAGGAAAAAAGAAAGCTGAAGCTGATAAAATGGCAGCAGAAGAAATACGGATTAAGGCTATGGAACGGTTTGGAAACACCAGTAAAAGAGGTGGAGAGGATGGAGAGGAAGGAGCCAAAAAGAAAAAAAGGAGAAGTGCCAGTGATGCAGTAGAATTTCTCAGAGAAAAAGCAAAGTGAGAACATTCTCTGAGAGAGGAAGAGCTATATACAGTGAAGGAAAGATCAACAAAACCAAACACTGTTGATATTACAGCAACAACAGCAGATGAATCAAGCATTGCTCACCCTCATGGAAAAAATGTTGCCTAAAGAGAAGAATTAACTGTTAATTACCATAACTCAATTTGTTGTTGTAAGCCAATGGTGTCTTTTTGAATGGCACTTTGTAGAGAGAGATTTTAATTTATGTCCATAAACTTTCATAGGACAATGGCATTTATGAAAGAAATGTTTACATTTTCATGTTATAATCATTTAAATTCGCTCATTGTGATGAATGCCTTTAGAAACTTTGGTGGCTTCTCAGTCATGCAGAAGCTGGTACAAAAAAAGACAAATTAGGCTTAAACATTTTGTTGTTAATTTATTGGTCAAAATTGTTCAACTGTACATGTTGAATATATGTTTATAACAAGAGTCTGAAATTTTGTGCCTCACAAACTCTACTAAACCCAACAACCCTTGACCATGATAGGTTTATATGCATTTTTTTTTAATCAGCTAATTGGGAGGGGTTGCTCCTCAAATTTCATAAGGTAACATCCAAGTTATTGCATATCATAACTGTTTCAAGTTATAAATTTTTATAAGAAGATAAAGTTCTCTTTTCTTCAACACATCAGCTATGCAAAATAGTATTGCAGGGTGGGAAGCTCAAGGTCAAAAAATGTTGCAGTATTGTTGCCATACAAGCAACTCAAAGCATTTTGGAGAAGCGCACAAACAATGTACATCTTTCTAATGCTGCGCATTCCTATCTTGAGATTCTTTTTGAAATCCACGAACTTGAAATATTTTATGATATCTCCAAATAACCACTCTACAGACACCCTTACTGAACTCGTCGAACTGTTGTTTGCTTCCATCAAGGGAGTAAGGTGGGGGTTCTGGAATGGCCCCTGAAGATAGACTCTTAGGGGGTAAGCAGGGTCGCCATACAAACACATTGGTAGCCCTGTTGCTGAGCAGGCATAGGCTTCCAGGTCGTGAAGTAGCCCAGAATCATGCAACATCCCTGCATCATGCCTCCTACCCTCTAAAGTAAAGAAAAAAAGCAAAGTAATAAACTTAAGGTACTTACTGTATTGATCAACTCATAGCTTCCTAATTTTAATATACAGCAACAGAAGTGATAGTAGTGATCTTTTGTTCTTACATTTGCTCCAAACTTGTAAGATCAAGCAGTTCTTTTTATATACCGTATATAGGCAAATGACTTTTCATTAAATTTTAGCCATGTCCTTAAAAAAAACTGCATCAGGTCATTCAAATCAATGCTACCCCTATTTTTGCGGACGGTGTCAAAGTAATATTGTTCAATGGCACTTACCCACATAAAACGAGAAATTCATCGTCGGAAAGTAAATTTTCAGCATAACACAGCAGTGTTAATTCTCTCGTTTCTTTAAAAGAAGTCATTTTTTCCTTTGGAAGGCCACACCGTCGCTGTCTGAATTTCATTTATGCTAAATTCCCGAAAGGAAACACAATCGTTGGCAAGCCCCGTACCCAAGATTTTAGGGCTCAGCACACTTGTTATTGAGCAAGGCTTAAAACAGCGAAAGGGGTGTTCTTCGATACATTTCTTTAATCCTGTATGAAAACTCTAAGAATTTTTATTTTATTATGAACCAATTCATCAATAAATTAAACTTGCTTCATGTTGAAGTTTATCAAAATGAAATATCACGACGCTTACCTACTGTATTATTCAGTGTGATTTTTTGTTACTGTCGTTTTTACCGTGATTGAAAACTTTTCTGCGAATTGAAGTCAGATATGAAATAAAATTGAGAATAGCTCAAGTATGCACTTTTTTTATGTTTGAAATTTTTGATCAACGCCGATGAAAACTAAGACAAGAAAGTCATGCTCTCGCTTCGAAATAAAATGACAGTCAACTTGACTTCGGCACGGCTTTTTAAATCGACTAATTTGATTCAGTCTTGAACGACTTCATTCGTTAAAAAAAATTAAAATAAACAAAAACAAAAAAAAAACAAAAAAAACAAACAGTAACGAAGTCTAACCGTTTCGTTGGGACTAGTTTGAGTTAATTTCATTCTTTCACGGATAAATAGGAACTCATGACAGCGACACAAATCATAGAAAAAAAAGAACTATGTATTAGGCTAAAAAATTTGATAGATGAATCAGCAGACTCGAGACTAAACTGGAATGGAATAGTTTCAAAGTTTAATCGCCATGTAGATTCATATTAACAACTTACTTGCCGTATCTATAACTATCCTCTGTTGGCGCTTGTTACATAACTCTCAAAGAGGATAATTTCGTTGTCCTTAGAGTGGTCTCTGTAACCGAAAATTCAAAGGTAATGGTGATCTTTAACAAGCTGAGGTGAGGATTCTCGTTGCAACGACTGCTAAATCACTTTTCGACACAACGCGACGACGTTCTCGACACAGTTTCTTATCGACATTTTTACTGCGCGCGCCGTTCTGAAATGACGTTCCCGTCCTCTTGCTTTAGCCTTAACAGGAAAACCAGCGAAATGACGTCCTGAACTTGATAGGAAGAACGGCAACGCTAACAACGGAAGTCGAAATAGAGTCGTGTCCAGATTATCCGCGCGCTTTCCCGTTCTGAAATGACGTTCCCGTCCTCTTGCTAAACCACTATATTCAGCGAGGCGGTGTTCGATGGTTCTCGTTGATACCTGAAGTAACTCGGCAAGTTGTGGAACTGTAAACCTCAGGCCAATCAGTGACTGTAGCTGATCTTGCGTAATGTCATATGATGTGCGACCTCATATACTAGTGTTGACTCTAAGAATTCTCACTGACGTTCGCCTTGAGTTTTTCAGAATGTTTCTTAATGCGGAAATGTTTCGATACACATCATCTGGCAATCTCATCAGAGAATCCAAACAATTAACAGCGTTTAAGATTTGATCTATGTTCCCTAGTGCTTCATCGATATCCAACGTTTCAACGGGGTTTGTTAAACTACAACAGACATTTTCAATTTTCAATTTTCGGCCATTGACATCCTCGCCGCATTCGCAAGGTCGTCCGCCATGCTGACGAAAGAGTGAGAGGAACGCGGCAAATGACTAGTTAGCAGGTTTTGCTCCGTAAACAGGGCTGGGTTAGTCTCCGAACTGCTGCACCATATTTTTTCAGTAAAGAGCACCATTTACCAAAATTGACTCGAGCCAGCATTTACAAAAGTAAAGAAACCATTAAAGAAGATTCTTAGCACCAATTAGGGAAAAATAGCCACAAATTACATAAAATAGGGGCAGCATTTACGAAACGATAGGCACCGTTTATGAAAACAACTGTCACCATTTTAAAAAACAGAGGCAGCATTTACAATATTATAGGGACCATTTATAAAATCGAGGCACCATTTGAAAAAAAAACGAAGGCTGCATGTACAGAAATGTAAGCACCATTTACGAAAATGCAAGCACCATTTACGAAAAAAACAGAAGGGCTGAATTTTAGCGGGAATGGCACCTCATACCGCCTGCGCATTACATTCTCCCTAGATCCCTCGCTCCTCCATTAATGGCTGAGATAGTGCCCGTGGTAGAGTTGGTCGCGCATGCTAAAAGTAGCACCTTGTACGGTCGGTCGTACGGTCATACGTCCAAATTTTTTCGGCTTGATGGGTTACTACTTTTTCGTACTATTTTGCGCGCTGCGAACTCCGCTCTAAATTTTTGTAATTAGTCAATTCTTCGTTTGTCTCGTTTCTTATGTGTCCCAACATATCTGTAACACTAACTGTGTGGTTGAGGTTCTAGAGACGAAAACAGGGTGCTTTTCTCATTTAAAAAGTGGGATAAGTGATTGATTGTATCTTTGCGTTGGCGTATTGCTATGCATACAATTTTAACGTACCATAATTGCTTTCTGACACCTAATGACTTCTTGGGTAATTGTAATTTTAATGATACTTTCTAAAAAATCAAAACGATTACATGACGAATTAAAAGATAAAATAATCTAGTAGTCGCTGTCATAGTCAGTGTCGCTCCCGTCACTGGACTTCTCTGTCTCCGTGAATACTTGATTCGGAGGTGGGACGGTTGGCCCCATAAGTGAATCGTGGCCTGGTGTAATACCACTGTAATGGTTCCGTGCCCATAATGACCCAAAGTGGGGGACGGGATACGATTTTTTATGTTCGCGCACGTATTGTTGATGGTTAAGTCGTCCGCCTTTGCTGAATATGTTTGGTCAACGGATGCATAGATGACCTCGCTACCAGCTGCCTGGGTGGTGTTATTCAACCACATAATGTCTTTCAACATGCTCCCAAAGTTTTTCTTTTTTAACGTCCTCATGTCTTTCATTTTTGTTGGGGCTAAAAAAGACGGGTGCAATGAATGAATTTAAACGTAATCATAACATTTTACTAGAAGGGGAAAAAGTATATAGTAGCTTAGTGCTCAGACATTGACTCTTTAAGGGCCTGTTTACATGGAGGTGGGGGACCCCAGGTAGGTGAGGTAACCCGCCTAGCCTTGGTCGAAAAATAAAGTGCGTTTACATATAATCCTACAACCCCGGGGTGCTGGAGTGAGGTTTTTTGAGGTTGTTGTTGCGCTTGCAATTAAGGAGTTTGAGCAGAGGCGTCCCAAGCTCACATCTCGAGAAAGACGAAAGATTAATTCTCGGACACATATGTATTTATTCATGAAAGCGTCACGCGTTATTACGCGGTGTTTGGTTTCGCGAGGAACCGTTGACTTTATGCGTTAAACGAAATAGTTTTGGAAACCAAATATGGTCGATTTATAACGCTAAATATTCCGAAATGTGAACATTTTACACTCCTCGGGTGTCCGTTGCGGTTTCTGGTGATTTCTGCCATGAGACGGCTAGGAAATGTACAAAGTTTTAAAACATACATGCTTCGCTTTTGAGCTTTTTACCATGAACGCGACCCCGGCTAGACGGGTTACTCCACCTTGACACGTTTACATGGCAAATTGACTCCCCGGCTGACAGGGTTACCCTACCTATCATGTAAACGTGATCAAAATAAAATAAGTAATTATATGGACAAGCGGGTTACCCCGCCAAGACGGGTTACCTCACCTACCTGGGGTCCCCTACCTCCATGTAAACAGGCCCTAAAGATCGAAAACCGTTTGATGGGTTTATCAGAATTTAAGTTAAGGATTAAGAAGACCTCGAGTGCACCTGATAGTTACACTTTGAAAGACATGCGGAAGAAAGACAATAAAAACAAAACAAAAACAAGAGTGCATGGTATGTCACTAAAGGAGGGAATGGGGGATGGGAAATTGAAAATAGGAAATCAAGTTTAAAGAGAAAAAATGATTTTTTTCTTTTTAGACTTACTTTTTATAATGCGGAACATATATTTTTCAGCGGTCATTATCAATATCCAGATTCTCTATCAAAAACACTTTGGGTTAAAATTAAAGAAACGGAATAAATTGATGACAAGGAAAGAAGTAACCCTGACCAGTTTCGTTAAGTCACTATCTGAAGTTTAGCGCAATACGAAAATAATTCCTATGATAATTTCACTCATATTTCCGAAGGAGGGAATCCCAAATCGAGGCTCCGTTCGGGTTTTTGTTCACACTTTAAGGAAGAGGTTACTCATATTTGTGGGAAACCCACGGAAGTTCAGGAGTCTGATACATCACGTGCTAAAACTATTTAAGTAGATTACCATTTGCAACCTTTTAAATTAATTATCAGCTTGGCTCGTCTTAAGGACGTGCGATTATTCTTAGATATGATTTTTCAGTTTCGCTGCAACCGCAAGCTGGAACCGCTTCTGATCAAAAAAACCTCTATCAGGGCCGGGTCGCACTGAAGTGAATTCAAGTATTTTCCATTTTTTTGCAAACCAAAGATTGGCAACATTTTTGCTCTTTCCAAATTTTGGAGGCGGTCGCATCAAACTAATATCCATTGATGAAAACTTCACTGATTGAATCATACGTCAATCACAAACCTACCTCACTCTAAAAAGAAATAGAAAAAAAATATCGCGCGAATTTTTTCGTTTCAGTTGACACTTGCGCTACCTGTGCTGGCTTCAATACTTACTACGGAAGGAGAATTTCTCGTAGAAGCCATATGTTTTCTAAATTGCTGCCAGTTTAACCGCTCCCAGGGTACGAGTCACAGACATTTGAATTAAAGCGGCGCTCAAATTCATTCCACTCGAAAGAAAAAGGATCAGGTGGACGAGGGAAATCCTGCCATCGCACGCCAAACAAGACTAGCGGACCAAAGTAATTTTTTTCCAGGTGAAATTTTATCCTGGCATATCTTGCATATCATGACAGCTAAACATGAATGTTTTGGAAGCCCCCCTAGCGAAAATTTGGTAAGTTTTTCTAATCGAATGTTTTTTAAACAAAAAAGCGTGGATATTGGTTATGACCACTGAAAAAAGATGAAAAAAAACCGCATAACAAACAATAAGTCAGAAAAATACATATTCTCCCATTTAAATTTCCCCTTTCATTTTCCCATTCCCCATTTTTCATTTTCTAATTCTCATTTTCCATTTCCCATTTTCCACAGCCCATTGCCCATTCTCCATTCCCCGTTCCCCACTCCCATTCCCGATTCTCATTGCCCATTGCCCATTGCCCATTGCCCATTGCCCATTGCCCATTGCCCATTGCCCATTGCCCATTGCCCATTGCCCATTGCCCATTGCCCATTGCCCATTGCCCATTGCCCATTGCCCATTGCCCATTGCCCATTGCCCATTGCCCATTGCCCATTGCCCATTGCCCATTGCCCATTGCCCATTGCCCATTGCCCATTGCCCATTGCCCATTGCCCATTGCCCATTGCCCATTGCCCATTGCCCATTGCCCATTGCCCATTACCTATTACCTATTACTCATTGCCCATTGCGCATTCTTCATTTCCCGTCCCCAGTTCCCCGTTCCCAGTTCCCCGTTCCCAGTTCCTCCGTTCTCCATTCCTCCTTTAACCCTTTAACTCCCAAGATCTCATTAGTTATTCTCCTTACTGTCTGCCAAACGATTCTCATTATGTCAGTTTGGAAAATTTGGATCAATTAGTAATCCCATAGTTGACAATTTTCAGTTATTTTTTTAATTTTAAAAAAATATAACATGTATGTTCTCGTACAGAGAGTGGTATGTTACTCGCACCAATCAGATCTTTTAGGGTATGTATCTTGCACCAATCAGAATGTCGTTTTTGTTCTTTGGTTTGAGAGGTGTTCGAATTTCATCGAAGTGATAAGGGATTCAGAGAGAGCGGTTCGTAAAATGGAATCATCTTTTAGAATAAGAAATGGCTTTTCTGTGAACCTTGGCACATTAAAGATCTTTTTAGAACAATGACTCAAACAATTTCTCTAGATTTTTGAAATGGCACAAATTACTCGATACATCAGGCCGGGGAAAAAATCGATCTTTGACAAATAAAACCAAAAGAAGAACTGCAGTTGAGGACCCAAAGCAGGGTCAGTAGACAAACCCAAACACGACAAGCGGTGGCGATTATTGTCCGAGAATCAAGCCATATTATACCACTGCTGAAGTTATCATGTCTATCTCATATCTATCTCAAACGTTCTACATTAGTTATTTTTAATTATTATTCAACTTTCATACACTGTACGAATTCCGATTTTCTGATTGGCTAACTTGTACTACGTGATACTGGGTTGTTAAGAAACAACCTCCTTGAGGTCATTATCGTGGTGTAATAGCCGTGGTATAAATTCAGCACACCTCTGTCATTACACCTCTGCTTCGGCTGACTCAAATTTGACGATTTATCAGATGCAGACATTGATTCTCTTCTTGATGATGCATTCCTAAAAACATCAAGAAAGCAACTGCCTGAGGAATATCTATTTTGAAAGGTGACGTTGCCAATTTTAAATTTTTCATTCAAGCTAGTTGAGGTGTTTAAATTTAAAATCAACATTCTGTCTGGTCTACCCAGTATATATTGGTTTCAATGCAGTGTTTCTTTGTAAATTGTCGGGATTTAACGGTACTCGTTCACAGACAGTGAACTCGAAATGAAATATCTCGTTCATTTCAGATCGGAAAGCCGTAAAACTCTAGAACAAAAATTTATCTTCCAAATCGGCACTCTTAATCTCCACGGTATCAACGAGCGCTTTTCATTCAACTAATTTTTTTCTTTTTTTCTCGATATCATATTCCCACTTATAGCGTGGCTTCACTTTCTGTATGTAAACCCACACACAACCCACAATTCCTCCAATCGCTCTGAAGAAGGGCTTACGCTCGAAGCGTCATCCTTGGAACTCTTTACAATGGCCAATTTACTTTTTCAACTAAGTTGATAACACTAAATTACCCTGTTATACTCTCCCACCGACGCAGCTCCACAGTTTATCTAAAAACTTACCTCCTTTATTCGTGCAGGTAAATCCCGATAATTCACTCGCTGAGTGCGTTAACCTGTAATTAAAGGTCTTAATAAGACCACAGAACGAATATGAAGCTTATAAGGGTGTTTGAGGTTGAAAATATTAATTTATTACATATCAATTCATCGAAACCTAAACGAGTTCTTTGAAGTCATCATGATAGTTAGAATCGCGTTCCTCAGTTAGGGCGTAAGAATCCTAAAGTTAGCGTTGATACTGGTGGACCGGGAAAGTCTAAACGAAAGGACCTGAGATGACTCGAAGTGACAGGTTATACTAGCAAGTCAATGACTGAGTAAGTTTGGTATTTTGGAAGAGGAGCTGTATAGTGACTTGATTTTCTATGGTGTAATGAGGATCATCCAACACAACATGCGCAACAGCGCGTTTTTTTCTTTGCGTCTTTCACCGCAATGTACCACTCGCTCGTAAAATCTCCGTTGAAGACTACAGGTATTTACTGTCAACGATTCCAATCAACTTGGAATCCTTGGAATCTGTAGAATCCCTAAATCTGTTTTGTTGTAACTTATAAGTTCGGCTGAGTCTCTTCAACGTATCTTTCAGTACGGTTAAGAGAGGATGTCTTATAGGACTGAGTTACAGAGAACTCGATGGCAATTGGATATATTTTTTGCAGCGTTGCTTATCAGTTATCGGTGACTTTTTACAGTTTACCAAGGCTGTCTTTGCGACAAAAGGAAACTTTAAGAGACCATTACCACTAATCGTCTTCGCAACCATTGGTGCAGTGTAATGTCTCTTTCGCTCTCAATTTTATCATGATTCTTTTAAACCCCAAGGGAAAAATAAAAAGCTAAGACACACTAAGCAATTCATGTTGATCTCAAGGATTAAATTAGTCCTATCAAAATGTTTGGGAAAAGTGCATACGAAGCGATCTTTTACACGTATAGGTCATCTTACAATGTTCTCTGACATGTGAGAAGCTCACAAACTTTTTCCAATTCAGATCCAGTTTATACTTTTACTACCCTGTCGCTGCAATTCTCGCGTGATAATGATAATGATGATGAAAAGTCTTTGCCATCTTTTCGGATGCATTGCTTTGTGGTTGGGTATGATTTTCGCGAATACCATGACTCTTCCATGACACTCACTGAATCATTGAACTTTTTATTTGCTTTTTTAAGAACCAAAACGATTACATAAAGAAGCAAACAAACCAAAACCTATAGGTCACTATAGGAGTCGCTCCCTTCGGTGGACGTCTCGGTCTCTAAAAATTCTTGGGTTGGAGGTGGGACGGTTGGCCCGGTAAGCGAATCTTGAGCTGGTGTAATACCACTGTAATTGGGTCCGTGCCCGTACAGACTCAAAGCGGACGACGGGACACGACTGTTCATGTTCGCGTACGTATTGTTGATGGATAAGTCGTCCGCGTACGATGGATATGCTTGGTTAGCGGATGTGTAGATGAGGTCATTTTGGATTGAGTAAATTGGTTTCTGTAATACAAGATGCTTCCTGGGTGGTTCTTCTTCAACTTCCTGATGTCTGTCATTTAAAATGTGGCAAAAAAAGATGTAACCAACAAATTCAATGCAACTTCACCACAAAAATATGTAACTAGAAGAAGGAAGAAAGTATTTCATAGCAGCTTAGAGTTTAGATACTGACTCCTTGTGTAACAGGTTCATCCGATGTACGTTCCTGTAGTCAGGTGAGGCAAAATCGATAAAGTCAGCGGTAACATTTAATTGAAAATTGTTCCATAAGCTGTGTCATAATAAAATTTATATTACATGTTCCCAAGGCTAAGATTAAATTTAAAACTGGAGATTTACACTCAAAATAGCCAGGCGATAAAAATTATCATTAAAAATCCATCTAGAAATGAAAGTGGTTTTTAACCAGATATGTTTGCGAAAAGGTTAAATGTCCTTTACATGTACTTCTTTCTTACATATGGGCTTCAGATATAACCTAATTTTTGTTTCTTTGTCTTCCCTCCAATTGTAATCCGAGATAGTATTTACTACTGTGATAATATGCTTTTTTGTTTACCTTTTTTCCTTCTTTCTCAGCCTACCAAAGCTTTTGACCAACACAAAGATTAAAAGAACCAATCCTACTCCAGCAACAGGTATAATGTACCACTCGCGGAAGAAAAATCCTAGGAAGATTTCGATGTAAACCAGAAAAATGTTCGTGATCGCCCAAAACTCTGAATCCTCTGAAATACACAATGACTTTTCACTACAGTGTCGTTCGTTCGAAGACCTTAACTTTTAAATCGTTACTATGGTAATCATCTGCTGAATTTAAGTTAAGAACTAAGGAGGCATCGAGCGCACCTGATAGTTACACTGGGAAAGACATCCGTAAGAAAGACAGCAAAAAAAAAAACAAAAAACAGGAGTGAATGGTCTTCCTCCCTCTTTCCTTTGAACATATCAGAAGTGCACAGGACTGAAGCACACACATCTACCGCAATATGTAACAGATAAGAACGAGGTATGGGCAGAGACCCTTGGATCCTTCTATATTTTGAAATTTATCTTTGAAACACCGAATGCTTCAGCGATAAAGCTGGTGATGTCGAGTATCAAACTTTCGCCTTTGTCTGAAACTAAAACGAAAGCAACAACAAGAACAACAACAACAACAACAACAACAGAAAGGGACAAACCTTCTCCGTATAGCTGCACTTCAATGATTTTTCTTATCTCGCATCCGCCCTCTTTGAGTAAAATTTCGTAGATTCCCGCTTGCTCCGGGCTTGCTGTAACTATTTCCAGCTCGGTTTTATCAGCGTTTAAAAAGGTGTAGTGAGGGTCCTTATCGTTCACCAATTCTTCACCATGCGTCCAAAATAAGGCGCCCAGATCTGATTTCTCAACTTTCAACATAGCAGAATCCCCAGCCTTTATTTTAATAGGATTCTCAACCGAGGTATTCAGGGATACATCTGCAGAATAGCAGAATCGGGATGATTAAATTGTCTTTCCTTTTAAAAGTATGATTGTTGGATTATTTTGACAATAAAACGCGCCACAATAAACCATCTATGGCAAACTAAATCCAAATGATTAAATTATCTCGAAAATCGAGTGACAATCATTTGCATCCGTTGAGGTCATACAAACATAATTTAGTAAACTTAAACATTTGAACAAAAAAAAGAAGATAGAAAGTAGAAAGAAGATAAAAATAAATGAGAGGGGAATAACTAAGATGAGAGAGAAAATAATACGGAGAAGAGGAGAAAGAAATGAAGGAAGAGGACAGATGGGTAAATATTTGTGTACGGAAAAGGGTAAGGACGTTTTCAATTCATAAGTAAATTTTCTTACCACCAACTCTTAAAAAAACAGAAGTAAAGGAGTATACAGAGTCGACAGGTGACCCATTCTGCATTAAAACTGCAAAGGCGGTGTAGTTTCCAGAGTGAGAAGGTAAAGCATTGTGGACATACAGCGCCGTATTATTCATCCGCAGAGAAAAATGCTCGTTTTCGTGTACTTCAGGAACCATGTTATGACTCCAAATAACGTGGAAATCATAGCCATGAAAATTGCTGTTAACTTCTACTGCAAAGGAAGCTTTTTCACCAACACAGATGTCTAAATGAGAGTTCGTCGACCAAATTTTGATTTCCCCTGTGGTATGAATGTATAATCAGCATAAGAAAAAACAGTCGCTGGCTATTCTAAACTTTATATTTACTTTATTTTGACCTATCACAACTTCTGGAAGCTTGAAAAAAATGACCAAACAATACAGACCTGTCTGGACTCGAATTTCTTTACGTTTCACACATCTGCCCTCTTTGAGGAAAACCTCATAAACTCCTGCCTGCTCCGGGCCTGCATTAGAAATTTCCAACTCGGTTTTTCTGGGAGTCAAAAAGGTGTGGTGAGGTCCGCCACCAGACAATAGGTTTCCATTGTGCTTCCAATCTAAGGTGCCCAAATCTGATTTCTCTACTTTCAAGATAGTGTTATCACCAACCTGTACGATAACCGGACTTTTGACCGAAGTGTTTAGGTAGAGATCTGCAAAATTGATTCGGAAGCCAGAAAACTTGCCATTTCTGCTTACCATAAACACGATTTATGATACGTTCTTATCAATGAAACACATTACCAACGCTGATCTGAGGTGTAACAAATATCAGCATATGAATTATGATGTTAATGAGATGCCTAGCTTTATTGCTTTTAATGAAATGAAATATAGAGCAGGAAAAGGAAACAAAGTTAGGAAATGAGGAAAAATTAAGAAGGGAGGCGAAAAAAAAGGATGGGAGGGGCGGGTGGATGGATGGGCAAACGGATGGATGGACATACCGGCTGCAGATGGATTAGACATTCAGATGGAGGAATGAATAAATGGATGGATGAAAGGAAGGAAGGAAGAAGAGAGGATTCCATGTACAGAATTGAAAAGAATAAAACTGTCGCAAAGGTCTGTATGATGTTTCCTAAGAGACTATATTATGTTTGCAAGTAGCAATGATCTTACCACGAACTTTCAACTCAAACGAAATGGACTGAACCAAATTCCACATTTCTGTAATAACATAAAAAGTATATACTCCAGAATGATTAGCTGAAGCGTTGATTATATTCAGAATTTTCCCGTCCGCCTTCTCCTCAAAATGTTCATTTTTCGGCAAGTATGAGTGTTGTTGTCCCCAGTAGTATTTAAGGCGATATAAATCACCCGTTAAATCGATCTTGAAAGAAGCGTTTCCACCAACACAGACGTCGTCAACAGAATTCAACGATGAAAGTTTAAAGTTTCCTGCAGTGTTAAAACAACATTGATGAGTGTGAGGTATGATTTCACAGCTATGTCACCGTGAACTTCGCCTTTCAACGCTGAAAAAGATGACACACTTTGCTTTCATCGACTGAATCACTATCATTGCATATTTGTAGGATTTCGATGCACCTAGCTGATTTTTGCAATGGGGCTGGTCTACAAAGGGTGGAATGCCAATTTTAGAGATAAATTTTTAAAGAGAGTGGTAATTATGGCCTCATTTTAAACCTTGTGACAGCTAAGACAGTCCCACTTATTTGAGAGATGCCCATATTCATGATCAAAATGCAGAAAAAGAAAACTCGCCTATGAGCCAAGAAATAAGAAAGCTGTTCGTTCCGTAAGACAACAATTAACCGGGAAAACATAAACCGGTCTAACCGGTCGGCTGCGCCCGCTACGCTTCTTTATCCTCATAGCATTTCCCGCCTTACAAGAAATGACACTTGGCACCAAAAGAGGGGTTGGATAATAAATAACTTATTAGACCTTTTAGTGTGAAATATTGCTTAGTTTTTTTACTCGTTGTTTGTATTTTGATAGGCCTAAAGGTGCTCGTCAAAATACGGTACAACTCGTAAAAATACTCAGCGATACTACACACCAAAATGTCTAATAAGATATATATATTCTGATTGCAGTTATATCATTGGTTTTAGAGGAGAAGTTTGTAGCATTATGCCTCCATAATACTGGAAAGCAATTACGACTGTTATATGCTGGCTATTCTTAAGCGCAATTTAGTAAGTGTTATCATCCGTGTTACTTACTTGAATAGCCAGAACAAGCTATCTCAACTGAGTAAAGGGGGTAAGTTTCTAAAGATACTGTGGTGCTGCGTCGGTAGGAGAGTATAACAGGGTAATATCGACTAAGTTGATAACGTGAATTTGTCAAAGTAAAGAATTTCAAAGCTAGCGTTTCGAGCGTAAGCTCTTCGTCAGAGCGAATGGAGAAATTGTGGGTTGTATGTGTGTTATTATGCAAAAAAGGGGGTTACGCTATTGGTGTAAATATGGTGACGGGAAAACAAAAATTAATTAGTTGAATGAAAAGCTCTCGTTGATACCGGAGGCATTAGGAGTGCTGATTTGAAAGATAAAGTTTTTGGTTTAAAGATTTGCGACTTTCTGAACTACCTAGATGCAGGGAAAGGCCGCGAATTGTCATATGCTGCTTAGAATAATAAGGGAGATTTAGAGTCTAGCGACTGATTTGGATGCGTCCATGTCATATCTTTCTGCGTCGCGAAGGTGTTCTCGGAATTGGTCATCTAAAAGTCTTCCTGTTTCACCAATGTATAACTTTTTTAAATAAGTGCAAGTTATGCAATAGATGACATCGGCAGAGGTGCTCGTGAAGTGATCAGTGACCTTGATGGATCTCTTGGGTCCCAACCTTTTCTCAACGTTATGAATGAATGGAAAAGTTTTGCACCGTGAGCGAGTGCATTTGACAGTTCCAGGTTAGTCATTGGTTTGAAATCAACTTTTGACCAGAAAGCTGCCTATTTGTTTTTTACGCGTTTAAATGAAATTATGGAGGTTGCGAAAAGACAGTGCCAGTTTCTGAATCTTTTTTTATGTAACCTAAACTACGTAAACGACGAAGACTGAGAAACTGTAAAAAAAAGTATAGAGTTCTTGATATGTAATGGATGCGAAGATGAATACAACAAGTAACTATGTGAATTTGTAGGTTTGTAGTAGTGCATAGACCGTTACCTTCAATTAAAATTTTGATGTCTAGAAAAACCGAAGAAGTGTCGGAAACTTCCCAGGTATAATTCAGAGCCGGAGGAGAGAAATTGACAGCGCTTATAAATTGAGTGAGCTCCTCTCTGGTAGAGGAGGTAGCTCCGATGCAGTGGTTAATGAAGCGACCGTAGAGTTCAGGTTTTGAGCCGTTGTACTGACTGAAAATTGGTCGTTTATCGTGTTTTTGACGATGTTTTAGTTGATGAAAGTGAGACCTTTGTCAACTTTTTCATAACAAGAGGTGTCAGAAAGTTACCGCAAAGCCTCTTCTTGGTAGAGTTCGGCCTCCCTAACAACGACTGCGCCTCCTTTTCGGCCGCTTTGATAACTGTGTCTTTGCGTTCTTTTAGACTTTTTAGTGCCAACCATTCTTCCGAAGAAAGGCTGGAAAATTTGGCGTTTCGATTGAATTTAAGTTTGTTAATATCGTGATAACATTTTTTTGATTAAAAAATCTTAAGATGCGAATTGACCCTTTGGGGGAGTCCATTTCGACTGAAGTGTTTTGAAAAGTATCTTTGTTCGAGGTGTTAAAATCGTCTTCCTTATCGTAAAAAAGGCATTTAACTGAATGCGGCGAAGGATATTTTCAACATCTTGCTTAAATGCAAATTCGTCGGGTTTTTCGGAAATGGGAACAAAATTTAAGCCCTTACTAAGAACTGATCTTCCTTCGCCGCGGAACTTTTCAACGCCTTACTTAACTGAAATTTTGTTAGGCTTTTTGGAAAAGAGAACAAAATTTAAGCCCTCACTGAGAACTGAATTAAACTTATCTTCCTTCGCCGCGTTCGAACTACAATTAGCGTAGCTCCATTTCTGCATATAAACACACACAGTTCGTTTATTCCTCTACCCGCTCTGACAAAGGGCTAACGCTCCAAAAATCGGCTTTAAAACTCTTTTCGGTGGCCAATTTACTATATCAACTCAGTTGATAATACTAAATTACCCGATCTCAACTGAGCGTACTAACTCACAAACCTATTATATCCAGATTAATTTCTTTCTGCAACTTGCATTCGCCTTCTCTGAGTGCAACCTCGTATTTACCCCCATGCTCCGCTCGGGCATTAGAAATTTGTAGTTGGGTTTTACTTGGATTTAAAAAATTTAAACCAGGTTCCTTGCCGTACACATCCTTTCCATCATGCGTCCATGATAAAAAGCCCAACTCTGATTTCTCAACTTTCAAGATGGTTGAAGTTGTACGCATTATCCTTACGGTATCCGGGACGAGAAGTTTTAAGTAGACTTCTGTAAGATAGAGATAGAAGAGTACTTTTCGTTTCATGGTATTGATAGAATTGAAATTGTGCTATTTGATAACAAAAATAAAGAAGTTAAAAGATTTCGGAGGGAGGATCGAAGAAAGACCACTGATATCTTTACAATTACTTTGTTCTCTGAAAGGGCACGGAACAGTTTGTATAAAAGTAATCTTACCTCGCACTGTCAAAAGGAACTGTGTTTCGCCAAGTTTATGACTATCACTCTTTCGATAAACAGTTGCATGGTACCATCCTGAATGAACAGGCAAGGCGTCGTATACAACAAGATATATTCCTCCATATCCTATACCATAATGCCCTCCGTTCTTGACGTATTCATTTTTGTAACGCCAGCGTACGTTGACATCATCTTCATGTTCACCAGAAATCTTTACTCTGAGTTTAGGCATTTGACCAGCACAAACATCAACATTTGGGTCGAGTGACCAAACTTTAGAGCATTCCCCTTCTATTAGAGAAATAAACTTATAAGTATATAATCATAATAATAAAACTTTATTTAAACACAGTAAATACCTAAAGCCAGAGGCTTGTGGGGTCGTGTTAAAACAAAATTAATATGACATAAATAATATTAATAAATAATATATATAAATTTATCTAAAAATATAAAAATTTATATACAACTTCTTTTAAATATTAAAGCAATATATGTCTCAGACACTTCTAAGCAGTCACTCCGAATCCAACAAACACCAACAAAAACCGATAGTTTATTGATTTATATGGATATTCGTCGAACTCAGAATGGCTTCCCAACAGTGTCTGATGGTTGAGTCAATCAATCCCAATAAGATATTTAAATATTGTTTTAAGATTGACTCAACCATATCTCAAGAATACATATACGTATCGTTATATTTTGGTTTACACTGATCAGTTAAACCATCAAAATTAAAATAAAAGAAATCACGTGACTTAATTAAAAGTTTACAGAGATGCTTTGTACTCTTATAGTCTACGTAAATATCATAGCATTTGGTTCTGGTTCTAGAGAAGAGTCTTTCAAGTCGTGGAATATTTTCTTTATTCCTGAAAGGAATAATCTATTTTCGTCTTTGAATTTTCTCTTACCAGAGAAAGGGCTCTTTTCGGAGCAAAATTTGGTGATAGGGTAAGGAATTAACACAAAAAAAGGGCACTAGGGCCTGCATTATTCTTAGCTGTTGTCAGTCTGCAACGGAATCGGGACCAATCATTGATTTTTCAGTGTACACTTTCGGTGTTTCAAAGAAAATTACAACGATAGCTTCCCCGAAATCATGTCTTACTCTGACACTTTGTAGAGCCCGTACGACCATAGTGTTTTAGAGTCGACCAGTGTCAGACCATGCAACGCATAAAGCGAACTGCCGGATAAACCACGAGTTAAAGTTAAATTTAAAAAAGGCAAATACTTGGGAAAAACTTAAGGTTAATAGAATGCAGCATAACGGAAAAAAATATTCAAATCATGTCATTTCACGGGAATAACTCTCATTACCACAGCGGTTACTAATTTTAGGTTTGTACTTTCAAATGTTGATGAGAACTTGCTCGTTCCCTTTTGTTCTCTTTTTGTCTCGTGTATCGTTTTTAACAAAGTCTCATGGTTTATTTGTTATACAGCTAAGTGAAGAGAGGTTTTTCTTACCTTTACACAAAAGGAGAAAAACGAAGAACACAAACGTCTTGAAAAGCAAATCCATTGTCAGTAACAAGTCGATCGCCTCTAAGCTGGTCAATTTGTTCTTCAAATCCTTTCAGAAATATGATTGTGATGCAATGTAGAATGTTTTGCGCGCGCGGTTTTTCGGTTTTGGATGATTTTTTCTACGGTTTTGTGGTTTCTAATAGGCTATAAACACCCCCCCTCCGCTATCAAACTGCGAAACAATACCGCATCAAAATACGAAATAAAGCCTTCTTCATAAATTGGTATCAGTCACCTTATTTCATTCATTGACAACGTTACGAAGTACCTTAATGGTTCGCAAGACCCAAGCATTGCTGTTTCTGAAGCTATTAAACTTTCCCCCGACGGTGACGCAGCAGCTGCTCGATTGAAACCCAAGGCGAAAGAAGTTTATGAAATCTCAGGAAGCATCCTGGCCATCGATATCAACAAACAACATGTCTGAGTAAACTGCGAACATCGCAACGACTACGATGAAGACACCCCTGATGACCTTATACACTGTGTTCCCCCCTGCAAAATAAGCACGCTTAAAGTAAGCCTGTCAGTGTATGTATCAGCATATATCATTAATATTATTGCTGATGAAAATAAGGAAAACTTGGGCAGGTTTTGCTGCAACCGAGAAACCCTGGATGGCATATTTCAGTCACTTCTGGAAGTCGAGGGATATAATCTCGAAACAAAGTCAAATAACATGTCCAGGAAATTAATAGTCCAAACTCTCCTCTTGGTAAAACAAATCTCATTTCAGATTTACATAGAGGACAAAAAAATGAAGTCAATGAAGATAAACAAGTAAATATACTTTGTCATCCTCACTGTCGCTGTTGCTAAAATTTAATAATGCCATTTACGCAAAGAAGTTTGCAGCTTTTCTGATCGTCACAAGACTTTTCTATTCCTCGGAATGTTATTGTTGTTGATAGCAAGTTATTGTTGTTGTTTTTGATTACAAATTATTCTTGCGATCAAAGAAGACAAAGAAATTAAAACAATGAAGGTAAAGAACTAAGTATTAATAATTTGTCATCCTCACTGTTGCTTTTGCCATAATTTAATAATGCCACTTCTGATCCTCACAAGACTTCTCTATTCCTCAAAACGTTATTGATCACAACTTGTTGTTTTTGTTGATCGTAAGTTATTCTAGCAATCAAAGAGGACAAAAACTATGTAAATGAAGATATAGAACTAAATATACTTTGTCATCCTCACCATTCCTGTTATAATAATTTAGAAATGCCACTTAACGCAAAGAACTATGCAGGTTTTCTAACCCTCACAAGACTTCTCTATTCCTGAGAATATTATTGTTGTTGATCGCAAGTTATCATTGTTGTTGATTGCAAGTTATTCTTGCGATCAAAGAGAATAAAGAAATTAAGTTAATAAAGATAAATACTAAATATACTTTGTCATCCTCACGGTTGCTGTTGCTATGACTTAATAATACCACTTCCTGGGGGTACTCCCTTATATAAGCTATATAGGTGTGCTGCTCCAAACAGTGTGGTTTTTGAGTTATTCCGGTCTGAAAACGGGTATGGATTTTGGACATTTTGGCCTGAAATTGGGTATTTTTTGCCTACTTGTCTGAAATAGGTAATAGATTTTTGCCATTTTTAAGAGTCTGGTCTGAAATTGGGTAGGGAAAATCGCACATTTTGGTCTAAAATGGGTAAGAGTATAAACAAGCGGGTGGCACACCCCTACCACAAGTTGTTCTTGCGATCAAAGAGGACAAAAACATTTCGTAAATGAAGGTAAAGAAATAAATATACCTTGTCAATAATGCCACTTAAGACAAAGAAGGTATGTGGGTTTTCTGATCCTCACAACAATTCTCTATTCCTCAGAATGTTATTGTTCTTCATCGCAAGTTGTTGTTGTTATTGTTCAACCATAAGAAAAGTTATGGGAGGGGCTGGACATAAAATGAAGGATTTTTATAGTGGGCACTGTCGCACCAATGTACAGCCCAATCCTTTTATGTATCATTGGCCCACTTGCTTGTTCTACTGCTCCGTCCACTGTTGTTAAGAAACTAACCAGAGGTTCCAAGAATTTGTGGAACTGCAAGGAAAGCAAACAAATGGTAGTATGTTTCACTTCTGCTCACTTTCAGTGAAATGCATCACTCCAAAGCCCCAAAGAGCTTGTTCCCTGTGTGCATTATCGTATCCCAACCAATTAACACCCCTACTCATTTTCAGCCCACAATTATGAAGATCCATGCACATAGCATACTTATATGAAGCTCATAGCAGTGCATCACACTGCACACATTCATGCATTTCAATAAAAGTAGGCAAAACTGAAACAAACCATGAAGTGCAATTACACAAAAACTCAATGTCATCCCTCAAATAATGTGAATGAGTTGGCTCACAGAGCCTTTGATTCAATGATGGTAAGATAAAATAACATCTTGCCGTTTGTAATTTGAGATACATCAGCAAGAGCGAATGTTTCAAAGGATAACCAATTATTATTCTTTGAAAACTGAACGAAAGCTGATCCATCCCATCATGTGCTAACTTGTTTTGAATAAAAAACATGCAAAAATTTGACTGTTTTCCTCAAAGCCGTGTTTGTTGTCAAATGGGAAAATTGTAATTTCGGATATGAGTTTCATGTCTTCAAATACTACACTTTTTGCCTTTTTTTGCCTTATCTCGCTCTCTTATTACACCAGAAGGGACTCAGGAACAAGATGTCATTCCAACAAAGTAAAAACACTGATTTCTGCCGAAATGTGCGAGACTTTTGGGTGGTATTGTGACCAGAAACGTTGCTCATCAACCGAACTTTCTCGTTCCAACATGGCGGCGGACATTAGCCCGAGTGGTGATCAAGGGGAAAAGAGCTAGTGCCCCGACGCTGTTGTACTGCAACTCGGTTTGCTCATTTTATCCTGTTCTTCTACTTATCCACGACCTTGAACTGAACCCTGGGCCTCCCAGTTTTTGGGGGAAAAAAACCAAAGAGCAGAACGGTCAACGTTACTATCGCTCATCTTAATGTGCGGTCAATGGCTTCACGCGAGAAGTTTTAGCTGGTCAAGCAAACGATTGTTCACGGGAATTATAATGTATTTGTCATCTCTGAATCCTGGCTGGACCCTTCCACGACTAATAACGACATCCAAATTCCTGGCGATGTCATTTTCAGGCAGGATGGAGACCCGCATAAATCTGGGGGCGGGATCGTTGTTTACATACTCATTTAAAGCATCGAAGAAACCGAGGTTTTCTACGTACTTAAGTAAAGCCCTTTTCTTATATAAGTAGAAAACTTCAAAATAGATAACTCGCTAAAATGGTTTCCCTTCCACGTAGTAAGCGGTCAGATAACAAGCAACGCACTGTGGATGTAAGGTGAGGTATTTTTTGTGAGAATTTGACTTCTTTTTTTTATTCCTTAGAGCGGTCCTAAATATTCCCATACAAGTCATATAATTTCGCCATGACTGTTATTTTGTAAGATAATCATCTCACACCTGGAGTATGGGCCGCTTGTGATTGACGTGGCGCTTACATCAAACAAGAGCTATAAACGACAGTGAATATATGAAATTCATATATTTGAACAGCGGATAAAGACGTGGATACGAAAGCGATCTTCACAGTAATGAACACTGAGGATGATTCGAGGTGACAGGTTGTACCGGCGTGTCAATGGCTGGGTAAGTTACGCGTGTCGGAACAGTGGCTGCGCGTGCATAGATGACATCATTTTTAACGGTATAATAAGGATCATTTAACACAACATGCTGGATAGGGCGTTTATTTTCTGTGAGTCTTTCAACTTGCTTCTGGCTGGTTGAACTAAAAACGATAGATTAAACAAATACTCTGTTACCTTAAGGTCAAGATATAAATAAATATCAGAAAAATGGCAAAATTTATCCTTTTTGCAATTTCTAAAGCCTAACGAAGCAAAATGCGCCTTCCTAAGCATTGTTCCCACGTACAGAACGATATACATTATCGGAGTATTTAATCACTCTCTTTCAATTTTGTTGCCTCCTTACTTGCATACCGTCTTAACACAGAAGAGATTGAAGCAATTTTGCAAAATGTTGCCGGAAATGTTGGGTAGAAAGAGATCAAAAAAAGGAAGAATAAGAATGGAATTGCTTGGAAGTAGTGCGTACGAATGCGTACGAAGCAAAATTTTATAAAGACATTTCGCAATGAGTTGCTGTCACGACCTTAGCTCACAACTTTTTTCTAATTTAAACCACGTCTACTAACATGTCGTTGCCATGGCATCGTCGAGTCCTTAACCTTGAATAAGTCTGCATTTGCGTTTGCCTGCGCTTCGCTTGCATCAAAAATTTCCAGCTCGGTTTTATTGGTGTTCCCAGAGGAACTCTCAAAATGGAATTTACCATCGTTGGATATTTCAACAGGACTTTTAACCAAAGCTTTAAGAGAGACATCTACGAGATAGATTTGAATATCAGTTTTAATGAGACTATTTGGGTGGGAAATATTTGTTCTATGATCATTAACCCTTACATTCTTTTCAGACCGTGTTCGCTTTTTCTTCGCGCCAAAAAATAACACTTGGTTTCAGCTTCCAAAACTAAAAATGGGTTGGACTGAACGCTGGCGTATAAATTAGTCCACAGCAGAACAACGAGAACACCTAGTAAACATAATTTGAAGAAAGAAAGAAGAAAGGGAATGAAAAGAAAACTGAAAACAAAAAAACAAACAACAACGAACGTGCGAATAGAAGACTTTCAAAAATCACAAACAGAGAGTTCGCACATATTCAAATTGAGATATCGTACGCTATTACTGAATAAAAATGATCTCACCAAGAACTTTCAATTTATAACGAGAGGTATCATTGTACTGTTGATGATTAGGTATCACAACTTGGACGGTATAATCTCCAGAATGAGAAGGTAATAAAAGTGTTACGTATTTCAAAAACTGTATGATTTAAATTCTTGGTAATGGAGTAATGCTCGTCATCTGCGAGAGCCCCTTTGTCACTAAACCATGATATCTGAAGACCAACTTAGTTGGTGACTATCTCTACTTCCATCGAAACGCTATCATCAGCTCAGACTTCAGCTTCAGCTTTGACCTGCAAAATGTGGGTGAAGACCCTGGAGGTAGAACAATAGATGCACGCTACATCGCTTCTATTTGCTGCTAGTTTTAGAGGTTAGCTTCTCTCTTGGTTTATGCCATTCATGAAAGACTGTGCTTTTACATTGCACTGTACAGACGAGTTGCTCAGAGTCACCCCTGTAGGTTTTGTAGTACTTGTGGGAGAGATGGGTAAGGGGAACAATCTGCAAATCTCATGGTCTATTAGCTATTTCCAGCCGCAGAAAATAGGACTCATTAACAGAAGAGAAATTTGAGGGCGTGTTAAGGTAACACGCACATAAGATAAAACGCGGTAAAAATTTGCCACCCTAAGTATGATTAAAAGAAAGAACGGGAAGTATATAGGTTTCAGGCCTTTCATTCAACTTTGTTGTTGTCTCAAACTTTTTAGCCAGAAGGGTTCTTAAGAGCAATAGAGTACAGTGAAATGTGGTAACGAACTACATGTAGATTGTGCCGTGAATGACATGCACAGAATTTTCAGAATATCACATTTCTTTCCTCACTTATGTTCTGATACTTGGACAGAAAATAATCGGTGATGTTTTCCTTAAACGGTTAATGCAACGGGACAAGGTGACGGCTGACGATTTCGAAACGAAACTCTGCAAGTTTCATCATGAATTGATAATATTGAGTTTTGCTCCCTGTTTAATTCAAAAGCAAGAAACAAAGATACAAACGTACTATCTGCACATCAAATTGCATCGCATCCACCCTCTTTAAATAAAACCTCGTAAATTCCCGCGTGCTACAGGCCTGCATCCCAAATCGGTTTCATTGGAATTCACAAAGTTGTAGCGAGGTTCTATCCCTCGCACCATTTGTCCACCATGGGTCCACAGTAAATCACCTTTCAAGGATTTATTAACTTTAAAGATGGTGTCATCACCAAGGCTTATTTCAATGGGACTTTCCACCAGAGCGTTAAGATAGACGTCTACGAGATGGATTCAAAGGAATGAAGGAGTGGAGGAATAACTTAATTTATTACATAGCTGGCAGCGGTTATGGGCAGATGAAATGAATTCTGTGTTCTGATTAGCTACCCTCTATTTCTTATGAAGGTTAGAAGTTTGATAAAGTAACAAGATATTTCAGTTTGTACCTTGCAAAAGTCATAGGCTATTATCCATGTTTTAAATTCAGCCCCAAACTCACTAAACAAACGAAGGTGAAGTTTCAACAAATACAGAACATGTAAGAGAGAAATAACTGACTTTATTCAATAAACCTCGAGTACCTGGGATGAATCTCAAAGTAAAATAAAAGAAAATTGCTTATAAGCATTTAAGTACATCTGAATTCTTTTACTGTTGGCCATCCACATACCTAAGCATTTTTTTTAACTCGAAAATGAACCACACGTATGTTATAATTAATGTTAATGGTGTTTCACATTTATATTTCTTTTCTCCAACATATTAAACCTTCATTGCATTATTAATCAGTAGATCAAAAATATATTAATACTGAAAGAGCTACATATATATCGGAGAGACTTTAAATTTCTGTAACGAACAAAAGCGAATCTTTCTATCTCACAACAAATGAAAATTTTCCCCCGGCAGGAAATAATCGGCTGCATTCTAGTTTTTAGCTTTTCTCAATCCCTCAGTTCATTCAAGAGGAAATTCCTCACCGCTGTAGACATACTTCGTGCAAAAGTCCATTTTAATTGGCAAAAATGTCTTCCATGGGTAGCCAGACGTTTTTACACTCTGTAGAGTGAAACAAAAACTCCTCACCCTGCCCCTGAGCGTTTTCGAACCAGTCACGGCTCTCTCCATAGTTCACAAAGGTACGTTTTACGTTCACTGCAGAGGACCACTCCACGAATTTGCTCCCTTCTGCCGAGCCGAAGTACCATATAGCTTGCACGTCTTGGTGCTCAGACAAGTATTTGGTAAGATGATCTCCATCACCTGTAACTATATTTATCACGCCGCCAGGTAAATCGGATGTATCAAAGATCTGAAAATCAAATAAATTATGTTTGATTTTTCCTATTTATCATTTGTTGCGTGGAATCATGTAAATGGCCTTCATCGTTTACTTTACTCGCCCATGGCATAAAACTGTCTAACCTGATACATGTCCACTGCTATCATTGGGTGTTTCTGACTTGGTATAATCACCACGGTGTTTCCTCTGATGACAGCGGGAGCCAATAACGACACAAAAGCCAGTAAAGGACAGGACCCGGGACACGTGATACCAATGACTCCTACTGGCTCGTGAATTTTTACTGTGGCACCATAAAATGGAGTTTCCTTTAAAGAAATTGAAAGTGATAACATTTCAAGAACACAACTGAAGCAGGCAGTTCAAAACAGTGTAGCCTGCGTGACTGATGTTAATAAGGATGGAGAGATCAGTGATCGTTACTCCAACTTATTTTCGTTCTCTTTTCTCCCCTTCATACACCGGTAACGGAAGTTAAAACAGTATCGGTATGCTTTGCAGTATCCATATTTCTCATTTTAACAAAAAAAAATTCAAAATTCTACGTTATCTTGCAATTTGCTGACATATAGGAACATACCGAGCCAAATACATATTATGTATTTGGTTCGGTAGTGTGTAGCACACCACTGCATTCCATAATAATGACTGAAAGATGCATCAAAATGTGAGTCTTTTTCCCCTCTTGTTTTAAATTAGCTTTAAACTATAACTTCATCAATGAGAATGCACGCAGACCTCCAAAAAAGGCTATAGGCATAACAACAAGCATACTGTTAATTGTGTGAACATTTTTAGACTATGTACTATATAGATTTTTATCGCTTTTTAATTTATTGTAAAGCGCATTAGATCATATACTTGTTATGAATTTTGCACTATATAAGTATTAAATTTATTATCATTATTATTACATTCTTACCCACCCCCCATGTGAAATGCATCTCCTCAAAAGGTGTATTCTTGGACTAACCTGCACAGCACCCCCATATTTGTCAGCATAAGCACCCCAGTAAAACAAGCGCTGAATTGTGATGTCCACTTCTTTCTTAGCTTCTTCCACAGAACATCCAGTCATGTCACAGAGTCTCTGGCTAAGTTCACTGTGCCGTAGCTCTAAGTTCTCTGCCATGTAGTAAACGATTTGTGCTCTGTTATGGGCAGCTCTTTTCCCCCAACTATAAGGACAAAAAAAGGAGTGATTATATTAACCTAATTAACCACAACATACTTGCACATGTATGATGCTCACTTCAAGAACTACTGAATCTCAAAGTTGACAAATAGATTATAAGCAACAAATCTCATTCAAAATAACTTAGGAAACAGTAAAAAAAAACTTAAGAGTCCTGACATCAATCAGCTTATCAACTTGTCAGATGTAGCTATGTTAACAATATGTAACATACAACCTCTACGAGAAATATATTTCTTATATTTCTATATTTCTCTTTCCCTTTAAACCCTAAGAGTGACCAGCATCTAATTTCTCCTGAATTATTCATTAAGATCATGTGAATAAAGTAAATGATGGCCAACTGAAGAAGCTTTGATGTTAAACAAATTCTCCTTGTCAGTACCAAAAAAATTGTACAGAGAAGAGTGTAAAGAATGTGGATACTGATGTTGGTGTGAAATGGTTAAGGTCTTAATTACTGAAAAAGAAAAGTACACAAAAACACACCCTGGAGCTGCTTTATGGGCAGCTTCCACAGCATCTCTGATGTCTTTTCTGTTCCCCTCGCCAACCTGTCCTATAACCTGTCCATTGGGGTCCAATACTGGTCGAGAGTAGTTTCCGTCAGGCCTTTTTTGAGTTCCTCCAATGTATACTTTGTAAGTGTGATCAATACTGAACACAAGAAAAATTGGTATCACGATGAGGCAAGAAGAAACAATAGATCACAAGAATGAAATCCACACAGAGAGGGTTAAATCTTAGAGCCAAATGGGTCATACATGTAACTGTGTATGATTACCCCACATTCCTGAAGCACAGAGAGACAAGGACTTTGTCTAGTTCAGCTTGGAGCCCAACATCTCAGTTTGCTAAGTTTAGTTCAGTTCATGTCAATGTAAACAAGTTTAACACACAGAACTAAGGAGAAAAAAAGGGAATGGTGATGAGTTTGAGAGCAAACCTTGGTTACCTTGGTAGTGGAGCAATCCCTGCTTTTCCAGATGATGCATCTGGGAGTTTTATAGGATTTGAATTTGGATTCAAGACTTTGGCCGGAACTGAGGAGCCAAAGGATTTCACATCATAATCATCCACACCGGGCCTGGGTCTGGCTTGCCATGATGGGTAAACATACTCATACAAACCCTGTAGAATGCAAACAGTCAGCAAATTCAAACTCACCCTCAGTGCATTAATAAATCATGAACACAGGCAAGATGGCCACAGCTAGCTAGGCAGACAATATGGTAAGGAAAGTAAAATCTTCATTTGCAATATGTAGATTAAAACTGGTACACTTTCCTTTTACCCCTGGATAAAATAGACTATCATGCTCTCTGTGCGCCAAAGGATTTTCACTGTTTGTCAAGAGATTTCAAGCTGTCACTCCATCATTATTATTTATGGTATTGGGTGGAGAGCATGGATAAAATTGCTAATTATCAACTGCAAAATTCCCAAATCCTGAGTTATTTTTACATTCACATTGTTCAATCTCAAATCTCCCCTTTACCACCTTTCCCTCAAAATCTTAAATCGTTTTAAAGAAGCCAAATCCCAAATTGCAAAACACAATAGTGTAGCAGCTCTAGCCAGCTCTAAATCAATGCAATTCAACAAACCTCTTTTCCACCATCACGACCAAACCCACTCTCACGGTATCCACCAAAACCAGCCGCAGCATCAAAAAGGTTATGTCCATTGACCCATACAGAGCCAGCCTTGATGCTCATGGCAACCTCCAAGGCTAGTGACAAATTTTCCGTCCAGACACTTCCTCCCAGCCCATAGTTGGTGTTATTAGCCAAAGCTATTCCTTCCTTGGCAGTTCTGAATGTGAGGACTGTCAACACCGGGCCGAATACCTGTTTAGTACAGAAGAAAAATTAAACTTATTTTTACATGTACAAAATGTATCTCATTCAAAATTACATAGTAACTGCTTTTCTCTTTGCTGTACCTCTTCCATCACAATCTTGGACACTGGTTGTACATTAGTTATGAGAGTTGGCGGATAGTAAGACCCATTTGATGGCATGCATGCACAGCTTTGATACACTTCAGCCCCTTCCTTCCTTGCTTCTTCGACAAAAGCTTCAATGGCCTTTTTATGTGAGGGATCAACTATTGCTCCCATATCAATCACTTTATCTAGGCAGTGTCCAAGTCGAAGATGTGTCATGCGTTCTTTGATCTTATCTACCAGCTGCTTGGCACAGGTCTCTTGGACAATCAAGCGGGAACCAGCACTGCAAACCTACAGGGCAACACATCATTTTGATTATTATGATTGTCTCAGATGAAAATTTACACAACAAACAACCACAAATCACATGATTGGGATTCATACAAATAAAAAATTCTTTCAAGGAGTGCATTACACCATCAACTAGGAATGAAGAATAAAACAAGAGGTCCATAATTCAGAAACAAATCTCACAACACTGAATCAAAGCATTGCACCATAATAGTGCCACCATAAGATAAAAAAATATAAAAGAATAATTAAAAAATGGGTGTTATTTATAGTTTAAATGTACATAATTTTAAAATTGATGTTTTAGCCAGGGGCTGGATAAAAGTTTGGGTGGGAGTGTATTGAAAGGTCCTCAAACCCTCTTTCTGTGTGAGGAAAAAAAATCTGTTCATTTTGCTGCTCACTTTAATTTAAGGCTATTAACTGTAAAATTTGTGGCATGTCAACCTCAGCATATGGAGACAGAAAGTTCAGAATTACAGGAGACTGAGTAATGTGAAAGTTTCCACCCTAATCAAAGCTTTAAATCCTGCAAGACACTGTGTTCAAGAAGGAAAGTAGTAAAATTTTATACCTTGTTTGAGACTTACAACCCAAAATACCATATACCTGTTTGATGACCATACCCAGTTAGGCAAAATAAAGGAGTACCTCTCATGGCTATTTTCACTATCAAATTCACAATACAATTTGTGTTTGAATTTTAGGCCTTTTTGTTTGAATTTGCACTCAAAATGAATTGCAAGTATTACAAAAAATACTGTAGCTATTTTCTTTGCCTAATCACAGAAAATAAAACAAAAAAAGATTCCTAACCTGGCCTTGGTTAAACCAAATGGCATCTACAATACCCTCAACTGTGCTGTCCAAATCAGCTGAGTCAAACACAACCACAGGGGATTTACCACCAAGCTCTAATGACAGTTTCTTACCAGATCCTGCTGTTAGTCTTCGAAGAACTTTGCCAACCTTCAAATATGAATAAATGGACTATGACTCAAAATTTTCAAACTAATTTAATCCTAATTCATCTCTAAGTTTGTTTTTAATTCAAATTGCATTGTAACAGTCATGATCTTCTACAAACAAAAATGAAAATTTAACTGATATTATAATTTTTTAAGCCAAAGAAAAGGTAAAGTTTATCTCCAGTACATGGTCATGCACACAGACAATCTAGTAAGTTATATAAACATGTAACTCACACTTTTTAGAATTACATGACTTATCTCTGTGAGAGTCATTCAACAAAAGAAAATCTCAATAGAATACCTCTGTAGAACCAGTAAAAGCCACCTTGTCAACATCCAGGTGTGCAGCAAGTAAACTTCCAAATGCACCATTTCCAGTAACAACATTGAATACACCAGGAGGAAGCCCTGCCTCAGCACAAATCTCAGCGAACAGAAGAGCTGATAGCCTGGTGTAAGTTGCTGGTTTGAGCACTACAGAGTTACCCATGGCAAGGGCTGGGCAAACTTTCCAACAGAGTAGCATAAGAGGGAAATTCCAAGGTACTATGGCAGCAACCACACCTACAGGTTTCCAATCTAAAGAGGATTTAAAATCACAATGACTGACTACTGCAAATGAGGTTAATTAAATCAAAGAGAAAATGACCCCAACTAAATATAAATCCAATTGTGCCAATCAGTATTCAGTACAGAAGCCTGCTAAAGTAAAAAAAAATAAATAAATAAACAGAATTCAAAGCTCATTTCCTGTGATCTGATTGGTCAGTTTTAGGCAAGTTATCCTAAGAACACATCATCAGACAGAACAAAAATTTTAAACCATTATCCTGGTGAAAACGTGCTCAGATTTAAATTTAATTCTCTAATAAGGGAATTATCTAACACCTAAACCACAGCTAGTGTATTTGCATGCGAAACACTTAAGTGGTAAGGGACGTACAGGTGCAATTTGGTTTTAAGTGAATTTTCAAATTGACATCAACCTTAAGAACCATAGCTGAATACCTAAGATAAGAGCATATCTTTTTTGGTAACTGAGAGGTTCAATACAGTCTCTTTATAGTTCTCTCTTTACTTAGGCCAGACTTAAGACATATGACTACTACCATAGAAAGAGTATCTGATACAAATCTTTCTTGAGAAACTATTCTGATGACGGACTAGCAACTCAGTTATCATTATTGACAGTTATACATACTTCTTGTTACTTGTAACTATTTCCTGTATGACTAAGACTAACGTAAGACTCTCACCAAAAAAGAACTTCTTTTCCACTTACAAATTGAAATAAGCAAATTCTAAAACAAAAGGTTTACTCTTGTCATAAACTGTTTACCTCTCATTTCTGAATCCATCAGTTGAGCCCAGCCAGCATGATGATAAAGGTGTCTTGCAACAATCTGTACATCAGCATCTCGTGTCTCCCTGATTGGTTTACCATTGTCCATACTTTCAAGTACAGCCAGCAAGCGAGCATGCTTTTGAACATGACGTGCTATACTATACAAATAACGAGCTCGTACATGACCAGGAAGCTTACTCCAGGATTTAAAAGCCTCTCTTGCTGCTCCTACTGCTTGGTCTATGTCCTCTTGTTCTCCTTGCATTGTGGAGGCCAGTTTCTCTCCTACAAAGTTTACACTTTTTTTCTTATCAAACAAAGAAAGTCATACAGGCTTGAGGATGTGACCAATCTAATACATAGATTGTTATTGACATGCTCTTCTGTTTTAAGTAGTGAATTTAATGGAAGACAAAACATTCAAAAAAGGTAGATAATCTTAAAAAGGTTGATTGTGGAATTGTTGTTGCTACAGTCAAGAAAATCTGTCCATGTCAACAGAGAAATTAAGCCAATGAATGTTGACATTGTCTTAGGACTTGCTGATCTTTGACTTCATGATCAACGAAGAAAGGAACTTCTGTGTGATCAAAAATGTGCTTATTCAGATAAAATCTTATTGTCTTTTGTAGTTGAAGTATGACGAAGGATAGAGTCATCATATCAACCAAGGGGAAGCAAACGACTTAATCTGGCATTCTTATTTATTTGTTTTCCTGACTGTAGATTCTTGCACTGCTACATATTCCCTCTCCCCTGAAAAAAACCATCTGATTACAGTATACTCCTTGGTACTTTATCTCGCACAGCACAGCTTGAAGCCGGGGAAGAGGAGGGGGGGCATCTCCGAACCCTGAGAGAGATGCAAGAAACAAGAGCACTGCAAGGTTCTAGAATAAATCTACAATATAATTCTGCATAAGTCATAAACGAGATCAGCTGATGCACACGTAGCACTCCTTCAAAGTTGTAACTCAAGTCCGCGATCCAGCACAGTGCAGCTTGGGGGAGTTCATTAATAAATAATATGATCGCATGAGGATCACTCCAGATAGCTCACAGTGGCCTTAACAAGACGATTCATTGCTCACCTGTGGAGGGATTTCTTGTCTCGTAAACTTTCCTCCCCTCGGGTTTAACCCATTTCCCATTTACGAAATGTCCGAAGTCCCTTCCATGTTCTTCAAGCCACGAGTCCACGCTACTAGCTGCCTCAGGTGCTGGGCCGTACTCTAAACTCTCAAAGATCTGCGCTATAGTGGGATCTTTATTTAGTTTTGCTGGACCAGTGGATTTTCCATCACTAGAAGCGATAGTTTGGGTGCGAACAGAGGCCATGTTATGTTCCTGGGCCAAACAAGAAAGTCGGATGCTCGTGGCGAAATGAACAAATAATTAATTTTGTTGTAGGTCTGGGAACGAAACATCAGATCGAGGATCTGTGGGAAGGGAGTGGGCGGGGTCGTCGCGATAGGCGCTAGTTGATGGCTTATTTTCTTACTTTTCTTCTTTTCTTTCTTTTTTTTTATGGTTATTTCTTGAAAATGCCAATCAAAGTGCAATTCATGATGAAACCAAACCACCCGTGTATAATCTCTTTCGTGGTCTAAACCATAACTATGCGTTGATGGACAACCGACACTTTCACTTAATCCTACTTTAACTGGGGTTTAAACTTGGTAACACGCGCCTCTAAGCTGAGAGGACTCACAGTTTATGTTATTTTAGGGTAACTATTGTCCATGAGATTTCCTTTACTACTACGAAATTTTCTTTCGTGTGCTAAATTGTTCTTTATGCATAAACCATTTACTTCGAGTCAGATCGTTTGTAAGTGACTATAACTGCATTACATAGCTTGTCAGGAGTCCAATGACGATTAATTTTTTTCTTTTTAATTCACAGCACGAACTTAAACTCACATAAAGACAATTGATAAATTTCCAATTTACAGTCGCCTGAGATGCCAAGTGAAGGGGTCTCTAACAGGAGTTAATGGCACCACTATAGTCATGAATGAAACACTTCATTTCTAGCCATTGGGGCTGAAAAACTAATGAACAGTGCCGTTTTTTAAGTCTTTATTCACCAATTAATTTAATAGTTTTTTTTTAAATTCCCTTGTTCTACAATTCACCTATTTCAAATATTGATCCCAAGGATTTCTATGAGCCTTGATGGGCCACTGCAGCTACATGTTCAGATCTGTCATCTGCAACTAGTACTTGACAACCTGTTAGGGAAAATCAAAATGATATATGTATTTTCAATTATAGTACTATATCAGATAAGAAAATTAGAAATGTCTCCATCGTTTCGTATTTTCAATAGTATTGCCATAGTGCAATTAAAATTGAATTTCTCTGAGCAAGCTTCTTTTAGTTTATCCTCCAAACAACCAATGATCACAGTCACTTCTTCAGAAAATCTGATTTTTTTTTCGTTTTAGTTAGATAATATAAGCAACAACGAACTTTTAAATTAGATTAGCAGACATAAGATACCTTAACGATTACTGGGATGGTAAACGTTTGCCATAAGGTCTTCTGCAGTTAATTGTCGAGGAGCTGGTGGTTCGTACAAAGTCACCACATAGGTTTCAACGATGCCATCGTTCTTGTTCACTAAAGCATAACCACATCCGATCCTCAAGTACGATTTCCAAACGAGCTAAAAAGCAATGGAATTAAAAGGTCCATTCTAATTCTTGAAGCATATTCACATCTTGAATTACTAGCAGATAAATATACAAGAAGTGTTTGAATACGGATTACGAGGAACTATCTCGGAAAAATCAAGAAAAAAAAGAAGGGAAAGGTCAACGTATACCACTTACCCTGATGAAGTTACTGTTTTCGAAGTTTGATTGTGGATTTTTATAGTTGTAATAGAGACCACCGTCTAACCTTCAAGAAAATTATCAGCGAGATCAAAGTGAGAGAAAAAATATTTCGTAACGTACATGGCAATGGTGAGGAAAACAGCAAAGGTGGGGTCTGAGTAAGGGTTTATTGACAACGTTGTTATGTATGGACCTCTGGATTATACCGGACGGAATTTATTTTAAGCTAAAACTCATTTGGCAAACCTGAACCTTTAGTGTTCAAGTTCCTAAGTTACCCCCCTTACCAGTCCTCTAAACCATCACTTATAGTCATGGGAAGTGATGAGTTTTTATGATACAAGTTCTCATCCACATTTCCTTGAATTCGCAGTTCGGCGTCAGTTTTTGCCATGAAAGTCGCCAAACTTTGAGCTCTGTTCCCGAGCTTAGTACTGTACTTCACATCCGGGACATGATATCGCCTTCGGTAAAGGTTGTGCTCTTCTAAACAGTCCGAAGCAATACTGGCGAGAACTGCTGCCAAAAAACAAGAACATAACTGTGAGAGGAAGGAGAGTGGCAATAGGGATGTGGTCCCACCCTTTGTCATGAAAAGTAATACGTTGTAACTAATAAAGTGATTCTTTAGTAACTAAGAGGCTAATACAGGATCCCTATGCAGGAAACTAATCCTTTTCTAAACTTTTTGAAAATTTTATGATAGTTTTAAAATTTACATCAGTTATTTCTCATAAAAAAGGCAATCACATTTGGGAAAAAGTTCGCAAAGTTATGATAATAAAAAAAAAAACTTGTGATCGAATGTATATTGCTCTCGGTTCAGTGGATCATCTGATCCTCGAAATATAATTACATTTCAACCTTTTTTCGATAAGAAAGACAAGAAAAGTTTATGAATGGACAACTGGAAATGTTTTTCAGGAAAGATTTTTCTTTTTTAGGATATCATTCCCTTGAGCATGCAACCAGCCGACTCAAATCGAAATAAATTATTTCAAGTAATTTTTCTTCCCTCTCGAGAATTGTACGAAAGTAGCGATGTGACAATATGAACTTTTCAGTTGCAAAAATCATCAGTGAAGCAAATAGAAATAGTATTAATTACACATTTCAATATGTCTCACCATCTTGAAAAGCCAGGGAAACACAGAAAATCCAACAGTATCTTTTGAAAATCATTTTCTTGATCTCTGTGCTGGTCGTATTTAGTTAATTAACAAAATGACACGACCAGCAAGCACGTAAAACGTTCACCCCTCTTCTTGCCAATGAGTAATTTCTCCATTTGCTATCCATGCATTGTTAGGCATAGGGGTAATGAGAATAAAGAAAAAACTCAGGTAGCAAGTATTTTCCGATCTGACACCAAATTCTCAGAACTGATATTGTTTAAACTACGTGGCAGAGAGTTAAAGAGATTTCATAGAGAGATCTTAGAACTTAAGTAAAATTAATGAATTGTTACCTAGTAACAATATGTGTTGCTTGGAGTACTCTGTACCATTATGTGATATTTTAGTATAATTTACAATGATCCCTCTAACGTTGTCTGCTTTGTTCGCACCTATTAAAAAACCAAAGAAATTGAAAACAATACAGAGCAAAACAAAACAAACTGTGACACGAACCATGCAATCTAAATCCTGACAGCTCAAATGTGCTTAATAGGGAAAGATTTAAAAATATGGCTGATGAAATTTTATAATCATACTCATTGGTAGTATTCTAAAACGTCTTTCAGTTTTGGGGAATTTTAACTGTGATAGATACAAGGCAAATTTAATTGAAATACCAATCTTTCTCCTAAGTTTCTTCGTAACCAAACTTCAAAAGCCCTATTAGCTTGGAACTCGCAAAAATTACCTTCCTAGTTTCTCAATGGGTTGTTATTTTCTCGAAGCATTCTAAGGAATATTTGATTATTTATACTGCAACTCTTACTTTTCCCGTTTATTAGAAGTTATTTCCAGGGAATCTTCACGGGATTGCCACCTTTTGCAAATGTTAAGTGAAATTTTACAGTGCGATAATTTAAATCAGAATACATTATCAGAATTCTTTCAAGATAATTTCAATTTCTTAGTGATCTGTATTGAAGTAATTGTCTTTTAAACACTTCACGTTTGATTAGTCTCTCTTCTGTTAACATCATCTTTTGTTCGTCATGTTACGCTCAAACTCTATGCAAAAGGAGTAAGCAATTGTAGATTCAACGTCGCCCGCTAAGTATGAGGATTCTTCTTTGTTATTTCGTTGGCTGCCTGGTCCTACAAAATGGTACGTTATTTCAAATCATATTCGGAGCATAATATAAACTGCCTTATTGAAAGATTCTCACATTACAATATCATACAAACCAAGAAGGAACAACTTAGACTTCCAAGTTAATAAGCCGTTATCGCCTTCTTTTTTAAAAGGAGACTGACCTCTATAAATTAAAGTTCAAACTGGAGACTTGTTTCCATCCCCTTCCATGGAATTAATGATTTATTTATATGTATATCCTTACTGCATGAATAGCTTATTTTTCCCCTTTTTCTTCCCGTTATCATCCAAAAATATCAAAGATTCAATTAGACCAACCTCTGAGGTTACTTTTGATAGAGCTTTTAAAAAGCATTTGACCTCCAAGGCAGAGGAAACATTGACGGCAAAAATCAATAATGATTATGCTCACTTTCAAAGACCATATCAGAATAACCAGAGTTAAACTTGTCAAAAAAATTGCAAATGTCTTTTCAACAACAGATTCGAAATATTTGCAAAAACTAAAAAAAAATTCTGTAACGGAGCGGAAAGGGCTGAATGGGAGGTAATCGTTTTTGAGACTCTCAATACGTTCCAATAATCCTCAGCGGATGGAAGTATTGAATCAGACTGCATTCGGAAGCACAACTTGTACAGAAACAAGCATGGAACTCCAGCTTTGAAATACTGTGAAAGTATCGCAGAAGAGGCTCAAAAGCTCGCAGTGACACTGGCGAAGCAAACGACTAAGAAAGTTACTAAGGGGATATATGACGTCAATTATTTCATTGGAGACTCGTCCGTTCCGCGGACAATAAGTGACGCAGTGGAAAATTGGTCAGTGATTCCATATATACCTTTTACTAACAGAGTTCGAGGTCCGTACTAGAAGTTACAGATCGAGTTTTTCCACTCAGATTCATGGCCCAAGTGCAAGGAGCGCGGGCCATAAATCCGAGCGATAAAAAACGAGGTTCCGTAAATTTCAGCAAGGACCGAGGAAACGGGATTAGTAAGATATTTATTATATCTCTGGAATCAACTAAAGGGGGAAGATTTCAACGAAAGCAAACTTTTGAATTTGGTAGGCCGAATAGTAAACTACTGCCCGTTAAATTGATCAATCATAGCGCACGCACAAAGGGATATAATAATTTTAGCCACGCGAAGGCCATCCGACTACTATAGCGAAGATAAAACGAAAACTGGCGAGCGTCTTTGCAAAAGCAGCCGTTTTGTCATGTAAATTGTTTGACTGAGAAAAAAGTAGAAGTATTTTAGAAAATGGACTCCCGTGGCCAGATGGAGGATAATGCAACATTAGCTGTTATTAAAATCGGTCTTCCTATGATTATCCATGCCATTATGCGGCAACATTTCCATACACATTCCAGGTATACTGAAGGAAATTCCTACAATTACAAGCAGCCTGAAATCTCCTCAAGTAACACCCGCTTCTTAGAGGTAAGACGACACATCCTTCACTCTTTAATACTCTTTCACGTGACGCTATGCCATCCTTAAAACTAAGGTAGCCAGGCGTATCACACAGGTAACTACACGCATGAAATCAATGTAGGTGTAACCGGAAAATTCAAACCGAAGGATAATTGTACAAATAGTACCTAAGTGTTTTTCTTACCTTGAGACTTCGCTGCTAATCTAAACATGGACGGCCGATAATTCTTTCGTCCAGTTTTTTTTTTCCCAAAATATAAAGAAAGAAGTGAAATTAAGGCTGAATTATTTTTCTAGCTGATGTGGAAGTCCCACGAGAAAATGGGTTGCGGAATGGCCGTGGCTATAAATGGCGCGAATATCCGCACAGTGGTGGTGGCAATATATGAACCTGCCGGCATGCGAGTTGACATAAATGACTACATTGAGAACATTCTACCGGCAAAAGACTAACGTAAGTTTTGTAAACATAAAAACATCCAAAGACCTTCCAACAAGCTACGGTGTATCACAACAACTAAAAGTTGTCACCTTTTCTTACATAATTTGCCCTGCACCTTTCTAATAAACACCATTTTGGATCGGATGTCCCAGTATAAGACAACCCGCTTTCCAAACCAAACGTCCTTAGGAAAACCTTCAACGAAAGTCCACAACATCCTCTAGAAGAGGTGCACCTTTGCAAAATTTTGCTTTTTTATACAGGAAGCTAAAAATTCTGGGGAAACTTTTTCGCCCAAATGTTTGCAGGACCTGTCTATACTTTTTAGCCTTCTGTTTGACGTTTGCATTGTAAACCTCGCCTACATCTCCCTTTGAGTGACTGTAAAGCATTTTCAACTAATTAATCAATTTATCAATTAGTTTTCAATTACTTTGTTCTCCTTCAACACAGCAGTAAATGGACGCAGAGGTTTGGAGACTACTGTTGACACTGAGAAAATCATACATTAAAAAACGGATATACTAACAGTGGAAAATTAAGGGTATATACGTAACAGAAAAAAGTTATTTGAAACTCAGAGGAAAAAAGTCTCCTTTTTTCCGGTGCATTTACAAGTTTATTGTATTGGGTTTTATCATTATTTACAATAAATAGATCGGTTTCTGCATTGAAATGTAGTAGAACACATTTCAGTATTAATTATATTATGACTGTCTTCACACCAACAAAACTTTCGAATTAAAAGAGAATGGTTTCACAGGACTTTGAACACAATGTAATAAAACGCTCATGGTGATGTATGAAAGGTTTTCAGCCTGATAACTTTTCAACAGGCCATCCATCTGAATCTCCGAGAAACAGCAAACTAAAAATAAAGTTGAAGAAATTTGGATGATAGCGGCACGCTCGCTCACAGTCTGGGCAGTAATTTACCTCCAAAACTTGAGGCACTATTTCGTTTGAGGCTAAAAACAAGAAGGAAAAAAAGAAGAAAAAAAAAAAGGCTCTCAAAATAGCATTTCACACAAAGAATCAAGACTTTCATAGGAAGACTTTACCAATTTGAAATTAGAGACAGATTCTGACTTTTGACAACTTGCGTTTCCAAACTGGTTCAATTCGGCCCCTTCTAGGAGCATTAACTTTATAAGCAAAGAACAAATGCACTAGGAAAAGGAGGACGCAAATGGCCAAGTAGGTCCCTCCTATCAGTCAGCTTTGACAAGAAAGTGTTACTCAACCTTCTGTTCAATTAACTTTGTTTGCAAAATTTGTTAGTTTATCTAAAAATTATCAGTTTCGAACTTACCATTGTCCGCCCATTTGAGCATCAAATCAACAGCATAAAATGCACGAGACTGTAAAATAAACGACACAGTTCTTCCAGTTTAAAACTGTTCAAGTAATCCAATCATTCATTAATTATTGGAATCATTAAATAGAGGTCCCTCATAGAAGTTCTTCAATATTCTAGCACATTCGAGTCTTTTACCATTTCCATAATGTTTCCGTTGAGGTACACATACACCTTGCATCGTTCACAAGTTAGAATCATTCATGTGAGCTCGTTTACCCAACAAAAGCACAGCCAAATTCTAGATTAACAAACTAAGTTGTGACAGAAATCCTGACTATCTGTCAGAAAAGAAACTCTCAGCTAATGAAGCAACTAATCGGGGCATTGTGTGACGCAATCTGCTCCTGTCATAGTTGAAATCAGTCCTGAGCTAAGGAATAAACGTTGCATACTGTTCAACTTTTCTGCATAAGATAGAGGTGCGGATAATATATAATTATAGCAAAAGTTATTGAAACCCCTGGATATATGCATAAACGTGTGAGCAGAAATATCCTTGTTAAAACACAAACCTGTGAACAGTGTATCAACTTCTTGGGTGGCGAGTCGCAGATGGCCGCCTCGAACATCTCACGAAACATTTTGAAAATTTTTGACTGTAAATAACAAAAAAGGCAAAAAATGTCAAGTATATGTCAAATATATTAAAAGAACGGGATCACCAATTATAATCAACTTCAAATTTGCTTTCACGCCGTTTTACCTTAAATAAAGGCGGGTATATTTCCGTATCAAATAAGTTGTCCCTATGTTCAATGAAGACGGAAAGGGCTTAAACATTTAGAAATCTTTTCATGCTTACCTCGACGTCGGCCCATCTGTGATCAGGGTATTGCTTTTCAAACATAGGAATGAACTCGTGGTGATGCACCTGTTTGTAAGAGACAAAGGATACATTCAGCGTATTTTCGCAAACTGCCAAGTCTTTGGAGTTGCAAGGGTTATCTGTACTCATGGGCTCACCTGCTTTAAATTTTCACTGTCCTGATAATTCATAACTGTGAAATGTTTAGCGTAAACATCAAAACAATCCAAAGAAAATGGCCTGGAAATAAAAGAAATAAACGACGTGAGAGGTGACATCAAAGTTTTTTATTCCGATAGAAACGTACCGCGTACAAACACAAGCGTAAGAATTAATCAAGGTGAGAATAACGAACAGAGTGAGACATGGGAATGTATTTATAATAGAAAAGATTCTACCGTTATCTCTATTAAGAATCCTCTATAACACTGGCCTGTGATCAGATTTTTGCTGCTAGCATTTAAAGAAATGTATGCCAGGCAGCAAGGAGATAAAGTAAAGTATTTAAATCTTGGGAAATGAAGCTGTATCAGTTTAAAGTTTAATATTTCTTTAAATACCTTTCGTAAACTCGTCTTACTTACTGGTTGGCGAATCGTAACCAGAAAACTTTATCTGCATAGAGCACAAGGGGCTTTGCTGAGGTGATGAGAACTAAGTAACGTATATCAAACTTGACTTGACCAACATCTTCGCGATGAAACAGAACCGGATTTTCTATGTATTTACAGACAACCTGAAAAACAATGATCTTTCCGAATTATTTTATTTTATGGTAGAAACCGAGTCTCAACAACCAAAGTGGAATTCATCGTGAGTCAAGGAAGGAGTTGATTGACAGCTGAATAATAATAATAATAATAATAATAATAATAATAATAATATCAAAGGATCACTTGTTGGCAACGGCAGCGACAACAATTCTTTCACGATTCCATACGCTACATTAACCAAATTAACTAATGTACTCTTAACCCTTTACGCACTAACATCAGTATGCCTATTCTTCATACTGTTCTCTATTCATTTCCTAGGGTTGTGTCAGCCTTCAGTACAATCTTAGGCTTTAACTGGGTTTCTAATTGTAAAGCCAGCTAATTCATTAGGCCCATAGAACTATCTTTAACTACATGTAGAGCTAGAACGACTTACTGCAAAAAAGAGAATATGTAGATATTCTCCTTTTGCAAAATAATCGCCATCAATTTTTGATTCTAAAGATGGGCTAGTTCACTTCATAAACAGCTATTTTATCCATGAAAATATCTATGCACAAACCTTTGGCCCTGTCTCTCTCAGTCTCAGTATGTAGTTTAAATTTCCCGTTACATGGCTATCGAGGGCTCTTGCTAGATTCCACGGTTTACAAATCCAGTGGTTATCAAGCCCTCTGAAATAAAAAGTGGCGGAAATAAGCCTAAAGTAAATAAACAGAGCCATTCCATGACGAAACTTATACTGAGGATTTAGTTAACTTCTTCAATTTTATTTTGGCCAAAAATCTGTATCTTCATCAATTAAAAACTCTGAAACTCGCTTCCGCTCCCGCTGTAAGCGACGTAAATACTCAGAAGTCGCCTTTGCATGGGATCGAGGTTGTCGCTCACAGTTTTCGCGCCAAACTGAACGCGTCTACACATCCACGCTAGCAATTATAAACTAGCACTCTCACTTGTCACATTGAAGAAGAATTCAAAAAGGAATCGAAAGGCAAGGAAGGTTGATGTTTTAATCAATACCTCAGAAGATGAAACGAATTAGTCAAGGTAAGAATTGAAGTCGACTTATCCTTAAAATAAGTACATCACTTGAAAAAATACCAAAGAAAGGACCTATGACAAGTTCTCTCCCATATAAACATGGAGGATTTCTCTAGTGTAAAGTAAACCTCCTTTCCTCTTCAGTCTTATTTGTGACTGTGACTAGTGTCTTTTCTGCGTGTTTATGCATGTGTGTTTTTCCCTGTTCTTCTACAACTAGTGATATTTCAATACCAAAAAGACCGATTTCGTGTATAGTTCCGTAACTGGTTACGCAAGTCGATGAGCAAACAAGGATAGCAGTCAAAAGTCAACCATTACATATAACGTTTTCTCAGCATAAGGAAGTAAGGTATAACTAAGGAAAATCCTAGGTGAGTTACTTTTTGATGCTTCCAAACTGTATCCAATCAAAGAACGGCGCTCGCATAGACGAGGAAGTGGTACACAAGTTCGTAACATATTATAGCAAAGCATTAAAACCAAAGCACTATATTTTACCGGTAAAAGAAATAGTAAGTACATGCAACCATACTTTATCAAAATATGTCTTCTATATTTTCCGGCTAATAAAATAATGTGTACGCACCTCTTCTTTCTCTTGATGTAGTGATCAAGAAAGAGAGGAAGTTCCAAATTTAAATTGAATGTAACAGGTAGCCATTCAGGTCCTCTAACAAGCAAGTCATTTTCTTTGCCATCTCCATAGGGGGTTGCATTTTGACACACTGCTGCTAAGAGATCTTTGCATACCAGGCTGTTCTCACTGGGAAATTGGTTTATAAATTTACCATAATCTTGAAGAGATCTAAAACACGAACACCAGCCTTATTTAAGAGAATGTTTTGATGAAGTTGAAATGAACAGTCTTAATACAGAAATATACTTTTTCGTCTCGCCATGAGCATGGGACAGAGAAAAAAAGTTCAGAGTCCCAATGAGGAATCAAACCACAGACCTTCGGATTCTGCGCTTCAATGTTCTCCTACTGAGCCACAGAGACTCTATGGTGAGCAAAGCCCATTACGAAAGTTCATATATGACAGGCGTCCTGCATACTGTCACTCAACAGTGAATAGTCTTAATACACTTGGTGAGTAGAAATACATTTCTAAGTACCAATGTATCTTTAGGGCAATTGAAAAACCTTTCATCACAAATTAATCCTGTAAATGATGACTAATTTTCATTAAAATTAACATATCTTTGCTCGCTAGTAATTATTGTTGACTTGAGTATTATTGTTGTTATAAGCTACATATAGTCCAGGATATCAAAGCTTAACAATCATCTGATGTGGGCATTGAAACCAACCTAAAATCTTTAAAATGCTCCCTTATCCATAGAATATCTGCTTCTTCTTTACTGTCTACCAGAACAAATCTTGGATGTGTAAGAAAATCTGTCACTTGTTCAACATCAGTGAAAACACGATATATTTTTTCACTGTCAGGTGTTGCAGTAGTAAGTTCTGTAATTTCAAGGTTAGGATAAACTTCACCCTGCCAGTCCTACAGGAATAAATAAATCAGTTTGTACAGTCACTTAATGGACCAACCAACTAGTCAGTCAATCAATCAGCAGTTAAGTTAACCTAACAGTTACTAACATAATTCATACATAACTGTAGCAAGAAATCTTTCTATCTGAAATGTCAGTCATGCAGCAGTCAAACCTTCTTCTGCATTGCACTGAGTTCCTCCCTAACAAGTTCTGTTGCTCTTTCAGAAGTCAACTGTTTAATCCAGTTTTCATCTTCCAGCTTATCAGGGAACCAAGACAACAGAGAGCAATCCCGTAGAAGTGGTTCTGTGATGGGTGCTACATAATCACGTGTAACTTCATCTGCAGGAAAAAAGAAGTGTGTGCAATTGCAGTTCAAATAATTTACAATACCCAAAAGGGAGAGGTGGGAGTTGATAACATTTTACAGAAAGCTTAAAGAAGTAATTGATTGTAAAGACCATCTTATGAGTAGCACAGACACTCATTTAATTAATGCCACTGAAGGCAAATGAAGGGTTGATTAAGAAGAGAGCTATGAAGAGCTCTGGTTAAATTGAAGGTTCTTTAAAGATTATTTTAAAATCAAACTAGACCAGACAGTGCAGCTTCATCACCCCCATCAAATTTTTGACACACAAGGACAAAAATACTCTTCCATGTTTGGTAATAGGCAGAAAATTTTGGACAGCTCATCTTTGATCCTCCCACAAACATCATGGGCTCCATTCCTCAAAGCAGCTGGTTATCAAACCTAATTGCTACCTAGTTTCTACACTCAAACTCAGTTGTGGACAAACAGCATTACTCCTGCTCACAAATGTAGGTTACCATAAATATCAACATACCTCCATAATCCATATCTCTCAAAGGCCATAATAATGAGAAGGCCATGCCAAGAGGTACATAATGAAGAATACCAATTGCAAAAGAAGGGTCATCTGAATGTTTTATACATGAACCAAACTCATCCATGACAAACCACAGAGGAGTATGTTCATCATCATTATGAGCATCCTTTTGATACATGTGGCTTTCTGAATAAGTCTAGAGAATTAAGAAAAATACTCTAGATCTGTTGTTACCAGACAAGCAAGGCTATTACTTGAGAAACTGTGAATTAAAATTAATTAAACAAATCAAGAGAATAAGAGGCTACCATGTAGATTATAAGACAGTTTACCACCTTGCAATTTGAAAATCCATTTACTCTGAGTGTTTAACTTGTTAACTACCCCAGAAGTGATAAATAATCAGTCATATGCTTACACTGTATTTAAAGATCATAAAAATTGCTATCTTGCCTCTGGGCAATCACTAACTCTAGCAAAAGAAGTTTTGCCACCAAGACAATTCACATTGACATGCAATATGAAAATATATTGGAAATTTAAAAATTTTAATCAGTTTTAAATTATCAAGCAACTAAACACACATTAAGCATTTTTATAAAATAATATGTAGTAGCTGCATTAAACAAACTGTCTTTCTTTTAACACATATAAGCTTTAGAGAAGACATGTACAGTGTGCACCTACTGTGAGGCAAAGATAGTTGATTTTAGAAGTACTTAAACTTAGGACAGAAGCATACATTCACAAATTATAAAAAGATACTTACCGTCTTTAAGCGGTAATTCTGGTTAAAACTATAAATTAAAGAAATGTAAGGATAATTAAAATTTTAGAACAAAATGCAGGAATGCACCAGTAAGTCCTAAATCAAATTTTGGTTTATCTGACCTGACTTACCCTACAAGCCACAAAAACTTAAACAGAGATTTCATCATAACAAAACAGAAAGAAATCCTTAAACTTTTAGTTTTGATATGTGCATAAACAAAAGACATCATGTTAATTACTAGGCATTTCAGTTAAGTGAGGACCCTTACAAGATGCCACATGGAAAACTGAGTTGCTTTTCCAAATACAAATTGTTAAAAAGTTCCAAAGTAATTTAAAAGAAAATGCCTGAGTAATAATTTGTCAGTCAGTTTTGCTGAGGGACACAAAAATATGAGGAAAATAATTAATGACCAGAAATTTGGGTAGAGAGAGTCACTCTGACAATTAACAAACACTTAAGACTCACTAGGAAACAAAGATAATTTGCAGCCATGAAATTAAGGAGAACTGACCTCCACATCTTTTCCAAGATTGCTTCAATAAGTTGTTCCTGACTTGATTGAGATGATTCTTCATCTTCTAGGGTAAAAAAATTATAATTAAAATAATTGTTGATGTAAGAAATTAGGCTTATCACTCCACATAATATCCTACAATAATGAAAAGTAAGTGTTTGTGGTATCATACTTGTTACTCCCATTAAAGAACCCATTCTGTCTGCAAGACCAGGGACTGTCTTAAGCTGAGCTCTTGCAAAATTCACTTGGTATGTCCAGGCATGATCAATTAAAAACACACTGTAAACAGAATAACAGAAGACAGCTACACTAAATACACCTCATTAAATCATTGAATTCTGCATTGTTTGGTTCAAGAAAATATCTATACCCACTCCCCCACCAACCAACAAGATCATCACAGAAAGTCTACTTATATTACAAGAAAAAAAATAATTTCTCAAAAATCATAGAACTAAGCATAGCATTTACTCAATGAAATTCTGCCAGCATTCATTTTTTTTATTTGGTCTGATAATTCTGGTGTTTGGAGGAGATCAACATTTAACTAGGGGCAACCATTGACACAGTACCATCTTGCATCCAGTGGCACTACACAACACTCCACAACACAGCCATGAAAGTGACTTCATGGGGTTTATGGGCAAAAAACAAAATCCCAGAGGAATCTATGCTCTATTTTGTCACACAGACTTCATTTTGGCTTGTCATGCAAAATTTCTGATTTTATTTTACATGATGCGATCCATAATCCATGATCCAATCTGTGATCCAGTCAGTGATCTGATCCATGATCTAGTCTGAGATCCAATCTGTGATCTAGTTCGGTCTGATCTGGTCTGATCCAGTCCGATCCAGATTTTGTTGGCACCTCAAACTCAAGGTCATTTTAGGTCGGTTCAGTACATTTTAGAAATCACTCAGGGTCATTTTAGGTCATTTTAGGTCATTTTAGAAATCACTCAAGGTCATTTAAGGTCATTTTAGGTCATTCCTTGTTTTAGTAACTACCCTTCTCAAAGGATTAAACCATGTTCATGTGTAAAATAACACAATTAAGCAGTATTGTGAAACTAGTGTTTAAATGAGCCCACCTTCACACTAGCTTTTGCTATTTGATGGAAAAAATATGGGATATTTTATATCATTATTTTGTACAACTGTATTCCCTACATAAATGAGCTATATTTAATAGTATATCTCCTTTGATTACCCCTTGCAACCAATTTCACTCTGCACTCATCAGCTTCTGCCTTAGAAACTTGTATGTAAGTCAGTACCCTCAGTGTATCATACTTAATAGAAACAATTTTAAAATTTTTTTTTACCAGTTAGGATCTGACACCTTCATTCCACCTTCACTAGTAACAAAAACTTTCAAAATTCCATCTCCATCTTTAGCCATTGTAAAAAATAATCCAGCATCATAAGTCTGCAGTGGAAAATATACAACTCTGAATAGTTAAGGCAAGATTTCTGCTCAGTTCGGTTAAATCTTCAAAACGCCGCAAAAGCTTCAAAAAAATGCGAAATAAAACAATCAAGAAGGATGCAGTGCAGTGAAATTCTACGGAAAGATCAGGCTGTTTGATTCCACGTGCTAAAAGAGCTCGAGAAATAATTATTTTCAAAAAATCATTACAGCCTCAGCAAGATTTAATTCAGCTCTGAAAAACTCAACTTACCTCTTTCTTCAGCTTTTTATGAATTGATTTCCAGAAGTGAAGAGGTATACCTGCAAATTCTAACTGACTTTTATGAACTGCCACGAATTGCAGATATTCCTCGTTTTCGTCCGCCATCTTGGTTGCGCAACCGCAAGGACTCTTGGGAATGTCACGCAGAGAGATATTTTGTCACGTCCACACTGGAGCAGGTTAGAGGAGACACGGCACGGCAGAGTAGGGATTACAGCCGAACCTATGTTAAATTCTAGCTATTTGAAATAATGGGGGGAGGGGGGGTCCTTATTCACTAGGGTATGGAAGTGGAGGATCAGCCAAATCGCTATCTTCTGCCTCGGCAGAAGTCTTGCTTATTCATGCAGGCAGACGTATCGGACCAGCTGTTGGTTATGGGAGAATCATTCGCTCAATAATAGCCCTTTAAATGAGTTCTATACAGAGGGAGGAGAATTTTTCAGAGAGCTTTCAGGATCTTTAAATCTGTGCAAAGCTAATCCCTTCTGCAGCTCTCCATCCAAAGTTATACCCAACTGATGCTTCCCGCTTCCCACACACCCGGCAGTTTTGTGACAGTGGAAAGTCACGAAGAGCGGGGACAATTTTAGGAAATTAGACACGCCTGTAAAATCTGTAAAGCAGATCTGCGAAAAAACTGTTGCTGTCCGTTTACGGAAGGAAAAAGGACAAAATGCACTCAGTATTTTCTGATGAAGACTGGCAATAGTGGATCAATACAAGTTGCTTGGCCCAGGACACTTTTTTTGAAAAAAACTAGTTTACTTTACCATAGAGCAGGACTAGTTAACACCCCTTACATAAACAAAGTCGAATAAATGGCCTTGCATGGTTTGGTTAAATGCACGAATGTACATAAAATGCAGGACTGTTCAGTGTCCTGAAATGCGAGGCTGTAAGGTCCTTAAAATTCACGACTGTAAAGTGCCTCTTAAAATGCAGGGGAGTTAATTATTCTTAAAGTACAGCCCTGTCAAGTGTTCTTACAATGCACGTTTGTGTTAGTTAAGATCATGGTGATATTGATAAGCTACACTCCCGAGGCGCACCGTCTTATTCTGGTAGATTAGGCGACTCAATGATCAGTACGTAAAAGAAGAGATAAAAATAACTTACGGTTAGCTTATCGGACAAGTATCTAAATTGAATGGGCACAAAAACAACTCTCTTTAGAAATAAATCATGTTTCCTTATTGATTACCAATTCTCGCATTGTAGGAAATGAACCCTTTTGTACTAATTTAAAAAGATAAAGTGGTTTCGCTCAAAAAAGATTTCGTGATGGTTACAGTACTGAAGAACATGAAAAATTAATTTTAAGAAAAGAGAAGAGAACCCAGAAGACTAAGGCTTGCTGAATTTAACGCACACAACGGATCTAGAACCAAGTTTTCTCCTAAAACCGCGGCAACAGAGCCTGCCACTCCAAGATCGGGCTGTACAGCAACAGGAGGTAATTCGTTTCAACCTCAGAGTGATTCTTTAGAGCTTATAGTTACTCCATTGTCTTCCGTGACGGACGGAAGCCAACAACCGAATGCAATAAACCGGCTATCATGATTCACTTCTGGACAGAAATAAAATTAACTTGCTCAGAAAAGATTGAAATGCAATTAGTAAACAGTATTGTTTGAATTATGCCAAAATTATCTATTTGCATATGAGAAATACATAATAATCCTCTCTGACTTATCTCTAATTCAATCGTGTTTCAAAACATATTTATCTTTTGTGCCGATAAGAAAAATTATTGCTCGGACCCCACCCTCCCTTATAATCATGTTCGCTTAAAGTATCCGATAGCCTAGGAATCTTGACAACCAAAGTTCTTTTGGCAGGCCTTGGACTGGGTTTGTTCTTTTCAGAAGTACAATGTACATCACAAACACCATAATTTCCAAACGGACTCCTCTGATTGCAGTTCCTTGAGTGAACAGGTCTTGGAGTTTTCGCTCGTTTTAGGTACTCCGCTTCTAACTTCGATGCTGAGCGAACAATATCTTCAACTTTCAATGATTTTTGCCTAGTGAAGTTTAGTCTCGGAGTATCTGCGTTTTCTCGTGCTATTTCTTCCAAACGTTGATCTCTGTAATCCATCGAAAGTGGTGGCCTAAAGGCGTCTTCATCTGGCAAACTCAAAACATCGCCGTTGACATTCGGTTGCAAAGCACAGCCACAATACCCGGTTACCTCGTAAGTGCCCATTTCAATAGTTTCAGGTGAAAATTTCGTTTCGCCAAGACGACGAGGTTTTAATGAACGAGGGCTTGATCTAGGAAGTTTCCCTATTAGCTTGTTTTCGATTTCTGTTTTGAAGTTCGGTAAATCGCCGAGACTTTGGCTAAGTTGTTTCACTCTTTTTCTTTGACCGCACATTTGTCTTTCTTCCGCCTCAAGTGTTGAAGCCTTCTTGCGTGTTTCTTCGGGTTGATACATGGTAGTTATCCGAACAACGGTAGCTCAATAATGAAAGTAACCATGTCTTTTTTTTTCTGGTTTGCCCAGGCGTCAGGACGAATATTCACTGCGGTAAACTAATGTAGTCGACCGATTAATAGCAGCTGCCAAAGATTTGAAGTGGAATGACACATCAAATATTATGCAATCCCTTCCTTTTTTCTTTTCCAAGACATAATGATGAAAATTTCACGTTGTTAAGTTCTAATTCATTGTTTTTCTTATCAAAATCTCCCTGTGAACGAGCGATTTTGACCCCTGCCGACTCTGTGTCTGTGAAATCATCTTGAAGAAATAACAAATCAAAACTATGAGGAAATTTGCATTGGGTAAACCTCAAATGACACTTGTTCTTCAAAGGCGGTAATAATTTGAATCTCTAAAAAGGTGCATGGGGTATGTAAACAAACTTGTCGAAGCTGTGCGCCAATATTAGGAGAGTCTGAAAACAGTGGTTAGACTGAAAAGCGAACAAAGGGTTAAAACAAGTGACGATCTGCATAACAAAGAAAACTTCAGGACTTAATACTCTAAAAGATGTCAAGCGAATTCGTACTAAAAATAAGTGAACCCATGTCGCGTTAATTACGTACAATAATTTCGATCGATGTTCCCTTAAGTAAACACAGCAATTTCCTAATCCAGATGAAGAGATTAAATAATCGAGGATAAGATAAGAACTGGCGAAACTTTGTAAACGGTGATGAATTGTCTAATATCGATTTTATGGCGTGCTAGAAATTTAGGGATTAACTTAAAATGTAAGATCATAATTAGTGCCTACGTGGTACGTAAACACAATAGAAAATATTTTAATTCTCAAATAGATTTACTAACGTTATGCACTACATAAGAAATCACCTGAGGAAATACTGTTTCCCTCAGGGTTGGAAAGTTGTATTTGACTGGTTTATAGGTAGATTCTATCTGTATGACGAAAAAGATGCCTTCTTATGTCCACTAATCCTTCCTATCCAGATACGAAAAAGATGCCTTCTTATGTCCACTAATCCTTCCTATCCAGATACAACATGTCCTTTAGGCATGACTACGTAGTTTTCCTTAGCAACAATAACTTTCACTGAATAGCGTAGATTACTTACAGCCCCTTTACATTTTTCCGCTGCTATGCAACCGCAGAGAGATACATGGATAGAAATACATTTTGGGCTTGTAAAACAAATTGTAAAATTTGATAAACACATGTTTGTTTCGAAAGCGGACTCCTACGTCGTCCAAGCTTGCCTGATTTTAAAAAAAGCTTCAAGTTGGTTTGTATCGTCTCGTACTTCTTAAAAGATAAAGCCTCATTCTTTTAAAGTCTGTGATTCAGTTCAGTTGTACCCCATGTAAATTTGACCTATCCTTGATCAGTGTTATCAAGCACTTTCCAGCTTATTTGTATCTCTTAGAATGTTGTCTCCATTAGTTAATAATAGCCCCAAGATTTCCCACTAATCGAAGGTAACTTTCAACGACCCAGCACGACTGAAATGTTGTCACGCAGAAGCTCACATCACGAGTTAGCAAATCCACTTTATCAGAAGCACACTGACTCACATCCGACTCCTCTATTCTTTGCAATGTTACAACTAAAGGATACCATCCATGAGAAGCTCAATACTAAGCCCCTTAAGCTCCTCTTCCCCGCTTTTTTCCCTCCGCTCTTTCGGTCTGTAAAGAACAGAACAAGATTCAAGGGCGGTGGTTATCGAGCCAACTTCCACCACAGCAAGTTCTTAGTTATAGACTGGTTAGTAAAATCAAACTTTTATTGATTATATACTCGTTTAAACATCTGCTTGGCATGATTAAAACATGAAACATATTTCATAACCAGTTCTTCTGGAATAAGTTTCAAGCAGATTTCAAATAGTACTTACTCTGTGATGATTCAACACACAGCTTTCAATATATGAATGACATATAATGGGTACACACCCACAAGTTTTGGGTAAGTCCACACGAGGAGGGATTAATTTCCTTACTCCTGGTTCTCAGGAAAATTAGTTGAACTAAACAGTGAGACCAAACAGTTGATAATGCGTGATTTTAAGTCTCGTGGTTGGTGTCCAAGCATGGAAGTTTGATGTCGATTTTTTTTGCTTGAACGAAGTTCTTCCTCAAGTCTTGATTTTCTGCATTGACAAACAACGAACACTTAATCTCAAGGTTGGATGTGTTTTTTTCAGGAAATTGGAACGTCATGGTAACATTACTACCTGCTGGTTTCAGAGAGGACTTTCCACTTTTCTCTTTATCATTTCCGCCGCAAAATGGGGGTATAGAGCTCACATCAACCATGGAGGCACGCTTTCGCGGCGTTTCTTTCTTAAAGACAGGAGTCTTATTATGCTTCCTATCCTCCAGTGAATTATTCCGAGTGTTTGAAAGACAATTTGAGCTTATACTTCTTCGAAACAGAATGGCTTGGTGCACTGTCATGCCCGGAACAAAATCGCAGTTTTCAGCAGAATCATGTTCAAGTTTCAATGCCTTTTTGAATTTGTAAAGTTGAGCCGGTGGAGACCTACAATGAAATGCTGGGGACGAGTAACCCCATCTCGGACTGTGCGTATTAGTGTCCAAACTCATTTCGTACTTGGGTTTTTCCTTGTTGGTGTTTGAATGCCTTCTCTTCGTAGATTTGTACTCTTTACGATTAGGGGAAGTAACCGGCTTATATCCCCAGCTACTCACTTGTGGCGGAGAGCTACCATCAACTCCAAATACAGCGGGAATAAGAGCCAAGTTTGCGCGGCGACTTCGGTTTTCGGCGCCACCAAACCCAGTTTTCCGCTGGGATAATTGAGAGCAAATTGACATTAGATCAATGGCCGGTAAAGAACCAAGTGAGTGGTCGCTTGTCCGTGATCCACTTCTAAATTCCTGTAGGTCGAAGAAGGGCGATGCCTGGGGTATCTGACTTCGGGAAATATCATCAACAGAAGTCGACATAAGGATAGGATGAGAGTGAATCGACCTGTGAACGATTAAAGATGATAACGCTCTTGTTTATGCAGAAAACGTGGAACCCTACTTTCTTTTTACCCCCTATCATGGGAGAAAAAAAAACTGAAAGCCTATATATCATACATAAAGTTTCGTTAAAAGTTGTTAAAATAAACAGACGCTTCCTTACTTGTTCATTATGTCAGCTGGCCGCTAACATTTCGTCAGACTCAAACTATCAAACAAAAGCAACTGCACGTCGCTAAGGTTGTTACCAGACGCCCGGAGAAAACTTACTAAAAAATTTGCTGCTTAGCTCTTTCTCTATTTCAATTTCGTCCTATAATCTCATCAGTAATTGTTGACTGTTAGAACTCTGGCTTGTCCTTGATTATTTCGCTGCCGTTTCTAGGATGTAAAGTTTTTCTAATTTAATAAAGACACTGGTTAATCCTTGTTCACTGTGTAAGGTTCTATAGAATATAAACTATCCCTGTCGTCTCTTTTGTTAAATTTTAATAAAGATACAGACGTATGATTCAAAGGCCAAAAAATGATTGGATAATTATCTTATCAAAAGAAGTCGAAGTGGACAGACAATGGTAAAGGCGATTAAATCAAGGATTACTGATAATATTTGCATAGATTGAAACGGGAATATTAAGTAAGCCAGTGTTTATTTGTTTATCCACTTGTTTTTTTCCTGGTCCCAACAAATGCGCGTATAACCTTAAGGCAAACAAAGGGTTGATTCCTCCCTTAATTAGTTTATGAGAATATAAAAAGTAAATAAAGAATATGTAAAGAGAAGTTTGGACCGCACACCATCACCAAACTGAGAAGAAAGTCTTTTTGGTTGCATCCTATTCTTCTCTTTGTTTCCCTAACCATTGATCGCTTAGGGGTTTTTTTCAGCCTCAATCATTTCGCCAGTGTTTTTCACTTCTGAGTGAGTATAGGCTCTCTCGATATGAATTTTTAGCTCCGTTAAGAATTGCGTCCGTTTTTTTCTTGCATGGGAGCAAACATTCGTACTAGTTGATATTACTCTAAATTCATTTTTTGCATTTAAATATTTTCATCTTAGATAAAGAGCTGGTACTTGTAGTACTTGTGAATAATTAAGCCCCATTTTTTAATGTAGATGTCACTTGCCTACTTACTCATCCTGCTTCAATAAAAAAGATCATTATGAAGCAACTGACAAAAAGAAAAAAATTGCAAGATTGACCAGGATGAGACAAGACAACTAAGATATCACCGACATGCAGAGAACCGTGCCTCTGACAACGTAGCGTTTGTGTCATATATGGTTATCCGCAGTGTTTCCATTTCATTGGATTTCTGGTACTCCAAACTGGCGACAACTAATGACAAACACTTAACGCAGTTAGATTCTGATTGGATTGAGGTTCTTTTGTTGTTTTACACTAAAATGTGATCTCAGAGACGAGTCATTAAGTATAAGTTGCATTCCAGTCGTACAAAAAGTGTTAAGCGGCTGTTAAATAATTAGTCAAACTTTCAAAACATAGTATCAATCAATTACTTTTCGTTCTTGTAGATGAAAACGCATTCAAAACTGTTAACACAACAATGGTTAACCCTAAGAGTTACTTTAATAAATAATTGTGTTCAGATAATTCTTTTGTTAATAAATATTCAACAATTATCAATTTGAACGAATCGCATGAGCGTTCAGCAGAAAAAGAATTTCTTTTGTCAAACAAATTTACTCATTGTTTATTCGTTGCTCCCTACGAGTCTTTCACAAACTCAACGGCGACACAAAAGTAATAACTTAAACTCTCTTCAAACGCATTTGATGTGCAATATCCGTCCACAGTTTGAATGAGTAATTTAGACAATGGAATCAAATACGTCAAAAGAGCAATCGATCGAGCAAGCATTAAGGAGGCTTAAATATTTGCACACTTCGCTGGTGCTTCACGGAGCATTTTCAAAACAACATGGATATAATGTTGGTGAACGCATCATAACGAGTACACGTTTGCAGTCTACCAACAAGGAACGATTTAGGACAACAGAGTGGGGTTCTGAGAAACGGTGCTTTCTTTCTTTACAACCCAATACTTCGAATCCATTCGGAGAAAAGACTAAAAGACGAATTTTAAAGTGTAATCAAGCCCAAAAAGCCTTACGAACTGGTCGTGCGCCATTGCGTGTGTCTCGTTCGGTGTCAGTGACCGAGGAACAGCTTGATTCGACAAACGTAAATGAGATCATCTTGAGGGATGTTGAAGTAAGAGAACGTAGACGTACTTCGAAGTCCGCGTCAAGTGGACCATGTTTTATTGATCCTTACAAATGCCTTAATACTTTTACCTACGGCTTTGACGGTAACACTCGTAACAAGAAAGTAACAAAGGAATACTCTACGAACATGAAGATCAATCGCGTCACTTTCTCTGCTAGACCGAGTGGTCGTAAGGACAAATCAATGCACGAAAATAAAATCGAAGTTCCGAAAAGTTGCTTCTTCAATGGTTGGGGTGTGCGGTCTAAGAAGGTACATTTACCAAAACGAAACACGGGCGACGATTCTGAGAGACATACCACAGTGGGAGCCATAGATATTGCCGCTGGTATAAAGACTCTCAGATTAGATCCTAAACGAGTACAACAAGAATACCACGAGAGAACAATTCCACAACCCCCACCCACACCTGTTCGACAAATTGATATAAGACTACCTCAAGGAAAGATGGTTAAATATCAACTGCCCGAAGACGAGTGACTGACCTGCGCAAGTGTTATAACTTCTTACTACACAATGCCTAATATCCCTGCAAAGTTAGATAAGAAAGTCATGAAAAGCTGTTTGTCAAAACAGTTAAAAAATTTGTATTTAATCTGTTAGACTGAGGCTATAAACAAGTGTGTCATAATCATAGGTTCAGTATGGATACTTTTAACTCGCTACAAACCATCTCTCAATTAGATCCGGCCGAAAACGAAACTAACGCAGAATGATGCGCAATATTTATCCACAACATTTTCCTTCTTAGTTGATTGCCATCGCACATGTAATATTCTACTTAATAAATTATCTCGTTAAATAACTGCTCGTAGAAGGTTGAGATTGATTTGTTACTTTTATCTTCATTAGGGATAATGTAAATGTAATATACTTTCACTTTGAGAGAGATCTTAGATTAAATTTGATAGAGAGAATAAAAAACATACGTTAATGTTGAGAAAAGAAAACAGAATTTTTAAAGGTTGAATCATTCGGCTCGGCGCTCAAGCTTGTTTGAGAGTAACTTATCACAAAGTTCACTATGAGAAGCGTTCAACTATTCATTTTGTTTTACTGCTCCTGTCTAGTAAGAAATAGAGTGGGAACAATTTTTTGCTGCTTCACGTCAGCAACTTGGAGTTGGAAGATGTATCTTACAGTAGGGTTTTCTGAACGAAGAATTCGCTTTTGGTTGATTCGTTATGATCAGAAGGTGGTTAGAACTCAATAGGACTTTCCTTGATTTTCGGGAGAGCGCGAATTACACAGTTTGGATCAAATATCTCAGAAAAGGTGTGTAATGCGGGTGTCAATCAAGACCTACGAAGATGTTTCAAGCTGACGGGTAGACCCTAAACTTATTATCCCAGGTCAAAAAATCCTCCCAGTTACAAAAATCTGAATGACAGCAACCAAAAAGTTTAATTTTGCCTGTTTTAGTGTGAAAAAAACACACACTCATAGTGTTATATCTCTAAGGGACGTCATCTGTCAATAAAAAAAAATGCCATTGCCCAAACGGATTTTTTTTCTTCTTAAAAACAATGTATACTGTTATATACTTTCTGTTCTATGGTTTATTAGAAAAGGGGTCAGCTTCCAATCACTCAAAAAATACTCATTAAAAAACAGATTTTAAAGGGTGAATTCAAAGTTTAGAACATGGTTCAATGTTTTGTCTTTGTACACTTAAAATGGAAAATATACAACAAGTAACAAAATACTGATATATTTTTTTATTTCACAATAACAAACTGCAACAGAGGAGTAAATTTCCATTCTATTTCAATAATCTTACTGGACTTTTTACTTCCGTAGGGACATTTGTTCGAGAACTAATCCGTTATAACTCAACTATAATTAATACTATACCTCGTACGCGTAAAAAAAATATGTTTTGTTAATTTCTTCTTCAATACGCCACGTAATTAGTACTTGCATGAACATATGTCATTTTGTTCAAATATCTCACGACAGTAACGATTAATTATTGATATCCTCGATATCTTCTTTGGACCTTACGCTGTGAGTTGAAAGAGGAGAATAAAGATGAATTTCGTGTAAAAATTCACTAAAATGCACGTTTCTTTTATACTTGGGTTGCGTTGCTCCACCTTTATTTCTATCATTCGAGCTTTCTTCATTATTTTGAATTTCTCTGTATCCAGCTCCCTCCACTGACAGACTTCCGTTTTCAACTTCGTTCCACTTTGCTAAGCGATAGGGAGGAATTTCAATATTCACAAAAGGCACTAACCATAGCTGTCCTTCGTCCATGGTCATTCGCTCGGGAGATGGTGGTGTTATGCCTACAGGAAAATTTGTCGGTAGAGATGCGAGCGACGCAGACTGATTGTGAAGCATAAAGTGGTCTCTAGGCAACTGTCTTATGGTTAAACAATTATCTGCAGAGAACGTGCTCGACTCACCACGCTGATAATTTTGACGAAAACGTTTCTTTTTCCTGTGCGGGTTGATGCTACCAACCTTACGGTCTTTGAGTTTCGGTAAAGATGGCATCTTTGGAAGCGTTGTGTAAAATATCTCCTTATTTTCTGGCGGTATACCTTCTAATTTCGGTAGTCTTAGTTGAGCGCGATCTCCTGAGTGTGACACGGTGTTACTATCGCCAATATCCTCGTAAGAGTCTCTTTTCAGAAGAAGTTGTCTCAAATAATCCTGGTCATTAATATAAAGTTGTTTTGGCAATTCATCATGCTGTAATTTTTGTGAGAATTTCTTGTGACGCGTGCGGGTCTTCGTTAATCCGCCGTGAGACGAATTAATAACCATCTGTTGTTCGCGAGGTTCTAACCTTCCAGTGTTGGTTTGTCCCTCATCTGATCTGTTTGCGTCAGACAATCCCTTCCTATATATTCGAACAGCTTTTTCTTCATAGCGTCTGTGAAGCAGTAGTAGTTCTTGAACCTCTTTGTAACTTCTTTTATCTTTCACCGTGGTTGCAGAAGAACCTGTCAGAGCGAGTGGCATTTTGAATTTCGTTGCTAATTTCTTGCGGATTCACAAAAGCAACTAAGTGTAACAAACCGATTGAATCGTACAATCAATAAAGTAAATTTCGTTTGACAAGAGCATTAGAATTCTAAGAGGTAAAACAGGCCCAATATCCCTCTGTAAACAGGCAGTTGTTGTGGACACGTTTTAGAAGAAGTAAGTCTCTTAGCTCATCTCTTACAAGTGTCAACTGAAGATGACAGGTTTAGGTTGAATGAATATTTTATGAAATTTTCATCCATGTGACCAACGACCCACAACGTATCCTGTTGCGAATACATCTTAATATATAATAAAACATAACAGTTGTTTACACTTTTTGTCGGGAAAAGCTGGCCAAGAAACAATACTCCGATCACCTTTGCACTAAAATACTTTCTCTATGTTTTTAACGAAAAGCAATTTGGATAAAAGCTGTTTCAGAACGACCTGATTCTTTTAAAAAACGAGTAGCGTGACATTCAGTATTTCATCATTCGGATTTTTAGAATTATTTACATTGCAGTCTTTTTTAAGTCAGCCTGAGCTGGATAAACAATAGTGGCACTTGTCCGAGAGGTCAGCTGGTGAGAGAGGATTTATAACTTCAGTTTATTGTGAAAGTGTTTCTTCTGATTTTATTTTTCTAGAGTTTTGCACTCGGGAGTGATTCGAATGTCCTGAATTACACATGATTCTCACAGAAACTCGCAAAAGATTATCGCGACATAGCAAAATAAACACTGGTAGAGAATAGTAATCAAGTTATTGTGTTGGTAATCCTTTTGACGATAACTAATTAGGAACCCTATGGAAATAATAACTCGTTGGAACTTTGAAACTAAAACTGTTTACATATCCCCTGTTGACTGCGAACATCATAAGAAGTAATTCAAGGTTGGCACTAGTTTGGTAAAACTGACGGCAGCGTTATGGTTAATTTTTTTTCATTGATGATCTTTGCCAGTTCATTTTATGTCTTATCTTGACCCGTCAAATCACTTATGTTGCGCCTGATGATTAACAAAGGCCAAGAGAAAATAATGGGCCTCTTGCTAAGGCTTATTGCCGCTTTCATCCTATTTAGGTATTCTACACTAAGTACATTCCAGCTTTGCGGCGCCTCAGAACGATAGGGATAATCTCTGACCTAAGATACATCAAATTTCTTTGTGAACCAATTTTTTGATCTATGCGCTTAAGCGAGAAGCTCAAGATCGTTCTATACATACATGGGACGTGTTGAACCACCTTTAGGGTCTAAATTTTTCCCATTACCATCAAAAATGCATGAGCGAAGTCTAATGCACAATGTTTTGAGCAAGGTTTTGTAGGGTGTGACATGAAGTAAAGCGTGTACTGCAGTCTTACCTCCAATAGGAAAGAAAACATCCGATATTTTTTTCACTTCAAAGTGATCTTTATGAGTAGAATAAGAAAGATGGGATGTTTTGAGCCCGGTAAAGAAATAATAATAATAATAATAATAATAATAATAATAACTTTATTTATATAGCGTCTATATCACTAATTGCTCTAGGCGCTTAACTAAACACTAAAAAATCTAGCAACTACATGTATAAGCATAGAAATTAAATAGAAATATATTTACAAATCAAAAAAGGCTTGGCGAATTAAATATGTCTTTAAGTGTTCATTGAAAGAATTCAAGGAATCGACATTTCTTAAAGATGCGGGTATGCCGTTCCATAATTTAGGTCCTGCAATGGAAAATCTTCGATCACCATAAGACTTCAGCTTAGATCTCGGGACTTGAAGTAACTTATTCGAACAAGAACGCAAAGAGTAGGAGCTGATACAAAACTGAGCAAATTGGATATATAACTTGGTGAAAGTTCATTGATAGCCTTATATACTAACAATAAGATTTTATAAGTAATACGATATTCAACAGGCAACCAATGTTCATACTTCTTTGTGAATGTTACAATGCGCGCTGCCCTATTCTGAACTAGCTGTAGGTGGTTTAAGAGAGCTTTAGGTTATCCATGTAGAATCGCATTACAATAGTCCAAGTTAGTGGTTACAAAAGCATGAATAATTGCTTCAGCAGATTCACGATCCAAATATGTTCTGATCTTACTAAATGAAAGATAGAAATATGTTTTTTGTCTTGTCACGAGCGTGGGACGAAGAAAAAATTCTGAGTCCCCATGAGGAAACAACCTCAGACCTTCAGATTTCGCGCTCGGATGCTGTGCCACTGAGCCTCGGAGACTCTGTGGTGAGCGAGGCCCACTATATGACACGTGTCCCACATACTGCTAGGATCAGCTATGTCGATAGTGTCATGTTTGTAAATAGAACAAGAGAGATGGGAAGTTTTGGGCCCCGTAAAGAAATAGAGAAAGATGTGTTTCGTCTTGTCACGAGCGTGAGACAAAGAAAAAATTTTGAGTTTTCTGATCTTTGTTGACCTTGTGTGACCATGTTGCTGCAAAAGCACATCATTTTCTCAAACACGTCACTTTACTGATATACAAAGCGATGCGACATTCCGGTAAACAGTCTAAACAGCATCGCTGGCGTCGGAATCCAAGTTCCCAGATGCAATCTTAACATTATTTCTCGGTTATGGATTTCTAACAACGTTGAACCGATTATGAATATACCAACACCAAAGAAAGTGACAGAGGGCAAAAAAAACAAGTTGTTCAGTTGAACTGAAGGCAACCTGCCAATGAATAAAGGGGGTAAGTTTCTAAAGAAACTGTGGTGCCGCGGTGGGAGAGTACAACTGGTAATTTAGTTTTATTAATTGAGTTAAAAACTTGAATAGGCCACCCTAAAGAGTTTAAAGGCTGACGTTTTGGGCGTTGGCCTTCTTCAGTGCGATTAGAGGAATTTTGGGTTGAGTGTGGGTTTTACATGCAGAAAATGGAGCAACACTATTGCTGGGAATATCAGAAAACAAGAATAAATCAGTTGAATGAAAAGCTACCATTTTCTGTTTTTTTTTTATCTCCCTTAAACATTCTAAACAGCAAATGGCAGTTTGCGGCCTTTCTTTACATCTATGCAGTTCGGAAAGCCGCAAAAGACTAGAACGAAAATTTATCTTCCAAACCGGCACTCTTAATCCCCACGATATCAACGAGCGCTTCTCATTCAACGATTTTATTCCTGTTTCTCGTCACCATATTCCCACCAGTGGTACAAAGTAGCTCCATTTTCTGCATATCAACCCACACACAACCCACAATTCCTCTAATCGCTCTGACGAAGGGCTAACGCTCGAAACGCCAGCCTTGAAACTCTCTACGGTGGCCAATTTACGTTTTCAACTCAGTTGCTAACACTTAATAACCTTCCAATGAGTCGCTTTAAAAGGAGCGGCACAGAGCGAAGGAGAGTTCGCGCATTTAAAGCTACATGCATCTTATTTAAATTTTTTGCTGGGGCTGGGTCGTTTGCACAAAATTATTGAATGAAAACTGATCGTTAAAGACCCCTCGCTAAACTTGAGGCAATCTTTTGCGACTTTATTGACACTCATACTGAAAATCGTTTTCTTCGATCAGTGATAAAAAGTTATTTTAAATACAAACTATATGCCATTACAATATAATTGTTACAATAATTAATTCTCGGTTCGTATTTAGTAAGTTGTATTACTGCTCGTCCGTTTGGTCGAATACTTCTGCCAGCAATACACGCAAAGGAGTACAGAATTTCGCTGCTCGCATAGTTTCCGGGACAAAGAAGTTTGATCACGTATTTCCAGCCCTGAAAAACCTGAGATGGATACCAGTTAAGTCCCACCTGTATCTAAAAGACGCCATCTTGGCCTTTAAATCTATGACAGGTCAAGTACCAAACTACCTCAGTTCAAATTTTATCTCCAGAGGGAATATCAGCGGTCGAACGACCAGATCATCTTCCCAGCTTAATATACCGCTTTTTAAATCCAAGTCGGGACAGAGATCTTTTTATTATAGAACTGTGACACTGTGGAATGCCTTAAAACCCCATTTTAAATTGAGTGAATCCTCAAAGCCTTCCTTTTAAATCAATTTTTAATGTCATAAATTTTTCTTGATAGTTTATTGATAATTTTTGAGTATTTTTAAATTATCTTTAATCAATTTATAATGTCATAAATTTTATATGCAAATAGTTTTTAATAATTTTTTTTTACGATTTTTGAGCATTTTTTGGTTACCTGCATTATTAATATTTTTCTCTGAAAAGCCCCCAAGCGGAGTTGACAATAAAATTTGTATTGTATTGTAACTGATCATGAAAAGACTTTTCGCTCAAACTTGAGGAAATCTTTTGTAACTTTAATCTCACTCGTATTAAAAATCGTTTTCGTCGATCAGTGATAAAAAACTTACTCTAAATACTAGCTAAGAGTCATATGTCCTGTAAAGTTTTCATCTCCATCCAAATAAAAAAAAGCATGTTACACAGTAAGGAGAGTTATCACTTGCTTATTTATGTAGTGTTTCAATCAAAGCTTTACTGGAGACAAAAGTTCCAAATATCGTCACCAATGCACCAAAAACGATCAAGACATAATCCAGAACGACTTCCCACCGTTTTAAATCCTCTTTCCTAAGAATCAGATGAGCCACGCAAGGAAGAATGCAATTGAATAAAGGAAGAGATAAATTGCCGAAAAACGATGATAACAAACCAAAATGGGGAATAAAGGCAGCCGCTGTGAGGGTTATGGAAACAAGTACAACTCGAATTCCCACCGTATAAACTATTCGGGGTATCTGTACCTTCCTTTGCAGTCGACCATAAGTGTCAGAGTCCTCAATGTATTGAAAAACAGACTGGAGAGGCAAGGCGTAAGAAAATAAACAACTTAACACAAACACCACACTGACTATCACGTGGGGTAGATTGTGAGGTAAATTGTTCGTTATAATTTCATCTGTGGCAAAAGAGAACGACAGAAAACCAAAAATGGAGAAGCTCAATTTAAAGAACACTGCAGCTACGTAGGCAAGTCCCAAAGCTCGTCCAAACTTCGATTTATCGGCCATACTTTTCTCCACGGAAGGTACAATGGGGGCTGAACCGTAGCTGAACATAATTATCCCCAGTGAGATGAGGAACCCTTGCGTGTCCCAGAACAAGAGCTCTTTGGGGTTCCACTGGGAACGATGCGTAACCCCATACCAAAAAATGACCGCTGCAGTTCCAAGTAAAGCTGCGATTCCAATGACGCTGAGCCAAGCAATCTGCGAGAGAGACTTAAGAAATGTCGACGGAAGAACCACAACGGCTGCAATGCACGTCCAGTTGACAACGGTCAAGGGCAATGAAGGGAAAGCCGATGCCATCAGAGAGCCGCAAACGATTAGGTAGGATGTTGCGATGACAGTTAAATCAAAACATTGAATAGCAACTATCATAGTCCCACCAAATCTCGGCCACATTTCTTTTCCGATTTCATTCCAAGAAGAACGCACGCGCATGCGTCTATGGAGATTGTCTTTCTTGTAAAGACATTCGATCAGTATTTTCGCAGTGAACCAATAGATAAAGGGCATGATAATAAACGCGGCGATCCCTGCAATGCCACCTTTGGCGATAGCGAATGGAAGTGCTAAAAAGCCAACTCCTTCGATAAAGTTGATAATGTTTAAGGTTGCCTTCCACACAGAAGCGCCGCGTTCTTTTGGCGATGCGGCGATTAGCGGCGTCTCTTCTGTCACATAAGTTGCGACAAATACTCCAAAGGTCAAGTCATCATAGCCTTCTACGGGGTTCGCTTTTTCCTCGTCTGAGGACTGATAAGAGGAATTCAAGGGCGCAGCAGCGAAATTCTCCATTGATGCTGAAAGCAGGAAGATATATTTAATTAATTATTTAGCTTATTAGAAGTCTGAGCATGCGTGGTTCTGTAACCCTGTGATAGCTTTGTAACTGTGCGGTTAAGGGGAAACTAGCTGCAGAGCGTATCACGCTTAGTGGAAGGCACCATAGCTTGCAAGTAGACCTTCACTAAAATCACCGCTACACGAACGTTTCTCCGCCCGCGAGTAACTTTTAGTCTTCTTTACTTAACGCCCTCAGCTTCATTTCTGCTAAAAATGGGTTCTGCCTGCTCTCGGACTAAGTCTGCCTCCTATTCTGATTAACTGATCGACTGATCGACTCTGATTCTCTAATTTTGATCGACTTTTCAACTCTGATTCTCTAAATGTGATCGACTGACTACGGCTGTGAATCACAATTGAACTGACTATGGAAGATTAAACATTTGTTGTCAAAGCAATAGCCCGAACACTTTCATCAGAATCTCGAAAAGGAACAACAAAGTACCTTATGCCTCTGATCAAACAATCAGTCTTCGACTTCGAAAGCCAAAACAAAGAAGTTTACTGTGGGTCTAAGGCGGAGTCAAAAGACAAACTAACAAGACAGTCAAAATCAGGAATCTCATCGTGATGGCTAAAACCCAAACAACTCTGGACTTAGAATTAAAATCTTAACTAAATGCTGGATATAAACAAATCACCAAATCATAATTTACTATAGCCAAACACTTCATAACAGCTTGCGGATTATATTACCGCGGAAACGAACGGTCTAATAATTATGTTAGTTCTCAATAATTTATTTTTTCGAAGTTGAGAAGTTCGTGGCTTTAGAGGGAGTTTGAATGAATAATAGTGATGCCCCGTTCTATGGAAAGTGTCCATGGATTTTCTTGCCATCTGTAAGGTTTTCAAGCAGTTTTCACCCAGGCTTAAGCTTCCTGTGAACAGCAATTAACGAGCCCGAAAATTTCACTTGTTATACACGACAGTAAATAGGATGTCAACAACCAATCTTGAACAAAACAATGAACAGAATCAGACTCAGACAGAGCATTCAAACAGTACGTTACGCCCCGCTAAAAACAATAACCCGAGCATCTGAAATCAAACCAAGTCATGCGAACATGAGAGCTAGAAAAGAAGTGCAACCTAGAACGTGCGATCGCACTCAAGAAAACACCTTTTGCAGTAGAACTGAGATTTGCAGCACTTTTTGATGAATTGCCCGAATACGATCACCAGCGGGCAGTCGAAAGTCGTCATCCACATCGGAAATGGTGACATAGCACGGAATCGGATTCATATGTTTGCGCAAAGATTTCTAGGATTTCCTCAGGGCAAACATTGCAAGTTGTTCAAAAGAAATTTATGGAGAAAGGTTGTTTCGAAGTCCAAAAAACGATCTTGGAGAGAGATTAACGCTTTTTCGCCGTAGTTTTATCATAAATGGATTTAGATGATATTGATGCGCGGGAGAGTAAGTTTTTGTTAACATTACCACGAAATATGTTATAAAATATACCGATTCACTTCTCTCCTTGCGTTAGGTCTGTAATATAATTGTGAAATCATTATCCTGTGATGGTCTCGACGTATTACAAAATTAGCCTTAAATAGCACGGATATAACTTTTCAGTTGTATTTTTGTATGTACAGCCTGTTCTCATATTTGTTAACGTTTCAAATAAACATTACGATGTCCGAAAATGTACCTCCTCAAAGGAGAGAGGTTGTCGCTGTTGCTCTTTGGAAAGATGAAATAAGCGATGAAAAACAAAAGGAAATCCCGAGGCCAAGTGATAATTTGACGAGAAAAATCAAAAGGTTTTTGAGCTACCACTTATTTTCTCGAACTCCATGAGGGATCTTGTCAGGAAAAGCAAGATTACGGAAACTCCGGCAGAAATATGGACGTATATATATTTAGTTTAGTATCGCTCTTTAAGCGACCCATTCGTACCTACTCATCGTCGCATCAGAAAGGGTTCAGTTTTGAGCCGATTATCAACGCTGGTTCGTCCTTATTCATTGAACATAACAAAGAGGCAATGTATGTGTTTAATCACTTAAATATGTCATGATAATATTTAGTGCTTAAGCACGGCATATGATAAAAAAAAGGAATGGACCATTGGACCCTTGGACTATTTTTAAAACTATTTTTGGACTATTTTTTGGACCATTTTTTGGACCATTTTATTGGGGCAGGGAGATAGACCATTAGGACTTAGAGAGGGGTGGGATGCAGTCTGTCACTACTCAGGAAGGGGTGGGAGGCAAGCTATTAGTACGCAGGGAGGGGTGGGAGGTGGTTGTATTAGTAATTGCTACTGATTAATGGAGTTTTTAGTGGATCATACAATTTATTTTGAGCGGTTTTTGGACTGACTATTTTTTATGTCAGAATTTTTGCGCTGGGTCGTAACGTCTCTTTATTTTTTTTTCATACGAATGCGAAACTGGCACTTAAACACTCGACTAAAATTGCTATTGGAAATTTTGCTGATTCTCGTTTTCGATCCACCACTGTTGGGTCACGCGTGTGCCTTTTAAGTCGACTTGTGCCAGCGCTTAATGATACACACTGGCTAGCATGAATCATCCACCAGTTGCTTCGCGTTTCCCTTTGTGAATAAAGTATACTATTACTAAATTTATCTCCCTTCCTTTTGACGGAATTTCCGGTCTTTAGTATTCGTTTATCGTTTACACCATTACTATAAAAACATTGTTGGTAGTGTCGTACAAAGCAATCTTCTCTCTTTTCAGATACACAGCTATGACTTAACAGAAGTAAATAAGACTGAAAAGACTTTATTAATAAGTTTTTCATGGCGATTTAAAACTGATATTTCTAAAGCTCGAGATCAATACGCGATGTTCATAACGCATTGTCCATTACGCGATGTCTATTACGCGATGTCAATTACGCGATGTCAATTACACTAAACTCTAGCGCATGGAGAGAAGTAATCGCCAGATTTCACTGTATATTTCACGGTTGATTAAACAAGTCACTAGATTACACTCACGATATTTATTTTCAATAAATTGTCGAACATGAGGCTCAAATTAAATACAGTAATCAAGAAAACCATGCTACAGACATAAAGCCTCTGGTCACGAAAATTACCGACTTCTTGGTTGCGTGACATTACGCAAACGTACGATCGCATGCACGGAACTCTCTTCATAGCGAACTTAACAGCCAAATCTTTTCACAATTTTGGGTATACGACAGTTTATATATATTCAAGGAAGTGTTTTTAATGTTCTATCGTTTTCGTAAGAAGAGCAATTTCAATTTCTGACATTTCTGATGTCTACATTTTGGAACCAGTAGCACATTTAGTTCCTTCCGTAATAGAAACTATTACAATAGAAGGACTGTTGTCAAGGAGATGCGATTCATATCCAAATTGAATGGGACTTACCTTGCAGTTAATTTTCACAGCTGGTTGGATTTTTAGGGTTGTGATTGTATCACAACATCTTTTCTTCGCCGTTCAATGACAACTGATACTCTGAGTAACAAGGGTGTCAATGACGTAAGAAACCTTTGTAAGTTTCTTAATATGGCCGTGTTGATAAGTACATGTACAATTTTCTTTTTTGTCTCCTCAAAGCACATCTCAAGTTACCGGTGGTCAGTGAGGGCAGGAACTTTTATCTGCCTTCACCTCGGTATAAAAATATTTTTCGTATGATAAATTTCCTAATAATTCATCGCAATTTTGTTTGGTTTCTCTGCCCCTCTTTGCTGCAATTTTATCCCGTAAACTGTTCGTGATTTTTTGTATCACCGACATTTCCACAAGCTCCACACTGTCGCTTTACATTAATAATGTTTTAGTGATTATTTGCTTGACTTCAATCGAATTCGTGATAGACTGAAAAATTTCGCTCAAACGTTGAACCCACAATTGTTTATATCTTTTCATCCATCACTGAAATTGAGAAATAAAAGGGGGAAGCAACAAAGATTGATTGATTGTTATTTTTTGGTTGCCTGTGATGGCCCTATCAAGACAAAAAAATGATGAATGCAAAATTGTGAAAAGGTGTAATGCACAAATTATCATACATATCGGGGGGGGGGGGGGGTAAAGAGGGGAACATTGCTGCAAACACCTTTCTTCATCTACAGTAGAGTTCTTTTCCCTAACGTTTACACCTAAAGATTTTCACCATTTTCTCTTATATTGATGTATAGGCATGACAAAAGTAAACCACAGTCAAATGTGATTTTCACATTTTCTTTCATTTGCAGCTACAGAAGAAAATAGTAACACAGATTGCACACATGTAGAAATATCAGAAATTTATTTTTGCATCACTTCATCATCACTGAGTGATTAGGTGCCAGCACTTTCCACTCTTCCTGTGTTTGTCATTTCCTCATCTTCGTTGACTGGTAACAGAGGTTTGGTTGATGTGAGTGTGTATGATCCCATTCCTGCAGCTCTCTCTGCTTCTTCTGTTGTGTAAGGCACTTCTCTTAACATTTTCACTCTAAAAATATGTAAGTAAAAAAAATACAGTAAGTAAATAAGTATTTGTGTTACAATGTAGCTACACCTCATAAAAGTGAGTCAGTACAGTACATGAAAATGTCAAAAAACTCTGCATAAAAAAAAAAAAAAAAAAAAAAAAAAAGGGACCTGCTTGGACACTCCCAAATGAACCTGAGAAGAAGCCCTCTAAGGAGTAAAATAATAAATAAATAACATAAATTATTTCCTTTCGTATGCTGGCTGACCTTTCTAAAATATCAAAAAACTTTTTCCAATGCTAGCATTAAAACCCTCATTGCAAAATGCATGTCTGACTGCCCATAAACCATATCTGTATTGTAAGAATGTTAATTTCATAAGACCAAAAAAAATTTGATAGACATGCACTTGACTGGTTCAATTAACAGTTGTCATCCCTTTAAAACTTAAGGCCTTTAAAAACGAGAAATCAGTCCTACTATTGACTTCTACTTCCACACAGCCACCAATCATGTAAAAAAAATATGTAAGGTTGAAGATAGGTAACCTACTTTTTCCTATGAACTCTAGATCTCATGTGATCTTTCAGGGCTTTTTCTTCAACAAAGTATCTTCTAAAGACCAAAAAAAAAAAGAACTGTTAGTTCCTTGCAATTTCAAAATAATCAGAGAAGTCTGACAAAGCTAAGTAAATGCATTAGTGAGTAATTTCTTATCAGTAATTTCTGATATAACAAAACTCGGGTTTTTGTTGATAAAATGGGCTGTAGCAGAGTGTCATTACACAATCAAGTCATCATTAGAAGAGGGATTCTTCTATGCACATTTTAAATTTTCTTTTTCAGTTTAAAGTAGGTTTTGTTTCACTCTTTGGTGCTCACTGATAATGACCTCTTCAAATGTTTGCCCTCTATTTCTCACATACAAGCATACATTTTATTAAGTCTCAGATTTACCGACTGAGGTTAGACTGTTAATGCTAATATCTTTCAGCTAACTATTGGGATACCTAACCATATTGCTATAAATAATCAAAGAGTAAAAAACTCACTACCTACATTGTAACTACCAGTAATTACTAATTTACCGACTCAAATAATAAAGCAATATAAGTATAGTAAAATATAAAATATTATAAATTTTACCCAATTAAACTTTAATTAGGTATCAGCTGATAACAAGAATTAAGGAAAAATCAGAATTAGTGCAGTCTAAGTTGCAAAGGGAGTTGCAGGATTTACTATCAAACAACTGAGGGAGCTGAAGCTTTAAGGATTTTTAAAAGACTCAGACTTAAAACAGAAAATCTTCTTAAAAAAGAAATAGGTTCTTCAAACAAAAAAAAACTTTTAAACCAGCAGTACTCTAAGATAAATTATAATAAAGTTCGGACATAATGTGTGCTGTCATTGGTTGAAAGAGCGTGCTCTATGAGAGTATAGAGCATAGAACTGAGCTACAGCTGTCATGCCATTTACCAATTTTACTATGTTTGAGCTTTTCCAGGACTTCTTTTTAGCTTTTTTCCGATAATTGAAAGTGAAATTTCGGAACTGAAGCAAGCTGGTAAGTAGCAACAGAAGAATCAAACAAAGGTTTGTAAACATACCAGGCGCCATCCTCAAAGGAAAAACAAAATAAACATTCTGAGTTTTAAATATTTTCACGCTCAGTTAGATTGCAAGCTTACGTACGGTAATAAAAATCAAACACAGCTAACACTCGTATAGTATATAAAGTTCAGTGTTCAAAAACAAAACAGAACAAAACAGAAATGATGAAAAATATAACCAAACTGGCATAATTGTTAAAATTCATACTAATCATGACGGTGTCTGAGCGAATATGATCATGCTAAGTTCATCGCCGCTCGCTCATCATGGCGATCTCTGGTCATCACAGTAAAGCAAGCCTCAGAAACTACATTGGCCGCCTTTCGAGTGAAAAAAATAAGAGCTTGCTCTGATATCCTTTCCGATACGTTGAGTGGCAATTCACATTAGTCACTGTAGCCGAGTTTTGCGGCACTGTCATCACGTGCGATCTTCATGTTCCGGTGAATTCAGCTGTCGTTCATTCAAAAAACACTCGCCTTGAACAGTTTGTTTTCTACCTTGTCATGTGAAAAAACACGCGTGTTTTTATGAGCCATAATTCAGCTGAAGTTCACTGAACATTTAACTTCAAGATTTTGTATTAGTGAACTTTGATGGTTTTTGAACTTTGATGGTTTGACACTTTTGACAGCTTTAGTCTTGTAAAGCCAATCAGACTATTTGAACCATTCTAACAGGGATTCTGATTGGCTTATTGTAGCGTGCTTTATGAGAGTATAGAGCATGCTGATGACATTGTTGTTCGCTTTGGAAATAAAGTTTGTTTTGAAAATTGAAAGTAATGCTTGGGGAATTTAACGGATTCTTTATTTTAATATTTATTATAAGTGTTTCTTCCCACTTCTGGAGTGCTTTAGCCGCTTCCCAAGTGCTTTATAACAGAACAGAGCACAGTCAAGGCTCCTCTATTTGTTAATTAGGCACCACGGAAAAATAACTTTGGTCTTATGGCAACTTGAACATCTTTCCTTTTCATAAAAGTGTCCAGGAACTGGGCACCCCAAATTTCTCTGATGAGAGAGCACATTTTTATAGAATTTAGTAGCGAAGCAAAATGCTTTTCTTTGTTTGTTCCTTTTACTACCTGGGCCACCAGCACAATAAAGGCAATTTCAAAAAAAAAAAAAAAATGGACAAACGTTCCACTAGGCGAAGTTTTCCCACATCTCTCTCAATTTCCAAAATGTTTGAATTCCTTCTTTGAATAAAAAATGAGAAAACTGCTATGAGCAAAAAATGAAGTAGTATCCACTGAAACATTACCAACCACAGTTTCAGAGATAAGAACTTCTGTTAAAACACTTCCCCCTCCAAACCAACCTCTCCTACCAACACCATTTTTGTGAGACTTCCACACTGTAGAACATTCCACCATTATGCAATTCTACCATTCCATCATTCCATCAATTAGGGTTTCCCTTTTAAATTCAAGTATTTCTAATAATACTCTTTTCAGCAGTATTTTCTGATTGAAATGGCAAAATCTTCTCTCTTTAAATAAATAAAATTTTTCTCGAAAGTTTCTATGATGTGCAGATTAAACATATTTAGATATTTCTGAAAGGAAAAGTCTTGATTTCAACAAAGGCCATTGTGAAATTTTTTTGAGATGTTTATCATCTTTTGTAATGTTACGGCATGAACTGAGAAAATTATATTCAAACAATAACATGACCTCTCCAAAGAAAAATTAAGATGGTTACCAATGAGAAATACAAAGGTACTATGAAATGAATAATAAGTCTCATTGTGTCAAAGTCAGGTGAAGCTCAGCTTCTATTTAACAAATAGAGAAGCCTTATCTGTGCTCTGTTCTGCAGCTAGAGTGTGAAAGAAGTGTAGGGAAAACACATGAGTAGTAGTCGAGTGCTTCTCCCCCCTTCTGGAGTGGTGAACAGTGTTCTACAATAAGCCAATCTACAATATGCCAAGTGTACTCCAATAAGCCAATCAGTATCCTTACTGGAATGGTTCAAATAATCTAATTGGCTGTACTAAATCTAAAGCTGTCAAAAATGTCAAACCATCAAAGTTCACATTCTGCAATAGTTTACAAACTTAATAGTTCAGCAGGTTGAATTTAACTCTTTCACCTGAAGCCTTTTAGTCTCTAATACAGAATCTGAAAGTGAAATGTTCAATTAAATCAATAGTTTACTAACTTAATAGTTCAGCAGGTTGAATTTAACTCTTTTGCCTGAAGCCTTTTAGTCTCTGCTACAGAATCTGGAAGTGAAATGTTCAGTGACATCTGGCCAAATTGTGGCTCATAAAAACATGCAAGTTTTTTTCACATGAAAATTAGAAAACAAAGTATTTCAGCATCTGTTTTATGTATGAACAACAGCCAAATTTACCAGAATATGAAGACTGCTCGGGATGACAGCACTGTCAAACTTGGCTGCAGTGTCTGATGCAGCCTTCCACTCAATGCCTCGGAAAGGACATCAGAGCAAGCTCTTAGTTGTTCTCTCAATGCTATAACTGGAGATCGCCATGATGAGCTAGCCACATTGGACCTCAGCATGACATTGTCATGATTAGTATGAGTTTTAACAGTTACGCCAGTTTGGTTGTATTTTTCATCATTCCTTTTTTGTTTTGGTTTTGAACATGAAACTATATACACCACACAAATGTCAGCTGTGTTTGATTTTCATTACCCTAAGTAAGCTTGCAATCTAACTGAGTGTGAAAACCTTCAAAACTTGGACTGTCCATTTCATTTACTCTTTGAGGATTTTCGTCTCTGCTCATGTTATAACAACGTCAGTTATGGTGTTTGGCATGTTTATAAACCTTTGTTTGGTTCTTCTGTTGCTAGTTGCCGACTTGCCTGTTTCAACATTTCACTTTAAATTAAAGAAACAAAACTAGGGAAAAGTCCTGGAGAAAGTCGCACATAGTACAATTTGGCAGATGGCGTGACAGCTTGAGCTTGATCAGCTCTATGCTCGATACTCTCATATAGCACGCTCTTTCAACCAATGACAGCGCACACTATATCTGAACTTTAATATAATGTTACTTAACATCACTCATAACATCTATGGCTTCACCTCCTATAAGGACGCAGTAGCCACAAAAATAATAGGTCCCCCTATATTGCAATTATAATTAAGGCAACATCCATTATAAAGATACTTACGCGCATTGTATACAGTAATATTGTCCAGCACCTGGTAAATCCATGTCACACTCTTGTGATTTTAATTTAGCAGCGTTCTTTGGTTGCATGTCCTCGTGAATTTGGTCCAAGTCCTTTGTTCGCCTTCTGGTTCGATACTTTTTCTTTAGATGTTTGTCGTTCTTGTGCATTCGTTTTCTCCGCAAGCGGCCCATATTTAAAAATCTTTCGTGACGTGAGATTCCGATAAAATCAACGATGGAACTGCAAAACAACTAAGAAGAATATCATTGCGCAAATTACGGGTGTGTTTAAGATGGCCGACGAGCGTGGAATATTCCAGGCGTTCCTTAAAAATGAGGTAAACTGGGAAAGTGAGAAAATATCTGTCTAGGGTCACGCTGGGAATGGGCTAACATATGAAATAGAAAAATAAAACATACAACCGATTCTCTATTTGAAGAAATCGAAATAAAATTGATGTAAGAATATTTAGATTCACAATTAACTCAAACCTTTTTCAATACTGTCAAACACTAACAAGCTATTAAATCCAAAGTTATAAATGCACAGCTCTCCCCTCCTCCTCCCCCCCACCCTTCACAAAACTTTTATTTGACAACTTTGGCCACTTTCTTATGATGATTTCGTGTGTCGGAAAGCTGTTTATCTAATCTCAAATGTGGTAAATGACGTTTTCACGACTGAAATGGGCGCAGAAATTCTCATAAATACTTTGATAGGGATTTAATTTGTCGTTTCGTTCATGGAATAAAGGTATCGTGACAGTTATGAATGAGTCGCTTCCTGTATTCGGAAGCCATTTCGGAGAGCAGCAGGATATTTCGACCTCGTCTAAATCGTCGGAAGCCAGAAACAACTTTCTCTCGGACGTGAACAGCTCAGGTGACGAAAATGTTTCTTTCAGAAAGTCAGGGAGCCTATCACCAGGTGGAACCAGGAGGTACGGTATGACAGATTTTGGTGATTTGGCTGGAGAGGAGACTGATCTACTTGAACAATTTGACCCACTTGTTTCTTCTCAAAGTATAAGCTCGAGTTTGGCGGACGAAGACACGTCAAATATTACAAAGCGATCCATCCAAAGATTAGACTCACGGGACAAAATGGAACTACATCGGGGTTCTGGACTAATGTTCGGCCGTTTTAACGAAACAGAATTGACAAGTTCAACAGTTGATAGTTCAGATGCTGTCTCTCATATACGGCTCAGTTATGATGCAAATAACACGACTTTGGAGAGTATCAGTACTACTAAACACCATGAAAATGCTGCAGTGAAGAGCGGTAAGGTTTCTGTGTGTGCTGTCATGAGTTAATAACATTAATTATAATCCGTTAGCCCTACTAGAGTTAATTTTCATTGGTTGTCAGTTTATTTCAGTTCACGTCTTGCACGTAGTGTTATTTACCAAGAGCGATATTTGAGTTTCCGCCTTCTCAATAATGGTATTTGAAATCGAACGCATATGAGGAATTGATTACTCTGAGGATGCAAAAGATAAAAATTAACATTTTGAGAAAATTGAAACTGCCTGTGTCTGTGAAGGTGTAATTAGTCGTGTGATGGTCCATAACAAAGTCAGCACGTATGTAATATGAATGTTTTTTTTTGGATGTCAAGAAAAATGTGATAACTTCAGATATACAGATATATTTGAACAATTTAGGGATAACCATTGAGGTATCAAGAGTTATTTGTGTCTTTTTTCCTTTCATTTACAAGCCAGCTTAGTTGGATATCATTTTCCTTTAGTTGTATACCCAAATTATTCAAGCAGTCCCTCCTCTTTGGCGAGGTCTGTCGCATGAGTCATAAAACATCAGTGAAAAAAATGATGATGCGCAGCAGGAGCTCCATTAGTGAGGGGCTCGAAAAGTAAGGACTACAGACTAAGCCCAAGAGTTTTTCCCTCTATGGCTGAGTAGATTTCAGGTATCAAATTTTAAACTCAATTAGGTATAACTAATGAAATTAATTATCTTAATTACCAGTCAATCTTCATGTTATCACAACACACAGGTGGTTTTAGAAAATTATACCATTTCAAATTTTGAGGTGCACAATAAATTGGAACTCTGCAAGGATGCCCTTGTGAACAAAACTCCTAAGAAGATAATTGAGAAGGGCAGGCTGGTTAAGGAACCATCGTAGAACAACTTTTGCCATGTGTGTGTTAGTAATTGGTCTTCAGAGATAGCATTCATGCAGTCTTCATCCTTTCCTGGTGACTGAATGGCTGGAGGGCCAAGTTCTTTAACTTGCTCCACCACAATGTTAATAAGCAGTGAAATTACAAGGACACGTGCTATAGAAATTTTTGCAAAACAAAACACCTGGTAGACAACACTCTTTTCAAAGCCAGTTGGCAAAACTGTGAGAACATCTGTGCCAGCAATAAGGGTTTCTAGGTCCTTCATCTGCTCTGATTCCAGCCAATGAATGGTTGGAAACTGCATAAACATTTATGCGAGTCATCAGCCATCTGAAACATTGACAAGCGTGGACACGGATGACCACTTCTTGAGAGATTTCCAGCCGATGGCCAATCATATTTTTGCCTTGTGAGCACAACGTAGAATTCAAACTCTTGGGCTTAGTAGGTAGCCCCTACTTTTCAAACGCCTCACTCCTAGAGCTGCTGCCTTGCATCCATGTCACTCCATGTCCAAGATCAATCTTTTTTTCACCAGTTTTTCTTGACTAGTGCGACTGGTTTGCCAAAAAGGAGGGACTGCTCGTAGTCTATAATAGAAGGCTAGGCAAACTAGGAAATTGTGAATCAACTGTAGCAGATTCTTTAGTAAACCTGAGTTCAAGATTAAAATCCAGTGATAATTTAACTGCAATTTAGATGTTTTACTGTAGGGTTAGTTGATCCTTATTGCAATCTTACAACCATGAACATTGATACTCTGCCCTTCTCTATGTTGTGCTTTTTTACACCCTAGTAGTCATTGATTGCAGCAAGATATATTGGGGAGGAGAAAGATCCCTACAATCTAAATTGTTTTGCGAGGCAACACTCTTACACATCAAACTTTTGATCAACAAAATTTTTCCATCTGGTGACAGGAAAAAGTATTCTGTCACCATTTGACAAATGCGAAGAGTATAAATGGGGATCTTAAGTGCAAAAAAAGTTTTTTAGATGCAGATAGCATCCAGAAGCTAAAAATTCTCATTCCTGGTGCTCACCACACCTTTTTGCTCAATACAGTTTGGTATTAACATGCTAAACCAACCACTTTACTGTCAATACAATGGGATATAAACAAGATAAAACAAGAATTATTCCTCTAACATCTCAAAAATGGCTCTGCTCTGAGTTTCTCCTATGTAGGGAAGTGGCAATAATTATAGTGGCCTCGTGCTCCAAATGTGTCTGCTGGTTTGTAACTTGACCCTACAGCTGTACTGATCTTAACCTCCTTCATCATATAAAAGTCATCACTATTTTTTAACAGACACAGCAGAAGGAAACACACCAGAAGTGAAACTTACAGGTTCAATTCATGAAGGTTTGAGTGCACTGAATGACAACTTCCGTGATATTGCTCAGCATCGAATACTATCAGTAGCTGGTGAGAAATGCTTTTTTTTTTTTTACATTGTAAGGGTAAGGGGTTGTACAAAATGTTCATGGTGACTTCTTAGTTTTCTTACTTTAGACAGGGTATTTGAGCAATCTTAGCTGAATTTCAAGACTTCACCTTAAATTTACATTTATTAAAACAAACATTTGGATTGGCTTATGATTAGGTGACACAGTATAAGTTTTATTGCAACCAAGTTAGATTACAACAAAAAAGATTTGTAATAACCACAGCCTCTTTGAGAGAGAACCATTCAGTGTTACATGACTGTTGCATTTTTCTGTTTTATATGTACTTTGTATTGCAAGTAATATGTGTTTTTTAATTATACCTTAAAACATCGAAGCACTTCCTTTATTTTAATTCAGGTGATGATAAAAGTGGCAGGCCTGTGATTGTTTTCTCTGCATGCAGAATGCCACAAATATCCTCCATTGATCACACAAGGATGTTCAGGTAAAAACAAATATATCAAAATGCTTGTAAACTTTAATATTTTCAGGGCAAAGATTTAAATTAAATTGTGGTTACAGTCATGGGGTAACTTGCACAATACTGACAAATTGGGTAAGAGAAAACAAGCAGTGAATTGGCTCTTCTTGTTTTAGTGGTAAAAACTGAGTGGCCCAATACTATACAGTAGGTAGCTGGAATCATTAATTGTTCATTTTCTGTGGCACTGTAAATCAAACTTGGGAAGAGTATTGTTACACAGAAGGGTAGGCCACATGGAAAGCCCTTTGATCACTCTAACATTCAACCTTCATTCTTGACCAGGTACTTGTTATGCACTCTGGATCAGTATGTGGAGAATGACTACACTATTGTGTACTTCCATTATGGGTTGACAAGCAAGAACAAGCCAACAATGTCAAAAGTGATACAGCTTTACCGTGACCTAGACAGGAAGTAAGATTTTAATTCCATTTTACTAAACAGGACTTGAATATGAAAGCTGAGGTACAGTAAATTTTAACAAGTCAGTACACATGGACAGTACAGACAACAAACAAACTTATTTAACCCCCATTAGAATGATCTTCAATTAAGCTTAGAGTCAAGCTCTCCATTCACTGCAGCTTTCTTTTGTATTGTTAAATTTTTCTGGTCAGAAAGGGCTCATGGAAAAGAATTATGATTTTTTCAGATTTAGTCAAGAAAAATTAGGTGCCAAGATACCTCAGTAAACTGTTATGAGCTATGATCTGGTTGCCAGAAAATATTTAAAATCATTTATAGAAAGTCTTTGGAAAACAGACACATTTAATCAGGGGGGAAAAAAACACCACCGAACAGAAATGTGGTTAACACTAACAAAAAAACCTTGAAAATGTGACTCAACAAACACTGAAACTTGCACACCATAAAATCATATAAAAAAAAAAAAGCTTTTGTCGTTTCAAATTTTATAAATGTCTCAGAGTGCACATGCTACAGGGAAGTCACTCATCACACCAGTTAAGTACTTATCTTCTCAATATTATCATAAACCATGGTCTGCTGTTCATCAACTTGTCAAATGAACAATGAGTGGACTAACCCCTACATAGTTTCATTGTGTTAAGAGTGCATTGTGTCAATAATATCTTGTATTGTCTTTGCTTATTGAAAATAAGTATTCTAACAAATGTTTTTGGAAAGAGAGGGCAGTGCTTACTTAAATTTGAGTTGAGTTTAGTGGTTAATGAACTCTTTTGTTTGGTTTTGATACATCATTTAGGTACCGCAAGAACATTAAAGCTCTTTTTGTGGTGCACCCATCCAGCACTATAAAGTTAATATGGGCAACCATTGCCAAAATCGCCAGGTACCAAGAGACTTTTCAATCACGTTTTCTTACCAAATAAAGTTGGTGTCTTAACTTTTTGAAAAATATTGAGTCACAGTAAATAGACTTGAAACTGCCTTGATCCATTTTCTTATCAAAAGTATTTTTCAAGAGAAAGGTTAGCATGTAACAACTTACAACATGTCCCCATTTTTCACATTGCTGCCCTCAATAACAATTAGCCAGACAAGTTTGAATTTGTACAACATACTGCAGGTCTAAATTGGCCTCCCTTTTTAGTCAGTGTATATTGTTTAATGTTAAATCTATAAATTACATTAGAATCAATCATAACAAAAAATACTTCCCTACAAGTAACAAAAGAATTTTTGATACAATTTCTTTTATTTATTAACAGCAGCTTAGAAACTTCTTGAAACAATATTATAAGCAAGGGTATATATTATCAGTAATATTTTGGATATTAAATTACTTTAAGTTCAGTGCTCCAAGCTGCAACCATTGTAGCTTCAGCACTATGGTTAGAATTAAAACATTTTAAGCTTGGAGCCTGTAATGTAATCACTGCGAGGAAGCTGAATGTTTCACTTTAAATTATCATTTACTTATGAACACTACTGAAAAAAATTAATTCAGACCTGTATGGGATTTGAACCTATGACCTCTGCGATACTGCTGTGCACAGTGATCTACCAACTGAGCTAACAAGTCAGAGAAGTCAGAGTGCTGCACCGGTATCACAAAGATCATGGGTTCAAATCCTGTACAGGCCAGAATTTTTTTCAGGCCTAATTTCAACTACTAGTTCATTAGTGTTCATAACTGCAAGGATTGATTCTATATTCATTTCTTATGTTTACAGCCATAATCATTTACTTGTTTAAATTTTACTCTTTTTCTTGTAAGTTTTTTATTTTATTTTATTTTCTGTTTTTGTTTTTGTTTCAGTCCCAAGTTTTCAAGGAAGCTGTGTTATGTGACTCGACTAGAAGATCTTGCAGAATATGTACATCTTGATCAGATCGATGTCCCAGTGCAGGTTGCTGAGTAAGTATTCATTAGGAGGTGTATTCTATGTTGTGGTTCTATTCTTTTCATTTTCAAACTGGTTTGAATTTTAAAATCTGGCTTTTTTGAAAAACTTCAAACCAATGGAACATTTGAACCACAGCATAAAAATAAATAAATTAAACTTCAAACCAGGTTTTTCAAACATAGAAGAAAGAGAACTTCCTCTCATGCAGCAATGTTGGGGCATGTTACAATTTGGTCCATGGAAAGATACAACATAAGCATGATTGCCACTGATCCTGTAAGTTTTTTTTTCCAGTAAAATGATATTTTCAGTATATGTACCTTGAATTTTCAGTTGAAAGCCTATGCAGGGATATACATGGTATGAATTTGAAGTCAAGCCTTTTTTTAGATGATGTATACATAGTTAGCTTTTTATCATTGAAGAGCATGAAAAATTCTCCAAATAGCAGAAACATTTTCCATTTGTTTGAATTAGATCCTGCTCCCATTCTATTTCAAAAATTACAGCTGCAGCCATTTTAACTTCCAGAGTATGCAAACTAAAATAAATGGAAAGTACTGTGTGCAGTAATCAATTGAAAATTAACAACATAATTTAGGTAATTTGACTTCCTTTTCAGGTATGATAAACAGATTTCCAGCCAAGTGAGAAATGGTTCCTCAAAACAACCATCAGGAGTGTTTTATGCAACTCCTGATGAAATACCTAAAACTCAGCAGTTTGGTGTTTCTTTGTCATGGTAAGTTTTATACTGACATACAATCAGCATCAGAATTGTTGACACTTTATCATTGAAATTACAATGTTCTTAAATTTTATTCCTTATACCTTACTTCCAGCCCCTTCTCCACCCCTCCTCTCCCCCCCACATATGATGCAGCACTTTGTTTGGGTGATATTCATCTAAAAATAATTCCTTCAGAGTGGCTACATCCATCTATCCATGTAGTTTTACTCTAAGTGCAAACCTGTTGTTGCTTGAATAGCTTGTAGTGTCTTGTAGGTAATCACTTTTCTTTGTTAAACATTTAGTTTTTGTTATTGGAATTTGTTCAAGCTAGTTTTGTATTATATCTGGCAGCAAATATCAGGTGCCCTTTGCTGCACAAATGATATGTATCAAAATATTTTGTCTTCAACTTACTGTAAATGTATGATAATACCAAAAACAGGTGGGATTTGTGACAGCCCACTAGTAAGGGCTCTATTTCTAGACTACCAGCTCTAGACTAGGTCCTTGGCTGGGGTTGTGTGCTATGTGCTCTTTGAGAAGGAGACAATGTATGGTCAAATTAAAAGGCAAAAAGATTTTCATAGGGGCTGCTCTTTACCTTCATATATCATTCTTCTGTTGTTTCAGGATGAGAGAAAACAACAATGGTGAGTGTATCCCACCTGTTGTGTCTACATCAGTGGAATTTTTAAGAGAAACTGGTAAGGATGAAATGAAATTTGTGTGTAGAACCAGGAATCTTCTCTGACTTATTGATATACAAATGTAACTTAATGCTATTGAGGTGAATGCACGAAATTGTGCAGTTTACCTGCCTTTAAGGACATTAAGCTACTCACAACTTTGTCATGCTGAGTTTTTCTATTTTGGTTGCCCTATATTTTTTTATCATTTTTTTTTTATAATCATCCTTCTCCTTAGGTTGTGAACTTATCAAAACAGAGATATCAATTTGTGAACAACCAAACTCTTTATTCTATTAGAAATACCATTTTCTAACAATCACACTGATTTTTCTGTAGCACTTGAGGTTGAGGGCATTTTCCGACGGTCTGGCAACATAGCAATTGTCAAAGACATCACTCAAATGTTCAACAAAGGTACATGATTATGTTGGTAGTTTTTTTAGATAAAAAGAAAATTCTCCAAATTGGCCATTCTTTGGCTAAACCTGTAAATACCTTAATCATGAACTAGTACTAAATATATTATTATGTTATGGTTGGTCCACTTATGTTGTGTTCCATTGAGATAGACAGTTTCAACTGCAACCTGTTACTTAAAGTTGAGGCTATAAGCTAGTACCTGCAACTATTGCTTCATGGTAAGGCAACTTTTGAGGAAATCTTAAATAAAATCAGCCAAAATCAAATTAATGGAAAAACATCTGATTGAATAAAAAATGCAGTTGTACTGCAAGTAGTAAGTTAAGTAAGGCTTAGCAAGTTGAGACTGTTAATTACCATGAAGATTTTTATGCTTTGACAATTGAGCAGGTTAATTTTTTAATTTTAGGTTTATCAGTGCATTATAAAAACCCAGAGGACATTCACTGTGCAGCAGTTATTATAAAGAGATTCTTAAGAGAACTTCCAGAGCCGATTCTAACCTTTAAACTCTACGATACAGTGATTCAAAGCACCAGTAAGTCACAATCTTTCTGATTTATCAGAATTAATGTACAAATGTTTTTTCAAAACACATTGTAATTATCTAGTGGTTATTTAATTTGACCTGAAGTCTGAATTGCAATAATTTGAAACAGATATACTTTTTATCTAAAGGTCAAAATTTTTGTACTTATTTTTGTTTGTGTTTTGTTGATGTCTTGTCTAACTATTAGCAATTCCCGAGGAAACCGAGAAGTTAAAGCAGATGTGGCGAATCTTACACCATGAGCTAGCAGAAGAGAACTATATTTTGTTAAAATTTCTCATGCAGTTTTTAAATGAGGTTGGTGTTCATGTGTTACCAAAATTGATAATGTTTGTGGAATGATTTTCAAATTCATTTTTTGTTCTTAATTTGGTTTAACCATTTTTGTTATAAATAAATATTAAATGAATAAATATCCTCCAATCTCACCAATACTGAGGTGTATATACTATACAGCAACCAAAAAAACCCAGTTAATTTCTGTCACTATACAAAAGAATGAATAAATTTGCAATGAACTTGCATTGTAGTACTTGTAACAACTGCTACAACCCATTAGGTGACTGAAGAGCTGTTACACTAGTGTAACTAAGACATTTCTACCTTATTTCTTATTCTTTAAGACTGGTGAGTTCTTGGTAGCGAAGACATCTACTATGTTACTGTGTTTGATGTAATTATAGTGTAACATCAGATATATAAGATGCCACAGGGTACAGTCTTTATTCAGCTTCATGTAGGTTTAAACTTCTTTTCCCATTCTTAACAGGTACAGGAACATTCTGCTGTCAATAAAATGACAGCAAAGAACCTGGCTATTGTGTTTGGGCCAAACTTGGTGTGGTCCAAATCTCAGGCTGCCTCTCTTGATGCCATGGCACAGATAAACTCATTCACTCTTCTTATGCTGGAAAATGTTAGCTATTTGTTTGAAACTAGCTGATTTCCAGAACATACGTGTATTCCTGTCAGAGGTGTACAGTTATCACATAATGAAGCATCTATACATAGTCTAGTAGCATTCTCCTGGAAGACCTGTCATTCATTCAGCAGCATCAAGTATGCAGACAGTTTATATAAGTATTGGATTGTTCTCAAAAGAACAGATGCCTGTGGACCTTACCTCAAAGAGGCTGTATGTCAGGAACTGTGCTGCACCGATTCCACCACAAGTGAAAACCATAGAGTATTGTTATCACATTAGATAAAGGGTAGGGAAAGGGGAGGAGGGCCATAGGTAAGAGGAAAAAGTGTTCATTTATGATAATACATCAGCCTGATATGGACCCAATACCAGATGAGAGCTTATGTAAGACTCCAACTCCTTTCCCATGTAGAAAACCCTGTTCAAGTAGCTGTGTGAAAAATCATTTTGCAAAGGCAATGAAAGGTCTCTTGCTCTGGTCATATTCAGTGAACTAATATATTGACCAAGTGTCAAATCATTGACATTGGCCCTCAGTCAAAATGATTGTATACAAGTCAAAACAACTGGATCAAACAAACAAATAGTAACATTGTTCCAAGGGTATGGCTTCTTCCTATCTCCCTGAAGCTCTGGCCCTATTTTTTTCTCCCTCTTCTTACAGCAAGAAGAGGAGAGAACTTGGAAACAAGGTTTGTATACAACTCAAGACTTATGGTAAATAACTTGTCAAGCAACAACTTATCTTTTGTTTCTCTTGTCTCTCTGACTAAGTATCAGTGCACTACCAAAGACTGTTCTAGTAGAAACAAGAACAAGACAAACCAGGAGACAAAAATTTGTTTACTTATTGTTTTTCATGTTACACAGAAAGTTTGCCTGTAGGCCTCTCTTAAATGTTCTCCACCCAGTACCCATTTCTTGTAGTTTGCATTCAAAGATGTCAGACGATAACCATTTACCATTCAAGTTGTAAATGTTTGTAAGCGTTACCAATTTTGTGTGAACATAAAGATGACAAAATGGTTGTAATGTTGATAAACTAAAGATAGTTTTTACAAAGGGCAGAGCAAGGTATACAAATGCCTTTGAAAGACCCTGTCACTGCTTATTCCAAGTCTCCAAGTATGATATAAATAATTTATTTCTGTAGTTTAACAGATTACTAGAAAATATTACTGAAAGAAATTAAAATAAATACCCAGTCAGAGCTTATATAAATTAATTTTTTTCATGTTTTGCAAATCTCCATGTACGATTTTCACCCTTTACTTGTTTAAACAGAAAATATTACAAACGAAATTAAATAAACAGGCAAAAAAACAAAACTATTGTTTGAAGTTTTGGCAAGTGCTTCTACACTATATTCAACACAGTTTTAAGGAATGCACCAAACATTACTTCTGTGATTTCTAACTTGCTAGATTCTGTTCTTAGTCCTTGATGAGGGGAGCACCAAAAACACTAAGTTGTTGGGGTCCAAAAGCAAAAGTTGTCCATGGACCTTGGTCTTATGTCAAGCAGTGTATCAGAAGTATGGTGCAAACTTTGTATGGTGTACATAGATAGAGTTCAAAGACCAGCCTCTTACAGTAACTCTGTAAATCAATAGTCTTGATATGTTAGTTAACTTCAATTTTTGAAACTATGTGTGTATATGTATTGAAACTTGTATATATCTCTTCAAATAGCCTTCATTCAACTGACAACCTTGAAGTAAACTCCTGTCCTGTGTTCACAAAGACCAACTTTTTATTCCAAACTTTAAAAATGTTTTTCCCACGAGCAGGACATGTGAACCTCTTTACACAAAGTATCACCCTACCAGGTGGCTTATGAAAACAATATAACTATAAAATAACATTAACACACTACTACATCAAATCTTTTTTAATTTGCTTCATTTCTCATATTTACAAGTTGTTGAAGGAAAGTTGGGAAACTGTTTTTAACTTACAATGGTTATACCAACCCATTCAAACCTCATATTGAGAGGTGACATTTACAAAATCACTGTTCCCACTGATAGACAGAAAAACCTTGAACCTTTCCAGTATTCATCTATCCCATTCAGTACTCATGGTAGGTCTGGGATACTTAGGTCAGTTTGCATATACGAAGGAATGTCACCAATCTGTGAAGCAATCTTAAATACTAATATTAATAGCTTAAGATTTAAATCCTACTGGCAAAAGTTTTACTGCTCACAGAGACAGATAGGTTTAAGACATTTGTGGCAAATCATCCAAATTCTTCACCCTCTAGTCAAACAAATAAAACTTAACTGCCAGTAATGGTCATGAAAAAATTGAAACACACTCGATATTCTTCCAGAACTTAAATTTTCCCTTACTAAATCATTCTCCACAGTTGGAGCAATATAGGAACTGTGAAGGATTGAATAGGAAAAGCTCAACGAATTTCACTTACTCTTGTACACACTTTCAGTTTCCTTGCTTGACTATTTATAGCTATACACACATACACAGGAGTAAAACTTGGCTTGAGAGGTGCCAAACTATTGACCCCACTTCTTCATTATGCCCTATGAAACTAATAGCCTTTTATTGTGAAAAAGAATGATGATGAACAGTTATCCATCTAAATTTTCAGTGGCTAATACAATAGCTTCAACGTGCATCCTCGTCATTTGTACATAGCCCCCTTTACAGCTTGTAACTGTACTATTTTTAAAAGATTTCAGTTGTAGCATACACAGGAGATATCAGTACAGGGCTCTGGGGAGAAGACTCCAAAAACTCTATGATTTACTTAGCTTCTCATTGATGTTTACTAATTTAAGATAAAATTTTTTTTTGGCCATTATGCTGCTGTCATGAAATTCCACCAAAATCAACCCCACTCACATAAGTTTTCAAAATTTTACAGCTTATATCATTCAGTCTAAATTGGTAAACCTCAACTTCCTCCTTCATCAGTGTGTGAACTTTCATTACCAGAATTACTTGGTGAAGGTGTATCTGTCTGAATAGCAATACTCTCTGGGGAGATGCGTGATTCAATGCTGCAGTCATCACCATTAGAGCCACTGTCCCCATTGCCTGGGTCTGTTTGACCCTGTCCTGAGAGATCTTTCCTCATTCCATTAAGGAAAGGAAAACCCATTGGAGGTGCTTGATATCCATAAGGGGGCATTGCTGGAGGAACATATGGAAAGGGGAAACCAAATGGGAGGTTGGGAGGAATTCCACCTGCTGCAGATGGCATCATTCCAGTGGGCATTACTCCTGGGGGCATCATCCCTGATGCCATCATCCCAAATGGAATATGTCCAGCACCATTAAATGTTGATGCAGAAGGTACAGGTACACTAGGATGCAAGACAATTGGAATGTAGTGGGTACCAGCTGGATGAAGTGCATATGTTGGAGCTGCATATGGAGGAAGTACAAATGGAGCACGCAGTGGAATGTTTCCTCCTTGTGGAAGCATAGAGGGACATGTATTAGCTGAAGAGCTAGTTTCATTTGCACTTCTGTTTGTAGTTCCACTGCTGACACTGCTGCCATTTGTTCTGCTGCCATTGTCACCTTCTTTTCCTGTACTTCCTGGCATCTCTGAAAGGTCATCTTCCAAACATATTGCAGAGTCACTCTGGGTTTCTCTGGCATTGTCTGAGTTGTTATCATTGTCACTGCTGCCACCTGATGTACTGTTCCCATTACTGCTGCTGCTCTGTACCTTGTTATTGCTGCTATGATGTGCATGAAGTCTGGCTCTCTTGACTTTCCCACCACTCCCACTTCCACTCATTTCACCCATACTGGATGATGTGGATGATGATGATGAGATAGTACCCTGAAAGCTTCGCTTTGATGTGTTGCGCTTTCCATTCTCTGTACTGGCCTTTCCTTTGGGATTCACATCTTCTGAATTTGATGAATTTTCAGCCAACAACTGGATTTGATGTCTTAAATGTGCCATAAGTCTTTGAAAACAAGGCTGTTGCATGTCCATAGCTTCCACATTGACCAGAAAACGGAAGACTTCTTCTGTGCAGTCCTTGTACCCTCCAAAGTGATTGACAGGCTTGACTTCAGTATTGGTGCTGCTGCTCTTTGGTTCTGCAGTGGCTTCTACTGAATTTTTATCATCTAAAAGAATAAAGTCAACAAGATCATCAGTTAGTTACAGAGTAAATGTTCTTCGGTTTCTTTTTGCACTTAACTCATTTTATTCCAGCCAAATATAAGAATCCATCAGGTATGGCATGTAAAAAGAGATTGAAAACACCCATCCTGATTGCCAGCTCGAAAAAACATGTCAGTCATGGGTTATGTATCGAAAGTAGCCCAACACAGGAGATAAACTGGAATTGCACAATATTGTCATGGGAATTGCACATTATTAATTTGACTTGGTAATTCCTAATCAAAGTAAAGGAACGTTTCTGTGGGGGATAACCCAGCATCAAACTTAACCACCAAAAATCAATACCATAAATAATAACTTGTCAAAACTGCATTTGTTCCTTTCCTGTTTTTGGCAACTCAGGTGTGCTGCCTAATGGGGGAAGAGTTTATTTGAGTGCAGTGACCCATATATTTTTAACAAATTTTAACAGGGAGATTTTCATCATGAATCAGAAACATTCAAATATTATCTGGGAAAAATTCAAATTTCATGGCCCCTTCATTGCATGACAGTTCAACGGAAGAAATTCACATCAACAAAAGAATTTCAATTGGAAATTTTTTTTTTCATTGAGCAAAATATAAAGTTTCTGAAGCTGTTTTAAAACAAAGTTGTAGCCCATATGATATATTCCTAAATTTGCACTGTATGCCTGGATGCATAACTTCCCAAAACATCCTCATTGTCTTGCATCATGAGTGCTTGTCATGCTCTTAGAGTAAATGCAAAAGGCCATCCCTCAAGCAGATAGGGTGTAATAACCAAAAAAGTTAAGGTTGACACATGCCACAAATAATTCTTCAGATATCTGTTAGCGGTAGTAATGAAGGGCTTCATAGCTAGCAAGTTAGTTGCTACAACAAATTTATAATCATGTAACCCACCTTCTGGTTTGATCTCTTTATCCTGCTTTTGGGCCAGACGACCTTGAAGAGCCTTTAAGTACTCCACAGTCAACTCCAAAATCTCTGCCTTCTCAAGCTTGCCTGATCCCTATGGTATTGATTTCAAGGAAAAAAAGCCAATTGCTTAAACAAGTTATTTTCATATGTTTCATACAGCCAACAGGTGATCAACTATAAATATCATTCTAATAATAATTCAACAGAGATAAACTGTTTTCAAAAACTATTTCTTTGCATGGGGAGATCCTGGAGAGCAAATGAAAGGAGCTAATAAATTAAGGGAGATATCTTACCAAATATCATAACCATTACAAGGACAAGACTTACCTCAGTCTAGTATGATCATCATCAAACAAGTCCCTTCAAAATCCCTTTTCTACCACCTCATGTTCATGTTTTTTTTCCCTTCCTTCCCAGTAGTTGTGAATACCTTGCATAAATTGAATAATAACCCCCACAACATACCTGTTTGCTGTTACACTGAGCTGGAAGCAGCTGGGAAAGTTCCCCCAAAGATGTGTTGATGCGATCTCTGCGCCTCTTTTCAATCACTTTGTGAGAACATTCAGACTACAAAGAGACAAATTCCACATTTCAAAAATCCCATTTTCATTACCTATATCACTTCACCCAACATATTCATTTCAAGTTTTAGCAAATAAAGTAAAACTGGAAAGAAAAAAAGGGAGTCAGTAATTATTTCTTTACCCTTGGGGTCAAAATTGATTTCACTTAATTTTATTTTAATACATCTTTCCAACTTCATTTAGCTTGAAATTTACTCTTTTTCCTCCCTTTGGATTAAAACTCAATTTTAAAAAAAATTATATTTTGACCAACAGCTGGGATACAGAAGACACATCTGAATAGTAAAGAATCTTAGCCCATCGTGCCTCATAAGCTACACAGATGTACAATATTCTGCCATGGTTTACTGAGTGATATGCAGGTAATTGGGAATTACCAAAAAAAAACCTGCACAATGGACTTCGGATACTCATGTAAAACCAAAAAATAAAATAAAATAAAAGAAAAAGATAATAAAATTATATGATATTGAAAACAAATTTAGGCAAGATGATCTCCAAACAGATATTACCAAATTTGAAAATGACGGAACGTTATCGATTTATTTTCCTCTCAACTCAATCGATTGGAAAATAATTTCGTCAGATGTGGGGTGTGAGGGAAACTCTACTGAGAATGTCCTGTTCTGCACCCGTCGGCCCTATACACTTCCGAATTGGTATCCTGTGCCAAATACCACCAAACTTTACACAACCATCATTAAATCTGTTCAGAAACTTGAACATTATTTTCAAACATTATTACAACGTCAAAACTGACGACAGGTTACAAAACTAAACAACTATATTTTTCATAGTTCATAACTCCTAAAAATTGGTTCTTACCCCTCGGTCCCTTTGTTTCTTAAGTCCTGTTACTTGTACCAACAATGATTCGTTTCCTTCTCCATACTGTGACTGATCTCCATTTGAGCTTAACGCATCATCTGGAGTAGCAGACTCGGATCGTTTGGAGCTCGACTGTGATTTTAAAATGCTTGATTCGAGACTCTTCATTTGAGTTGATGGTCGAAAACTGTTTTCGGAAGTGTCGCTGGAAACACTGACCCTTGAATCGTTTAAACAATTCGATACATCTTCCATAACAACATTTACGGATCGCCTGGCGTTTGATTGAGATTTCAGGTTACCTTTACCAAAGTTCTTTTTCGGCGTCGAAGGACGGAAAGAACTTCCCGACTCATCGTTGGAGGAATTGACATTAGTGATATCAGCCGTGGTGGAAGTGAATAGTAAGATTATTTTCACAGAGAGTTCTTTAGTAGTTTATCCGTAGACTGATGGCAAAACCTGCTTCTGTGACTCTCAGTTTCTACAGAATTTCTAGATAATTCAGACAACGATTTCAAGACATCAAAGATATGAGAGTCGTCAAACGTAAAGAGATTTCCTGTACTACACATGTTCTAGTAAAAACACGAGACTTGAATTCAGAACACGCGTCCAGGTTTGCACCTTCGTTATATAACAAAACAAGTGACGGATAGCATTAAGCTACAGCTGATCAACTGGTGTACTAAATTATACCAGTAGCCGCAAATCGTTTCTATAAATGAAAATCCGATCATTTTAGACCTAAAGGACTAAAAATTTATGAATTAAAGTAAAGATCCTCACTCTGCATTCGAGTTTTAAGCTGAGTTGTATAATTTCCGGTGTGCGTGATGATCGATACTCGTGTTGATTTCTCTCGTCAATTAACTCCCAAGCCTCTGCTAAAGTTCACGGCCGTTCGTGACCGGAAGAACGATTTTTAAAGAAAAATATACACCCCACTAGCAAATAATTTAAACTTAATTTCAAGCAAGAATTTATGGTCGGGAAAAGTGTACAGTGCATTAAAGTTTGTTTTAATGGTAGTGTAGGATCTACCTTTTCCCTGAGTTTTGCTATTTGGATCGCCTAAATTTTACTTTTTCCGAAAGAAAACATTACGATATATTTCGACTAACACAGTGTCGGTAAGACAAATGTTTGGCGCACTTTCCCGCAAAAGGGCTACACTTCAAACGAAGATCTCCATTGCACAACTATAGCGTAGAATGTGACTTAGCCTCTTCAGTGATGGGTTGGTTATGACATTTACCCAAAGTATAGATGTGGTCACACGACCCATAGACGGCACGTGTTTCTGCTATTCACTGACCAACACGTGAACTTAAAGTCATTCCCAGGCCCTCTCGGGAAAGCTTCATGCAGGTCACGTAACAAACTTAAAGGCATTCAGATTTCAGATTTTAGCACTTTTAACGGTAGGTTTTATGTCAAAAGCGGGGAGTTTTGCCCTCTAGTTGTCTATATCCACCATTAAGTGCAATAAAATGAGTCATATCCTCGATTCAAAACAGACAGAATAAGCGTGGATAGACGAAGATAGATTAGAAAATTTTACAAAGAGAGGCCAAGTGAGCGCGTTTAAATGCCTAACTTTCTAACGTAAAGGGAGTTCCTCTTTTACATCAAAATGTTGTCAGACTTCATTAAAACGCTTGTTTTGTATCCTCACAATGCTAACGAGTTACTACTTTTCATCATCATCATTTTTTTTAACAACACAAAAAAATTAATCTACAGTATACTAATTCATAATAAGAACTTTAATTAGACCTCAAGAAACCACCAGGATCATGGGAAAGGCCACTTCAATTACAACAATATATCAAAGAAAAATAATAATTAGTGTTGCAAATGTGCGGCTTGAAGATTTACTGCATCAGCTGTTTGTAAGACATTCTTCCCTCTCTCCCAACCTGATTCCCCATAGTGACGGCAAGATCTGTCTGAACTTCTCTTTGATGAGATGTTAAAAATTCAAGCTTTTGGCAAAAATCTTTTCTTTCCAGCAATATTTTGAAAATTCAAGATCTTCCGACAGGCCGCCATCGACTCGTCATCACCAACAAGATACCTTAAATAACCGGCCTTTCCTAGGCATTTTATCCTTTCATTATAACACCGAGATGCGTGAAACAAGGCATTTAAAAAATTTTTCATTCTAAGAGTGGAATCCACTGCATAATCATACAGGCCATAAATTTGGCTTTAAATGTATACTTACGTGTCTAAACAAAGGTTTTATTTACTTTTAGGGTTTCCGCCGACGAAACTGGCACCTGTTTGGCGGAAACAGAGAATCGAATGATAACTGAGGCCTTTCGTTTAAAACCTTATTTAAAGAAGTAAGCAGAAAAAAAAAGAAACGACCATGTGTTTCTATAACTGAAAACGTGTCTAAAAACGTGTCGGAACTGTACTACCAAAACCAATGATATAATAACATCCAAAGAGTACGGGCACATATATCGAAATTGACCAGCCAGAACTCAAAGTTTATACACGTGAACAGCCTTGAGCCTGAGCGCAGATAAACACGTGTGACCAAGTCGCGGGTGGGGTTAAGTTTGTGAGCATGCAGGGATGTACCCTTCCATCGTTTCCTATCACTGCGTGGCATTATATCTCGTTCCGATTTCTCATAGCTTTAGAAGAGTACGAGACTATTGCGGATGAATCAAGGCTTGTAAGTTAATTTTAAGAGAACAATTCCGATGGTGAAAAAAATAATAAGTCCGGCGACTGAACGAAGAGCTCGTTTGGGCGGACATATTGCGGGTTCTCGCTCTGAGACTCAGAATTTGATTCTGGCAGGGCATTTTTATACTGACCAATCACAACTATTTGCAACCGTTTTAATTGTTTCAACTTCTTCATTCGTCGCTATCATTTTCGTTTTTAGATTTGCGGCCATCACTTTTTGTCTTAACCTACATACAAAATAATTGTTGAATGCTATCCAGGATTGTGTTGGTTTCTCTCCCCTTCGCTCTTTTATTGGTCAAGAGAACTTAACGATCGGATGCAAAACTAACACTAATCCTGTCCTAATCACTTGTATTTTCACGCGCTTCAAGCCATTCAATGGTTTTCATTTTGAGTTCTCACTAGCCGCTTAGGATATTTTCCTGTGCTCTAATTTGACGAGGGGATTTTTCGGATTTTGTTTTAAAATACACTACTGGAAAGCGCCTTACATGTAGTTGTCTCCATATAGAAGAAAATTTTGCGCGACACAAAGGACTCATTATCAAGTTATCTAAATCCTTAAATATATCCATTAAAAGGTCTTTGGGCAAACCTTTCAAATGCGACCTAACTAAAGACAGGAAATAATAACGTGAAAAGTGCAGTTATTGGGCATGTTTTGTGCGAGAGAATTTCAAATTTGAAAAATGAAGTTCAGATGTTTTTCAATATCATCGTCCATAACGTGAAGCGACTCGAATTAATGTTTAGAGCCCAGGCCACCACACACATTCTCGCTCTAGCCTCGTCTTAGATTCTTTAACCCTTTAAATAAATATATATATACTCGTCACTGTTCTCCATATGTTTCTTATTTAACTGATTGAGAAAATTTGTACAAACATCAAGACATTTCATCTTTGGTAATCATTTCATTCATTCTCATGATCTGTACATTTGATCAGGCAATGATATTGTTAGGAGAAATTAGATGCTGGTCACTATTGTAGCCTAAAGGGTTAATATCAGTAAATGAACAGTATTATTTATGCCACATGGGAAAGTCTATCTGTATGTGTATGCCGTAATTGAAATGTCTGTTTCCTTGAAAACTTCTTCTACAATTCTCTTTACAAAAGGCCAATCAATTCTGTCTGCTCCAGTCCCTAAGCGGGGAATAGCCAACTTATCAACTCCATTCTCCTGGCAATGCTTCCTCAACTGCATCAAACAGCCGCGCATTGATGAGGGTGTGGCATGGTCCCACCAGTTTTCTCTGGTGATCTGCAAGCCAGTCAAAACAAATAAGAAAGTAAAGTGTCATATTTTTTGACCTTCAATACATTTGACATAAAATTCGTTAATAACGTGATAATATGATCAGAGTTAAGAACTCCTTTACAATTTCTACTTATTAGATTTTATGATGATTTTGTTATTCTTTCATTCAAGTGCACCCGGAACATTGGTGTCACGTTTAACAACATGCTGAGCTATGGGCACCATATCACCGATATTTGCAAGTCCTGTTTTTTCACAATCGTTATCTTTATCATACCAGGAAGTATGAGTTTAAAGATCATGCCAAGATTTTAGTACATACTTTTGTTATTTCAAGGTTAGATAACTGTAACTCTTTACTATTTGGTCTTCCTTCCCGTCTCATTTACAAATTACAGCTTGTACAGAATTGCGCAGCTCGCCTAACTTTAGGTGGTCGCAAGTATGATCATATTACGCCACTACTTGAAAAGCTTCCTTGGCTCCCATTTGAACATCGTACTGTTTTTAAATTGCTTCTAATCACTTAAGGCTCTACGTAACTTTGCTCCATGTCATATCCGTGATCTTCTTCGAAACTGTGCCCCCAATAGGCGATTGAGGTCACCAACTTTAATCTACAAACTCATCCATCGAACCTAAAATCTTACGGTGACCGCGCCTTTCTATATGTGCTCCCTAGATATGGAACAGTCTCCCTATACACATCTCGTAAGCTCTAACTAATTTTAGTTCATTCTATTCGCCTCTAAAAAAATTACCTTAATAAACGATACATTTTATCTTATGTGATCATTAGTTTTATCAATTTTATGTTTTCCTGTTATTGTAAAGTGCTTTAGAACCTTTTTAAACAGTGCCATATAGATAAATATTTTATTATCATTATTATCATTATAATTATCATTATTGTTATTACTATAATCCTAAAATTTACATTTCCCTTTTCTTTTGAACAAATGCTAAGATTAACCAGGGGTCAAAACCGAAGGAAAACTATTGAGTGCAGTGAAAAAAAGTTTTAGAGGTCCTCAGTGTAGAAAGTAACACTTTACTACCAGATAGAGAAGAGAAAAGATAAAGCATTTCTCCCTTAACAAAAAACTTACCAAATAGTACACAAAGCTTGATTCATTTCTCTCCAACACAGCAATGTCACCCACTTTTCCTTCTTCTTGAAAATACAGACCTGTAATTATATACATTTACTTGTGAGCATAGGAGAGTCTGTATAACATTCTTAACACAGCACATAACTTGGATGTGAAATGGACAACTGACTCATACAGTGGGTAGCGTGCAACATGCTCTGATATGCAGAAGAAGTATCTTTTCATAAATAAAAGAAAAAGGCACTGCACTTGATTTGTGATATCTGTTTTGTGGTAGCGATTTTGGGAAAAAGGTGACAAACCAGGTCTTTAGCACAGTTTGTGTGGGTCTAAGGCTATCAGAAAGTTAAAAAATTATGGAAAGTTTGATCACTTGTCAAGAAAGATAAAAAAAAATTACAAAGTACTCCTTTCTCAGTAGCACTGAGCAGTTTCCATACATTTCTCACCCCTGAGCTCAGTACTCAGCCATAGGTATTCAAGTACACCTGTGATCCTCTTTTGCTTCAGACTTTGTACTCAAACTTGTTTTCAAAATGGCCACCACAAAACAAACCTCACAAAAAAAATAATCCATCTTTTGTTAACATTAAAGTACTTGGTAAGTGTGGGACCTTTTGTGGGAAGCACCAAGTTGGCTGAAATCATGATCATAGATATTTTCAAACAGAGACATTTTTTCTGGCGTTTTCATGGCTTACTAAAAATCATTTCCAGAAGTTTATATTTGTATTGTCATGTAGCAACATTCTTGAGATGAATTTGACCTGTCTTACTTATTACCTACCCTTTGGCACATGGCAAGACATGATGCATAGACATTTCTTGCTCACAAATCCCATTCATAAAGGAATGTTGAAGATCACAATTCAATAAGGCAGGAAGGACAAAATTATCATTCTGAAAAAAGTCACTATACGGTTCCAGAAAGAAAACAACATGATTTTATTTAGCACACGACCTTGTTAACAAGAAAAAGTTAACAAAACCTTTTGTGACAAGATCCTGATAATTCCCAAACTTCTTTTTAAACTTCTTAGCAATACCATCACTCATGTCAAAGTCTGCACTGACACAATGGGCCAAAGATGTGCTTGGATCAGGAGTCAGTACCACCCTTGACCAACCACTCATTTCAACCAACTCAAAGTGGTTTGTGTTCTAAAAAATAATGAAGAGCAATAATATTGTTATATAGACTGAAGAAAGCTGAGTTAATTCTGTTACCCCTTGGAGTGACAATTATGAAATTTCTTCTCACAACAGAAATACTTTTTTAAACAGAAAGGTAATGGAAAAAAAGAAACCTATCCATCTTAAAATGGTTTAGGAAGGCTCCATAGGGTTCTTTTAATGTACAAGATCTGGGTGCAAACATACGCAAGCTTTAAAAGTGTCACCATGCAAAATAAACATGGTGGCTTGATACAATCATCTGAAAAGGTGAGTTAAGAACAGTTTAACACAATACAGTTTTTATGTAATGAAATCAAGTGTTTCCAGCAACTGCACCCATAATATTCATAGGCCTTCTATGCCTAATAAAGAGGTCAACCAAAAAGAAAAAACAGTGGGAAAGATTGCCAAAAGGCCACAGATTGCAACAGATTTGATAATGTATACATGCTTAGATATAGAACTTAGCAAAGTTCTATCCCATTACAAAATGTTTCCTGACAAAGAAAATAGAGATCTTTTGAGCAAGATTTATTGTGTTCCCTTCTGTGGAATTTCCTAAGATTTGCTGGACCATTAAACATATTTGTGCCCTTCCTAGTGCCTTGATAAAAAAAAATTCATAAAGACCAAATTTGAAATAGACAAAGAAAACACAAAATTGCAAATGGCGAGGAAACTGCCCCTAAAAACCCCTATTTTTTCAGCTTTTAATGATTTGCAGAACAAATTTTACAAATTGTGAAAATTTTGGTCAATTTCACAGAAGCAAATTGAAGAAAATCAAAGGCAAAGCCAAATTATCTCTGGCAAGTGCCTCCCTTCATAAAGCCTTAACTTAATAATGAAAATCATTTTGATAATATATACTAAAGCAAATGATAGTCTGAACCTTGCTTGACACCCTTTTGATGGCCTTTAGTGACCTAGGAAAGCGGAAACATAAATATTCCTAGAAAAACAATAAGTTGGTGCACACGCCAATATTCAGCAAAAACCCTATGGAGCCTCGAGCTCTTTAAGTAACATCAAATTTGATATATTTTATATGTAGGGGACCTGAGGTGGTTCCTGAAGACTACTGTATTTTTCTTGTAAACAGAAAATTAGTTGGCTCCATCACAAACATTTTTTCCTTGGTTTACAAAATTTTCCTAACAAAAATGTTAGGTTTGTCCTCAAGTCAAGGGGCCAATGCTGCCAAAGCATACCCAGGTTTCCATAGCATAATGTCAAGATAACACATTCCATCAAAACTAACACATCTGTTTATTATCACCAGCTGATTGCTATATAATGTATCGAAATTGAAAGAAGTTAAATATAAACCTGTATATCACTTAACCCTTTCAATGCCATGATCTCTTTAGTAATTCTCCCTACTATCTGCCAAACACTGCTTATAGTTTTAGTTTGGAGAATTTGGTATTCAATCAAATGATAATCCACTAATTTATATTTTTCTATATTCTTATCACTTGTTTACTTGAGATCGTGTTGATATTTTAAGGAGAAATTTTGTCTTGGTCACTATTGGGAGTGAAAGGGTTATAGGGTTATAAGAAGCACAATATTTAAAAAGGCAAAGTCATTCAGTAATAAAAGTTATTCTAATGACTAAACAAATGAGTCCCTTTGAATAATGGAATTCATGAACAAAAGGTATCCTAGGGGGATATATTCCCAAAGAGTTGATTAATGTGTTGCTTAGCAATCAATTGACAATCGACCTGATAGATGGTTGTATATCAACTTAATTGACCAAAGGTTGATCAATGTTTTTATAGACATGCTGCTGCAGACAAGCTCTTGAGACTCGGGCTGACTATCATTTGAGTGTAGCTTAAGTGTTAATTGACTTTCAGTACCGGCCAATGATCATTTGGTACATAATTTGATTGACTACCAAACAATATACAACAGTCAACTGTTCACCACTACAGTAAGTGATACATCAACCAAGGTTACCTGTTCAGGAGCCTATCAGCCGATTTCTATTGATCTCAGTGATATTATAGAAATAAATACCTTCAAGTTGCTAACTTTGCTTGCAGAATCGGTGGAAAAGAAACATCGAGTTGCAAGGATGTAGATAGGTCCCTTGGAGCCAAGCAAAGCTACAGAAAAAATATTTGAAGTAAACAAGTAGAAAATAGTGCATGTCTGTCGAAAAACACGGCCTCTATCCAAACTTCGAGCATATGTTGACTACCACAACATCTTCAGAAATGCATTGGTCGTAAGTACAGTATCCAGTGAAATTTTAACGCCCTTTGAAATACATTTTCTGTTCTGGATGGGAATAGTTTCTCGTGTATTCTTTCGAATTCCTTGCTCTTCTTTTATCCACTGACACATGAATTTGGAAAAGCTATAAATTTATCTTAGCATCAAACGCTGAAATGAGATGTTTCAAGTCTGTCGAAACGGCTAAAAATCAAAGTGGACCAAATGACTAGCGTGCCAAATGCTACAATAAAGAATAAAAACTTACTAAGCGCTTTCTTGTGCGACATGTCGTCTTTTAGGGAAATACAGAGTACATGTAAAATTTGACTTAACGTCCATACAACGAAACTTGGTGACTTTCGACAAATTCTACCAGGCGTTCCAAATATTTCCCAGTCTCTTTCAACGATACTCATCCCCAGTCACTTCTCGATCTTTTATCAGTTTTTCGTCGGGTCAAAAAGACATTATTCAGTCTTCCCAATCTGTTAACGGGTTATAAAGAAAAATGAAGAACAAACTCGGCAGTCAAATTTGCAGTGTAACGTGTGCAAAATATTGTGAGTGTCATTTTTTTCCAATCATTTTTTTCCAATCATTTTTTTCCCAGAAGCCCTAATAACAATCAGTTTGCTCGATTCTGATAACCTAATAGGAATATTTTGCTCTACCATTTCAGATGGGTCAACTGAAACGTCGCAGCGAATGATATATTACGCGTTTTGAAAGTTTTGGATTTAAAGAGCGATTGCACATTGAATTACGAAATTCGCCGTCTAAATCATTTAACAAAACCCTTTCGAGCCTATTCTACCTTTCAAAGTTTCTTAGCGATTTTATTTTATTATTTATTTTTATACTAGGTTCTTTTTCTTTCTTTTAACGGTCTTAAGGATAGCTGCCGGTTAAAAAACAGCTTCAGGTTAGCGGTTTAAAAAAACACACTTGAGTAGGTGTAGGGTGTGTAATGTTTTTGACTCTTGACTTATTAAATCAAAAGCATCGTACGTTTAACAAACAGCAGTTAATGCAAACCAGTAGCCTGTGTGAACCAGACAAATAAAATCTCAAATGTCCTATTTTTATTCTTTTATTTGCACGTAGCGCAAAGGACGCGTGCGAGGTTATCGAAGAGGTCGGCGAGTTGACCAAAGGTGTTCGCTGGCACACCAAGCCGACGCTATAGAAGGGTAAGGTTTAAAGTGAAGCAGTGAATCAGCTACGAAGACTTAATTTTTCGACGAGTTTGTTGTCGGCAAGTTCACATTTCAGCATTTCAATTAATTCATCCAGGGTTTGGAATAATGGCCAATTTATTTCACTTCAGCTAATAAGCCCAGTCCATGCTCTGATCGAGTGCGTACGCATTTGTCCGCCTGTGCAAGTCAAGTCAGAAATTTCACGAATCTAGAATTCTCTGAATGCATTGCTTTCACGACTCAATAATTAAATTGGACCAAAGTTATATCTAAATATATAATTACACTGTCTAATTTGTTTATTGCCTTTCGAACAAATAATCATAACCACTAAACTCTTCGGATAATCCAGCTGGCCCTCTATCAATCTTACTAACAACAATAAAATTCCAATGCCCGGTATGTACGTAATCGTATTATATTAAATCTTTGTTATCTAAACCAAAATAAATGACTGCTATTACGTTTGGAAAGGTTCTCCGCAGTTCACTATTAATCACTTTAGAGGGGGCATTATTTTAATCGGCTCCTGGCCACTGACCCCACGTATTAAAGAAACATAAGATTAGAATTCCAATATTTTCATGGCCATCATGACGCTGCGACTATGGTTATCTGAAATGCTTTTCAAAAAGTGCATTTGGCGTACTATGACTGAACGGTTATTTTCTGACGTGTTACTACATATAGCAGGGAAAAGACAAGTAACTCATTGACAGGAACAGTTCGAGATAAAAGAAACTAAACTGACTTCATGTGACGGTGAATTCCTTCAATCAATCTAAGTTGTTTTCTTTACGGATTTTCGTTATTACTGTTCTAGACAATACCTCAGCTCCCACGGCAATCAAAATTAAGCTGACCTTCACTATGTCAGCTCAGAGGTTCTAAGCCATGATTGTAACGATATCATCAGTTTGGAATTCATCTTAAGTTCACGAAATATAATATTTGAGAGACGTATTCAACCCAATAATAAAATTCCTTAATAAAGCTGATTATAGGTTCTTTTTTGTCTGATATCAAAGAATAGTACAGTTTAATAGTCAACAGAAATAGAGAAACATGAAGTATGCGTGAAGGCGGCACGTTGACAGCAAACAGATGCGCAGGCAAGCAACGTTTCTCTTTCAAGTGCAAAATATTGCAGTTGCACCAAAGTAGCCCCACTTTTATTGGCATCGGCATCATACTCAAAAGTTTGTCTTCTCAAATAGTTCAATGACTGCCCAATATCGCAAATTATTGTAGGAAGAGTGGCTCATTTGACTTTCATTCACCTGGGTTCAAAGTCCAGGCCCGGCCGGTTGTTCGAAGGTTGGTTAACCCTATCCAGTGGATAAATCTCTATCCGGTGGATGGTGCATAACGTTTTGCTATTGCTTATCCTATGAATAGGGATTTATCCGTTGGATACCATCATCCGCCCAGTCTACAGCTGGCCCTAAAAGTTGCAATGGCAGAAAGAAGTCAGCGATCAAAGCAGGTTTAATTGATAGTTGTTCCCTAATCGTCAATGCTGAAGTTTATTTGTCTACGTCGTTCCTGCCCGTTATACCTCTTGAAGTTGTTGCGCATGCTCTTTGGCTAACTCCACTTAAAACAACTTTGCGCGGACTTTGCGCGACCGATAATGACACGCATGCGCACGAGAGGCTTTCTAGAACTTAAGTGGCGCGAAAAACTCTTTGCACACGTGTTTCATAACAACATTGCCCACCAAGGTCACCGCAATATTAATGGGTTTAAATTTATTTTCGGCATAAGTTAAAAATATTCCCCGGGTTCGGTTTTTTTCAATGATAAAAATTTAAGAATGAAAATTACGTAGTCGCGGTTATATCTCAAAAGCTCAAATCCAGTTGGTATGAAAGGTGGTCCAGATATTGAATGTACAACTATGAAATTGAAAACCGTTCCCTTCGTATTGAAATAGGGATTTGACTTGATCAACGCCTTGGATCGATTGCCATTCGATATTGATAATGCTGCGATGAAGCCCTCCTGTTTGCCAAAATTGATATAACTAATTGACTCGTTGCTCTGGGAACATACGGGTACCAGTTTGTTTTGATGCTCAACTTGAGCCATTTCTGGACAAAAATTTGTTTTTTCCCTCGCGGATTAAGCAGCAGGAAAAAACAACAAAACCATATGTCTCCTGGTTTGTGATGTATTATGTACCAGTTCTCGATAAGACAATTATTTCATCAGCAACATTAATTGCCAGAAAGTGTTCCGTCAAAGAAATGATAAAAATCGTTTTATCAGCTCGGTAACCTCTCGTCATATCTATTGCTGAAAGCATTGGTAATTAAACACCTCGAATCCATATCACTTTCGCCACATTTTTTTCGAGGTGTATTTTTAATGCTCACAAAACAGCGTCTTAGCCGTAAGTTTTTGCATTGCTTTCTTGTTCTGAATGTCCTAATTTGTCGTTTTGTCAGAAAGTTCCCTGATTTTCACTTTTTGTGTTTTACTCTCCTCATACCTTGTGAGCTACAGCGCTAAATAAACATGACCACCTCGTTTTTCGTGGAAAAGATAGTTTTCACGCAATGCAAGCTATTTTATTTTGGACCCTCTTAAGTGGCCAGTCGAGACAAGATGACCCGCCCCAACGGCTAATGTTATGTTCTCGTGCAGGATGCGAGATTGCTCATTATGCGAGCTGTTAGCAGTACAGCTGGTGCCCACTGATAAACATCCGAACGTGTATTGGCCTCCCTCAGATATATAATTTTGTAGTGCCGTGAAAAATCCGCCAGTAGTTAGAAACAACACAAAGATGGTTTTCCAGCTGTTTTTAGGGTGAAAGGTCATTTTTTTTCTGTTATCTGGCGAAACGAAGAAGTGCATACTAAAGTATTCCGTGGGAAATGATAACACAATACAGATTTACTCCCCTGGCGCGGAAAACAGCTTTCACTCATTATAAATTTCCTGTTGTCGAAAGAGGATCAGTCGGAAACTAAATATGCACGAGAAACAGGAAAAGAGCGTTTTGCTCAGCGCAATTGCTTGTTGTTTTCATGTTCTCTCCCTTTAAGCGGACAGATCAGAATTATCCAGGGATATCAAATGCCTACCGGCTACCGATCTGTGGTTCGAAAATTAGAGCTGTGTTCTATTTGTAATCGACGTACTTAAAACAGTGGTACTTAAATTGGCAAGAGACATGTTGCTAGGTCATTACCTCACGATTTCAACTGTTTGACAAAACAACAGTGACATGGGTCAATTGCGTTTAATTCGTAGACTGAGTAGGCATGTTATTCCTTAAGAGAAAATTTATACGTGCAAATTTTCAATTACGTAAAGCCACTGAGGTTAAGAGACAATCAAAAGAGAAATCAACATGATAAACACGTGAATATGCTTATTTCATTGTTTTATTCTTGAGGCAATTAAGTTTTCGTGGTCTGGAATTGAATAGTATTTTTGAATAGGATGTATGATGTTACATGAATAAGACGCAATATTCACGGAGTTTTTAGCTCAAATCGAGCCCACACTAACGCCTGAAGAGTATATCAATCATTCCTAATATGTTTTGTTAGATTGTTGTACCTTGTGTTGTATTGTTTTATTGACCTGCGGTGACCGAAAAATCAATACAGATTTGCACTTTTAAACAAAAACGCCATGAGGGCATTTGTGCTGAATAATCTAAACATTTTTTACATATTAGGGTTCTAAAATAGAAATAAATTTTTTGCTACCATAAGTTACATGGCTTTGTACGATGCCGCTATTTAACACAAATCAGTTTCCAAGAAAATGTAGATATCGGTTAAATTTCTTGGTTAACTTGAAATATGAACTGTCAATCAAATACCGCAGAGTATCGCACTTCTAAATCCTTGTGAACTTGCTTGGTTGAAATGTTATCTAGTCCTAACCCTGCATACTTCAAATCTTTAATAACTTGAACTTGAATATTTAGATAATCTTCGTCTGTTTATGAACTGTGGCATGGATTAAAGGAGGTTTTCAGTTAGCTTCTTTCATTGGGTATATTTAGAACAATGCACTACTAATCATCCGTGACCTTTTGAAAAGTTTACTTAGCCAATAAAATCTTTTAACACTCTCTTAAATCCTTGCGCAACAGACAAAATTCCAATAAATTTCCCGCAAAGTGCCTTTATTCCCATCGCTCTTACAGAGCATCGACGACACGTCAGCGGTTGGAAGAGAAAATCCGAGACGCAAATATACTTGGCAACCTGTCAGCAGATAAAAACTCATTGAAATTTGATCTACAAAAACGCTTAGGTGTCAACACTCATTTTGTCGGTCATGGGCGGTTGGTTTTATGTGCTGGAATGCTTGGCATGTAAGCTTAAGCTCCACCTTGTTCAACTTTAAAGTTAAAAAAAAAGCGTTTATGAAATCGATAGAGCAACCAGTCAATCGTGTGATGCAGAGAACATATCGGATTACTTTTACTTTCAAAAGATTCGAGAAATCGAAATAAAATTTCAATCCTCACGGTTAGATTGTTTGATAGCTTCATAATCGTTTCCGGTCCAGTGAAGGATTTTGCGGTCAAAGATACTCTTCTATACGTCCGTGCCGCTACTTGCTCATTGGTCAGTAAATGAAAGACAGGAAGCTGTCACAATGCACGTTGCCTAGCGTAAGTGGAAAATCTACCCAGCAACGTAGAGACGTCGGTGTGCATATGCCTAATGACGGGTTGTCAATTATAAATTTACAAAATCCCAGATCTCTGGTTCTTTCTGCGCCTAACCTGGCGCAAGTACATTAGAAAGCGGAGCTGAATTGCGCCGGGGGTCAGTCGCGAAGAGGCCACACGCAATAGGTAGAGATTCAGCGGCATTCCTTCCATCCAGTGAAGTATCTGCTGCTGTAATCAAAGCCTACGACTGCAAACTGGCTTACTTTATATCCCCGGCGCTGTCCATATCAGCGTAGCGCTTTGACTTCCGCTGTCAGCATCGAATCTAGCATGGAACTGTTGTGCTGCGAGGGACCTCGAGTTCGGTACGCATACCAAGATCCAATTCTCCTTCAAGATGATCGTGTTCTGCGTAATTTACTGACTTGCGAAGACAAATACATTCCCAGCTGTAGATACTTCAACATTGTACAGAAGGAGATTGAGCCTCGCATGAGGCGAATGGTTACGACATGGATGCTAGAGGTAAATAAGAACACGTATTTCCTTCGTTAATGCTTATTTTCCCTTGCTGAACTGCGATGTGATGATGGTGCTAAGATTTGTCTCAATTATGAATTTTCCAGGTGTGCGAGGAGCAATTGTGCGAAGAAGAGGTCTTTCCATTGGCAGTGAACTATTTAGACCGATTTTTATCGGTCGTACCAACAAGAAAATGCCAGCTTCAACTGCTTGGCGCTGTGTGCATGTTTATTGCAAGCAAACTTAAAGAGACATCACCGCTATCGGCTGAAAAGCTGTGTATTTATACAGATAATTCCATCACTTGTCAGGAATTACTGGTAAGTATACGATATGAAATACCGCTTTAGGAATATGTTCATTCATTCCTTCTCCAATGTTCGTGTGCTTGCGGTCTGGCAGCTGATTTCAACGAGTTGTCAATCTATCTCCGGCTAAGTGTATTTCCTACTAATTCCCAGAAAACGCGATTTTCGTCATTCTTTTAAGCTAACCTTTTTCCTCTCTTTATCTTATTCGTATAGGATTGGGAAATTTTAGTTCTTGGGAAACTTAAATGGGACTTGTCAGCCGTTACTCCTTACGATTTTCTAGAGCAGATTTTTAACCGCCTCTCCCTACCCAATGAAAGCGTGATCCGAAAGCATGCGGCGACTTTCATCGCTTTATGCTGTACTGGTAAGACGAGCTTCCTATCTATTTACCTTACAAAGATAAGGGTTATATCTCGGTCTTCAAGACTGTCTGCGTCTGCCCATCAAACCTTAACTACTTTAAAATGCATGCCACACTGAATTAATCTATTTTAGCCCCTTTTTCTTGTTATTTTCCACTTATCTTCTTCATTGTATTTTGACTATATTATATTTTTAAACATCACTAAATGCCTTTTTTTTAATTCTCTTAAATTCCGCCTTTATTGTTTTTCAGATGAGAAGTTTCTTATGTACCCGCCTTCCACTTTGGCTGCGTCTTCTATTTGCGCGGCTTTTGCTGGTCTCGCTACAACAGAACAAAAAAGCTTGTGGACAAGCGGAGAACTTGAATCATTCCTACAAGGACTCACAAATATCGAACCGGTAAGGATGAAATAAAATTTAAAAAAAAACATTCTAAGTTAAAAAGTGTTTGGAATGACTGGTCAGTTGTGCCGTGCAAATAAAGTTTTGCAAAGAGCAAATAAGGAAAAAGCCTTGCGCAAACTTTGATAAAACGCGTGGTTTTTTCACACATTTATCTCTTGTTTAAAGACTCCTTTTTTTTCCTTTTTTTGCACCAAGAGGCCCGCCTTTTGGTCATTTGATATGTAATCAGCAAGAAAAAAAAAACAATCTTACTTAAAATAGAACTTTTCTTTACAATGAAAAAAAAAAAAACCTCTCAAACAAACAAACTGAAATTGGTCTATTTTGGGATTTTCTTGTTTCAGGAATACCTGCAATCGTGCCAAAGACTAATGGAAGAAGTACTTCATTTTAATGTCACGGAAACTCCATCTGATAAGATCGAAAACGGAAGCACGCCAAGTACGCCAACAGATTTACAGGAAATCCATTTTTGACAGAGGCGTTTAGTAGACTGTCATAGAACCGTCCGTGTGTGTGTCAACCTATCTATCGTGTGTAAATACTGTAATAAAGGACTAGAATTTTCTCAAATTGCTGTCGTCTTTTTCCAAGTGTGTAGCTTGCCAGCACCCGTTTTGTTTTTTACGCAAAAAGCGCGCGAGAGAACGCGCTGCGGTTTCCTTTCTTTTTAATGAGCACGCACCGACAATTAGAAGTGACGTCTTTGTTCAAAGAATGCGTTTACCTTAAGAGAGCAAATGGAATTAGGGCCCACCGAAGAGTGAAAGGCATTCTTCAAGAGAAAGCAAACATTAAAAATCCCATGGCTTGAATTCGAAATAATAACAAGTGTGTTTTGTGCTGCTAAATGATGTGTTATGTTTACCAACCCACGCGCAAAAAAATGCTACCAATTTGTTGACACCCCTCTTTTTAACGCTGTCTGAACCCAAGCGGTGTCAATTAAATGGACAGCCTCAGTACTAATTCGCTCAACTTTTGACAGCAAAAGCATGGCCAGAGAAATCGTGCGGTTGTTATTTCAGGTGCGCACTTTCGACATGATATAAACACGCGATGGAAATCTATATTTGCCCTATGTAAGTTTCAACCGCGGTGCCTGCCCGCAAACTCTAATGTACACCTGTCTTGAACATAAAGCCACGTGCTAAAAATTCCCCAGATGAATTTTGGAAACGTCATTCTTCAAGTTAAACTTATCTGTTTTCGAAAGTGTTCCTATCTCTGATTTTATAGTTCAGTTTTCTTAATTGCCGATGGCTAATAAGGACACATTCTCGTTAAGGTGGCACTACAGTTAATTGTTTTTGCGTCACGGCGACAGCCCGGTTATGGTTCGCTGCATGGTGTTGTCTCGCAATGAACATACTGAAGTGCGAGCTATGCGGAGCCAACGTTGTTGTCAGCAAATGTTCCCACGAGTTGGTTAAAAATTCAAATCGATACGGGTCAGGAATTTTATAAAGGCCACCGGTTAGAGGGTACAAAGACAAAAAATTACCTTTTCTTCTTCAAGATTACTGATGATGCCGTTCTGACTCAAATTTCCAGAACTGAATCACTTCTTCCAAAACAATCAGGAGTATTCTCTCACTATTACATGGTCAGACTTCTGAAACTACAACTAAATGCGGTTCCGTTACATTTGCCGCGCTGTTTGCAATAACACTCCACCGAGGCTTTACTATGTATCTATGCATGTCAATATTTCTTTATTATAACTTGTCGACTGAATTTCTAATTGTAAATCTCTACTTTACAGAGTTAATGTGCTAAGCTGCCATGATGAAATCCTACTTTCCTAAACAGTTACCTGTTCTAAAATTAGATAGTTTTTCCGCAATGTTCAGTTGCACAAACAGCGTGAAAAATTCGAAATATTGAAAACACCCGAACAAGGAGTTATATTCCCAAACAACGAATCTTAACTTCAGTGTATACGTAAATGGGAGTAAAAGAAACGACTAATAACTGTATGTCTTCTCATGTCCATAATGATAACTAGACTCTAGATCGTAATATTTTTAAAATAACGGTTTTGTAACTACCATGAAAAAGTCTCTGTTATATAATAACTGAATGTTATGTAATAATCACAGTTAGCCGCTGTTCTTTCAAGAGTTCACTTTTACAACATGGCTCATCACACCCAGTAGATATATTCGTAAGGAAAACAGCCGGTTCGCCTATGAGACTTTTCAATACTCTTGCGTTTAAATTGTGAGGGGAAACTGTGTGTCTGAGATTGTCATTCATACACCTGTTATGGTGTCACCCGCAAATATTACTGGTTGTTACGAAGTTTTAGTTTAATCTGTATTTTAGAATTTTACCTCGACTGATTGTAGGTAACTGTTTGCATTATCATCCTATATTGGCACCGAACATAGCCAAACAGCATGCAACTGAAATAATTTTCTTCCCCCGGAGTGTGAAGTTCATGTTTCGAATATACTGCTTTCCTAAGCAGTAATATCAGAGGGAAGCGATAAGACAATTAAAAACTGATAACTTGGTATCAGTTGCTTCTCCAAACATAGTCAACCCTTTCTCAACTTTAATTAGATAATACGTATTCCATTTGAGCCTTCCTGAGTGTCGGCTTAGTATTCAAGTAAATATTTCAGTTTTTAGAAGAACCGGCCACTCTTAAACATTTGCATCGCAGAGATAACTTGGTCTTTTATCAGCATCCATCGATTAAAAAAAAAAAAACCAAAGTGCAACGGTGTGTCAATACCAAGGTTTGAACTATCACGCGCCTGCTGGTAAAGAGGGATTTTTGATGAAGTAAAGGCGACAGAGCATAATGCAATACATGACATGAAGTGGGCAATATAGGGATTTTTTTGAGGGTTTTTTTTTTTAGAGAAAACGAAAATCTCTTGATCGTGGAAACTTCTATCTCAAGTTTCCGCCAACGTGGAGAAACTAAATGATACAAGTCCAAAAGTCAGTGAAAAGAGAATCTCGATCAATCTTGATAATAAAATGTGACAGGTCCAATATTCTAAGAACTCACTGCGAAGTTGCAACCCACGTGGAAATGATAGTCAGAACACTACTTGTAACAAACTTAACCGGGTGAGGTGATCATACATTTGCTCCTAAATACTAAATTTTTTCATCCCGAAAGTTGTCTCACTGAAAAATTCATTCACAGGTTGCGCCGCAACTCTTAATGGAATCTCAGACTGATATGCTCAGCTCTCGAAATAACTCTTAAAACACTTGAACGGAAAAATCTAAGAGGCTTCGAGAATGCTTCTCTCGATAACAAGGTTTTGCATCTGATCTACTCAATCATTGCTCATTCCCATCCATAGCAGTTGCATGCAATTGCGCACAATGAAAAAGTTATTCTATAAAATGCAAAAAATTTTGCCCTAATGTTTCTTCATCTCGAATGATTTTAACTCAGTAGTATATTCGAGGATTACTTTCTTGTTCTGTAGGAAATGGGAAGTGCTAGAAAGCTCCGGTTGGTACCGACAAACAATCTAATGACTTTGAGTAGTTTATCCATCATTCACTGCGCTCTTATTTCTGAAGAAAAGCTTTTTCTGAACAACGTAGATTTTGTATTTTCGCAAATCTTTATCCTGCCTCATATCACTTGACCGGTGGGAATTGTATCTCCAGTAGAAAAAAACCGGCTTTCTTTGATTAATCCGTGGCCATCATCCGAAACCCAGTTGTACCTACAGCATAAATTGATTGTGATATGGTTTTAGACGAGCGATGATAGCTTTGTTTTCGCGTCAGTGTGAGAGTAACCTAATGAAAGAACCCCGACCGAGCTATCAATTCGGATATCACGACAAAAAAAACCTTTTTTTATTAAAATAACATTTTCATTGAAAATTGCATATGTACTGTGCTGTACCATGGCAAGGAGATAAGAGCAAAGGGTTCAATGACATTCCGGCAAATTACAAGTCGTCGTGCTTTGATCGGCAAAAAGCGTGAGCTATAGACACTTCAGTAACCCATTCTCTATCTCTTTTTCTCAGTGCAAAAATGCAAAGCTGAAAAAAAGCCAAAAGCTATTGGCTTAAACAGAAACCGTTGATATAACATCTTTCAGTTATGATAGTGCAAATTCTTTAGTACTCAAATCACATAATCGATGCCAACATTGTTTTTTCCAATTTTTTTTTATTCGTCTACATTTAACCTTGGTCAGTGATCAGACGGAAAATGCTGAGGGGTGAAAGTCCACCTATGGACTGAGTTCTACAATCACGAAAGGGAAAGCGATGAAAATCATTTGACAAGAGCTCGGACGTTGATATCGTTATGTCACTGGCCGGCCTGTATCTACTATACGAACGCAATTAATGTATATAATAGGGTACTATGACTCTAGTTCTTTCTAATCTTTCTTCCAAGCAACGTGAATAATCACTCTAACGATTGCCACTGGGCTACTTTCAAGAATTCGAAGTTGCTCAGTATTTCAAAGAGAGTGATACGATTAGATAATAAATCTCTTCAGTTCAGTTTTGTGGGGTCGACATGATTTATGAGGGATTGAATAGAATAGCAGTGTTAGAGTGAAACACCATCAATTATTGTCTAACAGTGACAACTAGGTCCTTAAAGGTTGTCTAATAGTCTTGAGTACCGGTTTTATATCGGGAAACAATTTGAATTATGTTGCTAATCAAAGTTATGTGTCTTGGAGGAGTGATTTTGGAATACCACGATTCAAGTCTTCTTAAGGAAAGAAAAGTAAGTCTAAAGGTTACTTGCTTGTTTATCTTCACCAATAGCATTTTAGTAAGAGACAACCGAGGGAAGAAATGGCAACTGCAGATATTACCATGAATTCCACCTGCGTTGAAACGCTACACCAATAGGCATCCTGTGAAAGCGGAAAGGCTAATTATGAATTTATTCGCAGTAGCTGGTAAACTCAATTACATTGACTGATGAAGACCACATTCACGAGGCTTCGTACGTGAACAAATGATAAGAATTTCAGGCGGCTTTTATTCACTAATCAGACAAGGTTATACATTGATTGTTCTTCTGCCTTGAACTTGACCCAACTCAGAAGAAATTTGAAGGATGCAATGTCTACTATGTCTTCACGGTAAAAAATAGTTTTCCACAGGATTTAATTTTATCAAGTCATTAAATGACAAGGAGCACAGAATGTTTTCGGCTGAGAGATCACAGACTAAAAGGTCCTGAAAGAAAACGTATTCTCTCCTCGATACAGAGATAATTAACAGGTAACTGTTAGTAACTGAGGTGAAATCAAAAAGGCCGAAGGGTTGATATAAAAAAAAGTTGAGTAATAGAGACCTTTTTAACATAGACGCGGACAAAAATTCGATTTTCGTCGTATTTATGGAGATCCAACTGAAGCGACTCAGCAGTTGCTCAAAATAAGTGTATATCAGATTGAAAAGTACTAATGTAAATAACTGTTTTAACTTGTTTGAAAGTTGTCCAATAATTTACCTTGAGCCGTGAATCAAGCGTGGCTTTTTTATGTCACGCAATGAAAGGGATGAAAACATTTCAACGCAAAAATATATAAACAAATTACGAGAAATTCAGTGTATAATATCGTTATAAAGCAGCTTGTCACTTGAGAACTGGGGCGGAAAGATACTAATCTTGAATGTTCCGCACGACACTTTCATTTATCCACAGCTTCCGATTTGTGCTCTTACAACGAACTGATCATGAGGATGCTGCGCTGTCTCTTTGAACAAGGGACTCTCACTCTATCTAGTTCACGATATAAAATTTTTAGCTTCAATGTAGAATTTTCTTCTTGTGTCTTTA